GATCTATTTAACTATAACCAGGCCTGACATATCTTTTCCCGTTAGCCTTGTTAGTCAACATATGCATGCGCCAACCGAGTATCACTTGAGTTTGGTGAAACGCATTTTGCGATACTTGAAGGGTACAATAGGGCGTGGCCTTTTGATGTCCAAAAATGGGCACACAAACATCATTGGGTATACTGATTCTGATTGGGCAGGGAATACTTTAGATCGGCGATCCACTACTGGATATTGCATCTTTGTTGGAGGTAATTTAGTCTCAAGGAAAAGTAAAAAACAACATGTTGTTGCTCGATCAAGCACGGAGGCAGAATATCGGGCTATGGCCACAGCCGCTTGTGAACTTGTTTGGCTTAGAAGTCTTCTTGATGATCTAGGTTGTTCTTATACAACTCCAATGACACTTTTCTGTGATAATCAAGCGGCTATCCACATTGCATCTAACCCCGTATTCCATGAAAGAACAAAACACATTGAAGTGGATTGTCACTATATTCGTCAACAGGTTCAATCTAAGCATATTGCTACTCATTATGTGCGAAGTTTTGATCAACTCGCGGATATTTTTACCAAAGTCTTACCATCTGCACAATTCCATCGAATTCTGAGCAAGCTTGGATCCATGAGTATTGGATGATATTTTGTTATTATTAGTGTAGATAATTTCCTTAGTGTGTGTGGCTATGCATTGTTATGTATATTTGGTATAGATATGTCAGAGTCGTAGGCTTAATTATCATCAAGTGTACATCCTCTATATATTCATGTACTGTGCACATACTACTTATGATTCATGGAAATAATTCTTTCAAATCAATATTTTCTTACATATTTCTTCACTTTGACAGCACAAACAACGGGTGGGCGTTTAGCAGTACAGGTACCTACTTGGATAATGACCTCCCTAGTGATACATACATCTGGCCAATTTCTTCTAATGTGTCTGGAAACAATGTGGACTTATACGGAGATGCACGACTGTCCCCGCTTTCATTGACATATTATGGGTTCTGCTTGGGGAATGGGAATTACACTGTAAACCTTCATTTTGCGGAAATCATGTTCACAAACGACGCAACATATGCTAGTCTCGGCAGGCGTGTCTTTGATATCTATGTTCAGGTTTCTAATCTTTACTACTGTTTTTAACTTTTCAGAAAGAAATTTTCACTTATGGGAAGAATGAAACAGAAGAAATGAGCCAATGCTAATAGCTCTTCAGCTTTTTAAGAGACAGTGATCGTGTAGATTTGATTTTTATGGTATCATTTTGTTCAGGGAAAGCTGGTGCAGAAAGATTTCGATATCGAGAATGAAGCAGGCGGTGTCAATAAACCCATTGTCAAAAGTTTTACAGGTGTGGTAAACAACAGTTCTTTGGAGATTCGGTTGTTCTGGGCTGGAAAAGGGACTAATGCTATTCCCTACAGGGGAGCATATGGTCCTCTGATTTCTGCAATTTCTGTGGTACCTGGTAAGCATTCTGTTGCATGAAGGTCTTGACTTCTGCAAGGTCCTCTGATTGTGTATCTGAAGTCCTACTTATATATTGCACATTAAATATTGGAATATTGATGAAGGTCATGATTCTTGCTTTGACTTGGGAATTATTTTCGATTCTCAACTGTTTCAAGATCACAGTTGACACATTCTATTGCTCATCGTTGTGATTTTCTTGAAAGACAATGATTCAGAAACTTATCCATCTTCTCTTTTCCGTGTGCCTCTGATTTTTTTTTTTTGGTTCTTATGCAGACTTTCCAGTAGCATCTGACCATAGATTTTCAGCTGGTGCAATCGTTGGGATCGTTATCGCTGTTCTATTTGTCATTTCTGGGGTTCTACTTATTCTTTGGTTGTAGGGCTGTCTTTGCAAGAACTCAATGGAAAATGGCGAGTCTTAATTTCCTGGCAAACACAATGCCCATGCATGTCATGGTATCTCATGGCTAGTCGACCGCTATTTGTCATTATGATGCTATTTTTATCAATTTTCCTGTGCATTGTTTTAGAAGATAATCAAACACAACAGAAATATCTACATGAAGATGACCAACAATACTCTTCATTTGTACATCTTCTGGTACAATACTTGGAGAAGAGATTGTAGGGAACAATACTCTTCTGGTATCCCTCATTTGTACATCTTTATTTGTGGTGTAAATGTGGCAAAAATTTCATGATGTGAGGAGCCATAACAGCTTCATTTATTCTGTTTTCCGATTTTCTGTTTGTCCAGAAAAGAAGCCAAAGGAGTAAGGACCGACTTCTGTACAGAATTTTGGGTTGGCATTGATGTGAGTTCATGAAGAGAATTGCGGAGAGGATCCTCAGTACTCAGAGTAGTAAAGCACCCCCAATTAGGTTTTCAAAATCTTAAAAAGCTAGTTTCTAAAAATTGATCTTACTCCAGGTTGGAAATTAATGCGTCGCAGGTCGAGCCATTTACTTCTTGTTGATTATTTAAACTTTAAAGTCAATCATTTTCCAAGTAACAACGATTGACCGCAAAATGAATGACGAAAAACTACTTCATCATCATTTCTCATTCATTGCATAAATCTTGCAACTTGAGCCTAGTGTTTCCAAATCCAACGTACATATATATCGTTACTACAAGGCCTGCTTCCATTAAAAAAATATCTGCTAGCAACTTGCAAAAATGTACTTCTCATTACAGAAAACAGGAAGGAAACCTGCAATATTTAAAAACTTTGAAATGACCAAAAAAGAATAAAACCTTTTTGGCTGTGTTTTCATCTAAACAAATTGCATCTCACGTCATGTTACGCTCATTTTAAAAGTGTTATGCATCTCTTCTAGCTAATTCTATTCAGCGACATATAATTATTAATAAAGTCAAGATTCTATTTCCACCCGTGAAATTTAATTGACTTTGGATGGACTAGCTATTTGTGTCAACTGAAATGCCTATCATAGTTGCAGTTTGAAAATGAATAAACTAGCTGCATAATGACTGAATGAGGACAATAAACGACCTGTAGTTTTCTCCGGTAAATAAAAAAGGTAAGGCACCAATGCACTCCTGAACAACTAGTACGTTGTTAAGTTGTTGGTTAATCACTACAAAAAACTTTATAATATGCATTCTAAGGAATGTCTAGCATATTAGTGCCTTTTCGCTTGGATCACTTCAAAGCTTATAGTCTCCATCAAATCCCCAATTGCAATCTTGTTTAACCATATTCAAAGACAAATTCATTAAAAGAAACTTTGAAAGTCAATTTCTTATAATGTTAGACAAAATGGCTTTCTCATTAGATCAATTTCTTCAAGCTCAAGAAATATTGATAGTAATCACAAATGACACGGTCCACCTTTTCTCTCTTTTTTTTTGAATCCATACACAAAAAATTTTAAATGTAGCTTCTGAATCAACAATTTGTTCATTATCATTGTCTTCTTTTAGGAAATTCATTTTTCACTAAATCTCATAATACAATACGTCTTATACATCTGTGTAAAAGTACATTCTCATCTCGTACATTTACAAACACACATTTCAGTACCGTGCATTAAATTTTACAAACTTTTTGGTAACTTATCCAGCAGGGTTTTTTTTTTTCAAATACAAAAAATATGATAAGAATCAAACAATATTAAAAATAGATAAACATATCATTAAAATATTAAATTTAAAAAATCAGAGAATTCAAAAATCAGTTTTTTCTTTTCTTTTTTTTTTTTTTAATATACTTTGATCCGGTGAGCGACTATTCTCAATAATCTCTTTTTTTGACATTTTGCTATAATAAAACCTTAACTTAGTAAAACAATATGGTAATAAGGTTTGACAGTTCTGAATGCATAATCCGCGAAATTATAACCCCGATCATACATATCAGAGTTCTCTCAGAGTACCAAATCAAAAGATAAAACAACATTGACACCAATGACACAAAATGAGAGTGAGAGGATATGATCTCCTTGAATATATACATATCTTAACATTTCAAATGAATGAACAATGAACTTCTGTCACAATGTTAGCTCAAAACTTGAAATGCATAAATCTCCAACTAAATTGACAGAAAAAAACATAAATGAAGCTTTCCCAAGGTTTCACCAGAATATCACAACGAGCCCTGTGATATACTACACCCTTTAGTCCTTATTATAAGTTATTTTTGATTTGTCATAGGTTTCACTAAATATGTTTTTCCAATTGAAAAAAAAAATCTTAAAAATATTTCCTAATAATTAGGAGATCAGTGAAAATGTAATTTTAATATTTTTTTTATCAATCGAAAAAATATAATAGATTAAACTTAACACAAATCAAAGTATCTTATAATAAGGACCGGATGGACGGAGTATATATTATGTAGTTTTTGTACATCATTCCTATTTGTTTTAATCAGTTTACATAAAATGAACGTTGAAATTAAAGATTTGAAGTAAGGCAGCTGCTTCCCGTGCTTCAAATGGCACGGACTTGAGGTTGGAAATCTGTCGTTAAAAGTCCACGATCAGTGTAAACTATAACATTGGTCGGATGCTTCTTTCCAAGCCCCGGCGCCGGCAGTACGTACGATCAATGATGATTATATATCCATTAATCAATTAACTTGTATTATTCTTAGTAGCATGTACATTTTCCTTCAAAGCTTTTCCGTCTTTAAGACAAACCAATTTGAGAAGTCTACATCAACTCCCAATTGAATCCAATTAATTGCATTCATGCATCCTGTAGGTAACAAATCAATTCCGAAAACAGTATTTCATTTCTGATCAAGTGGTCCTATTTGGATTTATACAATATCACTTTCTTCATCATACTCATTCTTCGCACTGCTACTGAGTTAACTTAATTTTGTTGTTAATTTTCTCCCTCCCCACCACAACGACTTTGACTTAAGTACAATTAGCATCAATAATATATATAGCTTATTATTACTCATCGCCACTGATCATAAATATGCACGAGAGCGTAGTCTTCTTTCCTCTATAGTTAGTTTACACAACTTTTGCCAAACATGTTGTTGTTTCCGTGGAGATCAATGCTTATAATTTCCGCAATTACTTTCGTTTGCCTAGCAACAACTACAATTGGCTCTCTCGACGCTCGGCTTCCCCGTGATGAAGGTATACATATGTCTCATATATTATCACACAATGAGTTTATGGGGGAAAAAAAAAGACTAATCTAAGTGAGGGAATGTCACGAATTAACACTAGTACAGTAGTACGCTCTCTGTCCCAAAATCATTGTTCAGTTTGAATTCTCATTTTTAGTTTAATCTCTACTACAAATGAAAATCTAAACTGAACAAAATTTTGGGACGAAGGGAATATTTCGTAGATCCATCCTATTTTCAAATAAATCTCTGGCTAGCTAGCTAGGTACTTGTTTTAATAATGTACAGTAGGTATGTGTTTTTTCAATTCATGTTTTTTATTATTTTAGTTTGGGTTATGTTGGTTTTGCTTATTTTGTAGTGGAGGCTTTGAAGCAAATTGGAGCAAGAATGGGGAAGAAGGATTGGGATTTTCGTGTAGATCCATGCAGCGGACTAAATAATTGGTTAGATCCGAATTCCAGCAAAGATGGTCTTACTAATAATGTTACGTGCGATTGTACCTTCCTCAATAACTCTGTTTGCCATGTTACCAGCATGTAAGTACCTTCTTCTACAAACTACTCTATCCTCCCGTATTTTTTCTCCTCTTCTTCTATTTTTTTTTTTTTTGGGGAATTACAATGTCATTTCCAGGTTTAGGGAATCACAAATTTATATTTGAACTTTGATATGCCCAATTGTTTAATTCTTAACTTTAATTTGCTCATTTAAAAGAATCATTTGTGTTGACGAATATGTGTCGAATATACTTGCAACAAGGGATTATGGCAAGTCTTTGAACCAAAAAATTAAATTAAAAAAATAACGATTTGTGGAGGGAAACTTCACAAAGAATTTTAACAAGAAATGATTCGAAACTGTTCATATATAATTACATTTTATCTTCAGGAGTTTATATATTAATTTAAAGGTAAGGGAATAGTTAAGGTTTTTCCACATTATTTTGTATAAATTTATTCGTCAATTTTTTCTTGTCAACACTCACATAAATAAAAGAAGAAGAAGTTAACAAAAGTCAAAATTGTGATTGATTTGTTAAAAAGTTAAACATAAAAAGTGGTACTGTACTCAATGTATGTTGATTATTTAGGGGATGATTTACAAAATAACATTATAAGAGGGGCGTTTCTCTCAAAAACAAAAAACTATTCGGGATATATACGAGTAAATTTGAAATTTCGATCCCATTTTTTTTTGGCAATCAAAATGTAGAACCCTAATTTTTTGAGTCATGAATCATGGGGTTTGGCGATGCAGAATGCTCAAATATCAGAGCCTTACCGGATCATTACCTCCTGAAATGGCCAAACTCCCTTACCTGCAAATCATGTAAGTATTATGCCCACCATTTGCCATTATTGTTGTTGTTATTAGCAAGATGAACTAACTTTAATTGGCTGGATTTTTTTCTTGATTGAAATACCCCAGATGTCTGACCCGGACGTACCTAAACGGTACCCTTCCCAGAGAATGGGCTTCATTAATGCAGCTTACGAACATGTACGTCTCCGTTTTCATAATTTGTTCGTGTTTAAATTTGAAAAGGAGTTTAGGTGTTTTGGTGGTGATTTTTGGGGAAAAAATTGATGTTATGTAGTACCCTTCTCGGGAACCGGATATCAGGATCGATACCAGCAGAATTTGGAAATATCAGCACGTTAGTTGAGCTGTAAGACTTTTTGTAGTTTATGGCTTTCATCTGTCTTATGTTCAAGCGTGATTGATCCACTTAATGTGTGTAGTAGTAGTATGTAGGAACCATGATTTTTCTATTGAACATTTGATAGGGTTTTGGAGCACAATCAACTGACTGGAACTGTTCCTCCAGAGCTTGGGAATCTCTCGAATTTAAAAAGATTGTAAGATTCCTTTAGTTTGGGAAATACTCTGATTCATTTGTGCTGCTGATGTGGTTGTCGAAAGGTTGCTTACTGATTTTCGGATCTTTTTTAACTTTATTGCGGGTTTGTAACATGTCTTCCTTCTTGAAAATGAAGAACTCTTAACTCAAACTACTTGACTGGGGAACTGCCGGCACAGCTCGCTAAATTGACTAATTTGAAAGACTTGTGAGCTCCTTGTCTTGGCTCTTACATCCAGAGTTACAATCATTGTATACTTATAAAGTTAGGAAATTGACCATGTGATAAATTTTTGGATGCAGTCGAATATCTGATAATCAGTTTGTGGGGACTGTGCCAAATTTCATTGAGAACTGGACACAACTTGGCAGACTGTAAGACATGGCCCTTCTTCATCATCATTCCAGCTTTACTTTAGCAATTAATTCCTTTCACCGTTTGTTTGTTTACTTTTTCCAGTAACTAGTTCTTTTGGTGGCAGAGAGATTTTAGGTACAAGCCTAAATGGGCCAATACCTTCTGGTATTGCTGCATTGTCAAATTTGATTGATCTGTGAGTCTCTGCTTTATTTCCGTTACTATCGAGGATTGACTCAGTTGATAGTGCTTTAAGTAATATTAATTGTTATTATTGTTATTTTCTTGAATTGTTATGAACAGTAGAATCAGTGATTTGAATGGAAAGGGCTTCAGTTTTCCACCTCTCAGCAGGGCAAAGATTTTGAATACATTGTGAGTCTTGCCAAGTCTCCTTTCATTGAATGATATGCTACATTTTCATTCTATCTAACTTGATGTGCAATTGTTGTGTAGGATATTAAGGAATTGTAACATTTCTGGGCCGTTGCCAGACTATCTTGGCTCATTAACAAACTTGACACTCTTGTGAGTACATTTAACTTTTTCGGGGTGATGTTAATAGTATGCTTATCAGTTACTTTCTCAAGGCCTAAACTAAATGAGATTAAGTTTGTGTGAAAACTGACTTTGGAGCTATATGTCAGAAAATTTGTTCCTTCAATTTATTTGATCGGTCAATCTTCTATGTAGTATCAGTAAATGACCGCAAAGAATTTACTTAAACAATCAATTGTTATAAGAATGGTAAATATTTGATAGCTGGTTATAGAATGGTAAAAATGCATTCCAGGGTTTAGTTAATAGAACCTAAATGTGGAACAGTGTCTATGAATAGTCTTCTCCACATTTAAGCTTGTCCTGGCTGTAAAGTAATATGGAGAGGTTCTTTTCTTGTTCTGGCAAAACCTTTTGTAGTCTGTATGACTTTCTCCGCCCAAAGGATCAAGACAGAACATTGGTTTCATTCGTGTTTGATGAACAAGGTGCAAATCTGCAGTATGAGGACTTACAATGTTAATGTGGTAGAAAACGTAGTGAAATTCAAGATCCTTTCTGTTTTGGTAACTATTCTTTATCTTATAATGAGTGGACGTCTGAAGATGCTGACTGCCTGAGACATAAAAAGAGCAGGTTGATACACGTAAATGCAAGTCAAAAGACGAGTGTAGTTTTCTTCCGATTGATGATAATCCAAACTGACGCAGGACAAAATGTGGTGGTTAAAAAAATCAGAACTTAGGCTGATTAAAGAGTATTATGCAGCGGAAAATCAATAGAAAACTGTAGGGAATAAGGGTAGAAATCGCAGGAACACAGAGATAAGCAGTAGGAAAAGAGAAGAAAACCTATAAATCACTTTTAGGGCCCTTTGGCATCACACCGCAGGAATCCTAGGCATCACACCAAGGGTTTAGTTGAATCACACAACTGATGTTGAAAGCAAAAGCTCGCAGGAGTTTTTATTAATCCGATAACTGTCTAAAACCCTCAAACGAGGTACATATTATATAAGCCTAAAACTTAACCTAAACCAAAGACTACTAGGATTCACACCTAATTTCTTTTTTATTCCAGAAAATCCTGCAGCATAGCTAATATACTAAAATACCCTTTCCTAAAACTTATTACTGAGAATAATATAATTAAAGTGCTACTTAAATAAAGGATTAACTTAACCAAAGTCCTAACACTATGGTTCCTTCCTTGGATCATGATGATCCTGGCATAAGAATGGAAGAACCTACTGATAGAGTCCTTTGACCCTGTCCTTGTCCGCATCACTAACACTTTGTTGAATAATAGGAGATAGTTTATGCAGTGTTCCCATATTAGCTGGGTACAATGTCTTTGGAGATATTTTACAAGGTGCAGAATCTATTTTCAATTTTTGACTATCTTTACTGCTGTCTTGCAGGGATCTCAGTTTCAACAACCTAACTGGACCTATTCCTGAAAGCTTCAAGTACTTGTCTGGCACTAACATAATGTGAGGATTTTAATGAGTTAATTTTAGATGGAAACACATTCATTATCAACTCAATTTACTATAATTAGTGATACAGCAAAAAGATGGCTTAAACTATGTAATTGTACTAACTCATAACTGACAACTTTTTCTAGTTATCTGACCGGGAACTTCCTCTCTGGAGAGATTCCTGAATGGATGCTGAAAAATGGGGAAAATATGTAAGTTTGATGACTTATCTCATGTAGTTTTATTTCACTTTGAATCTGTGATTTAGAGATCTAACTTTTGAACAACCTTTTCTTAGGCTTTATCTGCACATATGTATTTTTTTTGGTAAAAAGAATAAATATATGTATTTAGATATACTCACAATTATGTATATTTTCTTGACTAGTTGGCTCTTTCTGCTTTTCTGATTGTAGTTTCTTTTATTTTATTTCAGTGACCTGTCATACAACAATTTCACTGTATCTGCAGTTCACGGCTGTCAACCGAGAGAAACGTAAGATTGCTTTTAGTTCTTTTTTAGGGCGAGTTTCACTACAAGCTTTATGTTGCTGGCTAAGTTCTAACATATGAGATTTAATCAATGTTAGGAACTTGTTCGCAAGCTCTTCAAGGGGCAACACATTGTAAGTTCTCTATCAATTACATTTTCATGGCTCTCTCAATATGACGCTCTAACAATATACTAGAATTTTCCCAAATATTTCTTCGTTTCACCGCAGAGGCATTGTTTCACGTCTGTTTCTGGATGTTTCATTGTTTTGCAGAGGCATTGTTTCATGCTTAAGTGATTTTCAATGTCCAAAAAGTAAGTTAAATCTCATATCACTCTACACCACAGGCCAGCATGTTTAGAATTCAATCTTGTCAAGGGAATCAAAAGAGTACTCTCGGCTTAGACGCGAGCTTAGATGCGAGCTGCCAAGTTACAGGAAAATTAAGACTGAAATTCTTGCCCTGTAACACTTGTTTAATTGCGATTCACTCTTCAGGGAATACATACATGTTGGTGTTGAGTTTTCACATTTAATCCAAGGGTTTAGTTCCTTGCCATTTAAGATTTAAAAGTATTCCTCAACTTTGTAGAATGAAATCATTTGGAGAAAGAGTATTGAATAGAAAAAGTTTACAAAATGCAAAAAGTTAACATTAAGTATAAACAACTGCTCATAGCTTGTATGTTACTACTTCTCCATTCCTTCTTCTTGAAAAATTCGACTTCCATTTGTTTATGGTGGCGCAACCTGAAAAGGAATCTGTTTATTACTGCATAAATTGCTCTGTGCTGAGATTTAAATTTTAAGAAGTACTGATCTCCTTGCCTTTGTTACTGGCTTCATACAGCTTATTACTATATGCATATAAATTGCGGTGGAAAAGATGTGAAACTTAAGAATGGTACCAAGTTTGAAGAAGATATGATGTCAGGTGGGCCTTCAAAGTTCTTTCCAAGTGCGACTAACTGGGCCTTTAGCAGTACAGGCAACTTTTTGGATAATCATCTCCCTACTGATACATATATCTGGAGCACTTCCAATACTGCTGGGAACAATTCGGAACTGTACCTGGATGCTCGACTGTCCCCTCTTTCATTGACATATTATGGTTTCTGTTTGGGAAATGGGAACTACACAGTTAACCTTCATTTTGCAGAGATAATATTCACTGACGACGGAACATATTTTAGTCTTGGAAGGCGCTTCTTTGATATATACATTCAGGTTAGTTATTCTTTGATTTTCTTATTTCGTTTAGTGAGAAATGCTATAGGAGAATTGCCCATAGCTACTTTTTTTTTTTTAGTGAAAAGACATTTATCACTCCTTTCAAATACAACAATTCTGGCCGTTTAATTTGCATTAACTTTGTATGCATAATGATTCACGATTTCATCACATCATTCAGGGGAAATTGGTGAAGAAAAATTTCAATATTGAGGAAGAAGCAGGTGGAGTTAATAAACCTGTTATTAAGACTTTCACTGCTGTGGTAAGTGATACGACGTTGGACATCCGATTCTTCTGGGCTGGAAAAGGGACAACCTCTATTCCTCAAAGGGGAGTCTTCGGCCCCCTAATTTCAGCAATTTCTGTGGAACCTGGTAAGTGTTATACAACCAAAGGCTCTTGGGGTTTCTCTATTTTGGTTTAAAATAGAGAAGTCCACAGGGGTGGTTTTTTTAAAAATAAAAAACAACGAAAAAAAGGGCTTATCGGTGTATGTTTGTTTGCATCCAGATTTTTCACCACCAGCGGAGCACTTGTCGGTAGGTTCTGTTGTAGGGATTGTTATTGCAGTTCTGTTTATTGTTTCTGTGGTTCTAGTTGTTCTTAGGTGGAAAGGCTGTTGGCAAAACAAAGATTCATTGGAAAATGGTATGCCAACATTTTCTTGGACAGTATAATGTATTTCTATTCAAGACCATATGAACTTTTCTTTTTATCTAAAAAATTTGTTACATAAGGACATAATTTATCAGCTCAATATCCCTTTGTGGTAAAAAAGTATAGAAAAAAAAAGACTTTGTGAAGTTTGCGAGTCTGTTTTGCAAGTGTAAGTGACCAATCTAAATGGATTTTCTCAAAACATCATTAGCATCGGAAATGTGCTTTACTTTGAGGAATTTTTGTGGCAGATTTAAGGGGATTGGACTTGCACACAGGATCATTCACTCTTAGACAAATCAAAGCTGCTACTAATAACTTCGATGCAGCTAACAAAATTGGTGAAGGTGGTTTTGGTTCTGTTTACAAGGTAATTGCAGCAAAATGTTTTTTTTTTTTTTTTTGCAAATGTGATTGCAGCAAAATGTTATTTCCCCAATTTATCGCTTCGCAAAGTTTCTTTTCTTAAATTTTTCTTTTTATCTAACTCTTCATTCTGTATGCACTACAGGGTTACCTAGGAGATGGAACTGTCATTGCTGTAAAGCAACTGTCTTCCAAATCAAATCAGGGGAACCGAGAGTTTGTGAATGAAATAGGCATGATTTCAGCTCTACATCATCCCAACCTTGTGAAGCTGTATGGATGCTGCATTGAGGGGCATCAACTGCTGCTTATCTACGAGTATATGGAGAATAATAGCCTTGCTCGTGCATTATTTGGCAAGTTTATCTTGCATGTCTTATGTTGAACTTCATTTTAGCTTAGGTTGAATGTTATGATCATTTTCTCGCATAATTTATCACAATTCCTTATCATTCTTTTTGATACACTTGAATACTTTCAGGAGCTGACGAACACCAGTTACAATTAGATTGGCCAACAAGACACAAGATTTCTATTGGTATAGCGAGAGGTTTGGCTTATCTGCATGAAGAATCAAGGTTGAAGATTGTGCACAGAGACATCAAAAGTACCAATGTGCTACTTGATAGGGATTTAAATCCCAAGATATCTGACTTTGGTCTGGCCAAGCTACATGAAGAAGAAAACACCCATATTAGTACTCGCATTGCTGGAACCTAGTGAGTTATAAGATTAATCTAAGTCTAAAGATTGTTGCTAAATATCTTATCAATTTCAGTTGAAGTATCCTGTTTTGGGATTATAAATTTTTTTTCTTTTTCTCTTTTGGTGCATGATGATGGCTTTGAATACTTGTCCTGATCTCTCATACTGTCTTGTAGTGGATATATGGCTCCCGAGTATGCAATGAGGGGCTATTTAACCGACAAAGCCGATGTTTACAGTTTTGGGGTTGTCCTTTTGGAAATTGTTAGTGGAAGGAGTAACACTAGTATCAAACCAAAGCAAGATTGTTTCTACCTTATTGACTGGGTAAACTCATGATCATTCTCTCTGAAATTTGCAGTTCCATGCTTGCTGTTGCTTTCAAGTTACAAGATTTAGTATGAAGTTAAGAAAGCTTTTAATTCCAATATAATAAAAGGGACAACTACTTGCTCTTTGAAGCAGTCAACTGCAAGGAATGTAAATGGTGAACCGATATACATACCCCTTGGGTCCACACTTATTTGATGGTTGTTCTAGGATTGCAAAAGGGAGTTCTTTTGTACTGCCCATGAGCCATATTCCGTACTAGATGCTTTATTGTTATAAGAATATTCTTCTTTGAGTGCCACTAAAGTTGAAACAATGCATTACATATTTCTCTCTGTTACTATACCTCTCGCACATTTTAGAAATAGTGAAACTAGGATATGTTGCATTTTTCAGGAAACTATGTTCCTTTGCTGAAATTATGTTATTTTGAAATTTTCAGGCTAATCTGTTGAAGGAAGAAGGTAACCTCATGAAACTAATAGATCCAAGACTTGGATCAGACTACGACGAAGATGAGATTATGCTGACATTGCTTATAGCCCTTCTTTGCACGAATGTTACGCCGACTGATAGGCCTAGTATGTCATCTGTGGTTAGCATGTTGGAAGGACGCAGAATCAGCAAAAGGTCGGCTTCAGAACTGAGTACCTCAAGCCGAAATGAGTTCAAGGCTCTAGAATTCCAAGTGAGCAACAGTTTTCAAAGTCAAATGAGAGCCAGATACAAGAAGACTATCTAGATGTGCCGTTTACTGCTTCTTCTACATCTGCTGGAGATCTATACCCAATTATCCTGGATTCTGACTACTTATTGACAAGGTCATAGATAATGGGGCTCTTCATGGGATCATGATATGTAAATTCGTTGATTTCTTATGGTGTAAAAATGTTTGTAAAAATTCCTGTTAAAAAGCTTCGACAGTTTGTTTACCATCCTGTTTGTCCCCCACAGAGGAAATTAGTGAGAGAGCTTTCCTTTTATGTATGGTATGAGTTTGCATTTACAAGATGAAACAAAATTCTAGCTGGAAGTTACTGGAAATCATCAAGACAAGATTGGCAAATCAACGCGAATCAAGCACGTCATTGATGCTTTGAGTTTTATTAATCCCAAGTTTCTTCTAACAGATCATCAATATGGTCATCATCATTAGGAGAAAATTTAATATACAACAGCTGTACTCACCTTTTTAGTATAACTAACTTTTTTTTTCGGTAAAATGTAATATATTGCTGATGATTAGCTTCAAAGTTCATATTTACACCCAAATTTCCCTATTACATTTACCCTGCTGCAAAAGTTCCAACTATATACATTATTTACATCCTACCAAAAACCTGCTCCAAAATGAATATCTCACTTAGTGTCTTTCTTCTCATCAAGCACTGCTCTGTTCGCCAGAATACCTCCTGCTTTACTAGTTGCACTATTTGCTTCATTGTTCGCTTTTTATCAGTAAACACTCTCCCATTCCTTTCCTCCCATATATGGTAGATACTTGCTGCCATTACTGCAAACCAAATGTTTCGTCTCAACTTTGTGCGCCGCCATACATTTATCACTATATCTCTCCAAACATCCTGTCTACATGATACATTATATACTCTTAACCATTGTGCTAGTTCTACCAAAATTTCCTTGGTAAACCAACACTCAAAAAACAGGTGCTCAGATGTTTCTTGAGCTTTTTGACAGAATACACATCTATTGTCATCAATGTGAATATTCAATCTCTCCAATCTAGCTTTTGTCAAAAGCCTGTTTTTCTAAAGAAGCCACAAAATGAATGAATGTTTAGGCACATTATACCTTGACCAGATGAATGTTGCAGCTGAGAAATCTTCACTTTCCCCCATCATCCATTTGTAACCCGAGCTGATGGTGTATTTTCCAGTGCTTGTGTGCTTCCATTTGTTCTCCACAAATTCTGCTTTGACCCTGTCCTTCAGTTTCAAGATTCTCTTCCAATGCCAGTTAGCATCTTGAGCAGGTTGTAATTTCCAAAAATCCTTCCTCTTTATATACACCTCATGGATCCACTTTATCCACAAGTTTTCTTTCCTACAAGCCAAGTCCCAAATCTACTTTACCAGTGCAGCATCATTCCAGATTTGTGCATCTTTTACATTTAGTCCACCCCCCTTTCTTGGATTTGCAGACTTGATCCCAGCTTACCAGTGCCATGCTTTGTCCATTTTCCTTGATCCCCCACAAGAAAGTTCTACAAATCCTGTTGATCTATTGAGTGATACTTTGAGGGAGTATAAAAGCTGAAGCCCAATAATTCTTCATCACCATCAGCACTGAGTTTACAAGCTGCAACCTGCCAGCATAACTCAAATGTCTAGTGCTCCAGCATCGTATCTTTGTTGACATCTTCTGTACCAGGATTTCACAATCCATCTGGTTCCATTTTTTTGGGGAAAGTGGAACCCCCAAGTATTTCATTGGGAATTTTCCTTCCCTAAACCCAGCCATTTCGCACAGCTGCTTCCTCATGTTTGATTTTTGTGAGTTAGCTACTAGCCCCGTGGTTGCAGAGAACTTCCTCAGGACTTCTACCAACTTCTGAACTGTGTAAGGATCTGACTTGCAGAAAACCATCAAATCGTCGGCGAAACATATATTGGTCAGTTTCATGTGTTTACAGAGTGGGTGGAACTGAAATCTATCGTCTTCCACAACTTCCCTCAACAATCTTGTCAAGTATTTCATTGCTAATACGAACAGCAGTGGCGATAAGGGGTCTCCTTGACGTAATCCTCTCCTTACTTCAAAGAATCCACAGTGCTCTCCATTGAGATTCACCATAAAGGTTGTGGTTGTTACACATTCCATCACCTTGTCTGAAAATGATTTAGGGAATCCATATCCATGCAACATTTCTTCGATGAAGTCCCATTCTATCGAGTCGTATGCTTTCCTCAGGTCAATCTTCATTAGGCAACGTCCACTAATGTTCTTCCTTTCATATAGTCGAATGAGCTCCTGGGTTATGAGCACATTGTGGAGGATAAGCCGCTGACTGACGAAGGCACTTTGGTTTGTGTCCACTAACCATGGTAGCACCTCTTTCAATCTTTCGCACAGTATTTTGGAGATGCACTTGTACACCACATTGCAACAAGTTGCCGTTGGCTGTGACGGCAGCTTTGGGAAGAAGGAGAGTTTCAAGCAAGTTAGGTTTTTTAAATAGAAAAAAAAACGAAGGGAAATGAATTAAAAAAAATAAATAAATTAGAAAAGAGAATACAATGACAAAAATACCCTTTTGGAAATTCCACGTTCTAAGATTTGACCGTTAGTTTTTAACGGATTTTAAACGGAAAAGTAAAAAAAGACAAACTTCCAACTTATGGTATCACTTAAATTATTTTTGAACTTAATAGGGCAAACGAATACAGACCTCAAAGTTATGGTAGTTTTTTGACAAATTATTGTATTCTGATTGTGAAGAAAAAATGACAAGACCATTGGGAAATAAAACAAAATTATGTTTTTGGATCACACACCAAAAAAGTAAAAAATAAAAAAAAAGGAACTAAAAGAAAGAAGGAAAATATATACATAAACAACTAAATTTGAGACAAAAATTCGAGAAGAAAAAGATGGAGATTAGAAATGAAAGATGATGATGACCTCCCATAAACTTGAGATTAAGATGTTAAAGTAAAGACTTGAAAGAAAAAAAGAAAGAAAAAAAAAAGTCACTAAATCTTACACCCTTTAGAATTATATCTAGGCAAATTTATTATACATGACTTTTAATATTCTTTTGAGTTGGAACAATCTAAATTACCATTGAGGAACCTATTAAATTCCAAAAAAAAAAAGAGAGAGAGAGAGAGAGAAGAAGAAGAAAAGACATTAAAGAATTCGAAGAGGTCGGAATCACCAAAATCAATTTTAGGCCAATCAAAATTACCTAATAATGATAAATTATTTTTGTTTTTAAAAATAAAATTAATGGTTAAAATCATCAAAATTATTTTTAGACTAATCAAATTCATCTAATAATAAGAAATAATTTTTTTGTAATCTTAAAAACAAATATCAATTTGAGGGAGATCAAAGGGTTGTTATATTGTTTAATAATAAAGCACAATTTATCATCATAAAATTAGATATAAGGAAATATTTTATTTATTATCATAAAGTTAAAGATAACAGATAATAAGTGAGGTAATAATGAAATAAATAAGAGAAAATATTTATTAAAAAATGTTGTTCACTAAGTTAAACGAGGGACTACAAAATTGATGAATTTTATGCAAAAACAATTAACCAAAATAAATAAGTAGGAAGGACTACCAAACTCCAAAAATTATTCTGCAATTATTAGAATACTAGATGGATCGAATGCGTTTCGCACGTGCTACAATATAAAACAACATGAGTATAATAATATATGTTAATTCTAAATATGTAATTATGACATGCTTAAATTTGAAGAGAGAAACAACAAAAGAATGCTCCATTATCTTATTTTCATAATCCATTTTGTTACAATAATATAGATGATCAAAATGGAACTGTATATAATTTTTCTCACATAAATTTAATTTGACATTTACAACAATAAATTCAATAACATGAATATGTGAAAGAGAGTCATGGTTTCAAAATGTTTGGTGAAAAAATAAATAAAAAACTATAGCTTACGAATTGTAAAGTATTAACCGCATTAAATTTTACCTGAAATCAAGAAGACGCCTATGATTCAAGAACAATTTAAATTTTTTTATTACAACCTTCATTCACTGCTTTTGGATTTTGCAACTTAACTTTATGTTATCTGAATAGCCAAACATCAGCATCCCTACTTCTATTTGAATTCAACTTAAACTTTCAATCAAATTGTTAAAACATATTTAAAGAACTTGCAAAAGAAGAGAAAAAAGAAAGAAAATCAGTATAAGAGATAAAGGGAGAAGAGAGAAAACCAACATAAAAGATGAATTAGAATTGTGGTGCTTAAATAGTTTTAATAAAAACTATTGTATTGAATGCTAAAAGTAAACAAAAGGACACATGAACAAGTTGTTACAAGAGATAAGGGGAGATGAAAAGTATAACATTATTAAATAATAGAAGAGAAATATATATGAAATTTAATATCGATAGTAAAGAGCAGAAGATGAAGGGAGATAAAACGTATAACACACATAGTAAATAATAAAAGATAAAAAGAGATGAAAAATTTAATAATTATAATAAAAGATCACAAAAATGTTGAAAAATAATAGAAAAGAAAATATGAAAAAGAAAACGAAAAGATACAACATTTTTAGTTTAACAAGAAAAAAAAAAACTAATCTAAAACAAAACATAAAAATGCATGTGAGAATCATGTGAGAGGACTACCAAAAACAATCTCACATTCCCCAATTATAATATATGTTGATAATAGTATGGTATAAGATGAAGTGAGGCTATGAAAATGAAAAGTCACAGAAATATTCTTGATTACAAAAAAATTCATTACTTATTTATTATTACTGGAATTTCATCGGTCACAAAACAATTATAAACGATTTAACTCGAATTTGATAGTTGTTTACATTCTAGACTTTGATCGGTCACAAAACGGTTATAACGATTTAACTTAGATTTGATAACTCTTTACATTTATCTTTTTTCTAGACTTTTCATATTTGATCTTCCTCCTATTAATATTTTTTTTCATTCCTCATTCATAGGTGAATTTGATCGGTCAAAAAATAATTTTGATGATTCTAATTTCTTCGAATTTTTTGGTGTATTTCTTTCTCATTCACTTCATTGAATTGAATATGTTTATCAATAATCGCTTGAAAGATTGTTTCATAACTCACTATATTATACAAAATGACTTTTATTATAAATTTATCAATATATTATATTCTTAAATGGTGTATGAGTTTTGTCACATCTCTCTGTTCCTTTCTTTTGAATCTTTATCACAAACCTGTTGAAGGTAATATCTTTCATTGTTCAGCTTCATCTTTTTTTTTTCTCTTTTTTTTTTCTTTCAATAATTTAGTTTTTATTTTTGATTTGTTTTTTCTTTTTTAATTGTTTCATTTTTATTTTTTTGGGTGATGAATAAACTTATTTTATTTTATTACTCAAATTTATATGTCTTTTTTTTAATATTAACATTTGAAATACTCTGTGGTGATTTCGTTTTAACAAAGTGACAAGTCTAAATAATATAATTCCGTAAATAATGTAATGTGATGTGACTCAAAAGGTTTATTATTAACAAATAATTTTTTTTCCTTTTATTTAATTTCTAATATCTTATTATACACATTGTACGCAGCGTCCAATCCACTGTAGTACCTAATTTGAGAATATAAAGTTACTCACTTATATCTTTATTATTATAATTATAATAATATATTATAATTGGAAAGTTTAAGTTGTATTTGGTAGTTCTTCCACTAATATTAACTTGTTTATATATATGATTTTAAAATTTTTTACGCATTAATAATTCACTTTAATAGTCCATCATCTATTTTTGTTATAAACATTTTTTATAAACATTCTCTCCTATTTATTTAATCATTATCTCACTTATTGCCCATCATATCTGATTTTTTATGATTAATAAATTACTCCCTTATCTCTAATTTTATGATAATAAATTATCAAACAATACATTGAACTTTCGATCTCCCTTATACTAATTTTTATTTTATTATTAGGATTATAAAAAATTCACATCTCATTGCTCGGTTTAGTTGATTAGTCAAAAAATAATTTTAAGGATTCTAACATCTCTGAAATTCTTGTATTTTCTTCTTCACTTCTCTTCCTTGAATTTAATGGTCCATCAATGATAGTTTAAATTCTTGCATAAAGAATGTTAAAAATCATGTATGACCAATATATAATTCGATATTGCACAAGAATTTTGCCACTTCTCTCTGTTTTCCCCCTTTCAAGTCTTTGATTTTAAATCTCCATCTCAAATTTATTGAAGGTCATCTTTGATTTTTCTTGTGCAATTTAGATTTTGTCTTTGAGTTTTTCTCCCCCTTTTTTTAAGTTGTTGTTTTTCTGGGAGGGGCAATACAAAAACTTAATTTTATTTTATTACTCATTTTGCATCCTTTTTTTTTTTTTTCCTTTCCACAATCGGAATATTATGTATCACTTCCGCTGAAATAAGAAGTGACATGTTTTGGTGAAATCATTTTGTTCTTAAATAAATTTTAACTATTGATAAATTTGTTAAAATATTTTGTAGATAGTGTAATAGGCAACAACATTACTTGTATTTTTTTAATTATTGAAAAAATGTTTTTTTACATGTATAATACTAATTTATATTACGTTTTATCCATCTAGTACTTGTATAACATAGGATTATGGCAAGTCTTTTGTACCCAAAAATAAAAAGAAACTAAAAGGAAAAAAAAAAAAAAGAATCTAAACAGTCTTTGTGGTCTGTGGAAAAAGTTTAAACATTCTGTAGTTGATTATTTCAAGGATGATTTACAAAATAACATTATAAGAGGGGCCTTTCTTGCAAAAACTATTCGGAATATATACGAGTAAATTTGAAATTCCGATCCCATTTTTTTAGCAATCAAAATGTAGAACCCTAATTTTTTGAGTATCAAATAATGGTGTTTGGCAATGCAGAATGCTCAAATTTCAGAGCCTTACCGGATCATTGCCTCCTGAATTGGTCAAACTCCCTTAACTCCAAATCATGTAAGTATTATGCCCACCTCCCATTGAAGAAGAACCCATCAAAACAATGCATGTCTTTAACTAACTTGATGGATTTTTCTATTTTTATTTTGTTGATTGAAATTCTGCAGTGATCTGACCCGGACGTACCTTAACGGTACCATTCCTAGAGAATGGGGTTCAATGCAACTCACAACCATGTACGTCTCGCTTTCATATTTTGGTTTCATGTTTCTTTGGAAAGGAGTATGGGTGTTTTGGTGATTTTTGGGGGAAAATTGTTTTGCTATTCTGCAGTTCCCTAATGGGAAACCGGATATCAGGGCCAATACCAGCAGAATTGGGAAATATCAGCACGCTAATTGAGCTGTAAGACTTTTTGACAGTTTTTGTAGTTTATGACTCCTCTGTAGCATGCTTGATCCATTTGATGTGAACATTTTTGATAGGGTTTTGGACCAAAATCAACTGAATGGAACTATTCCTCCAGACCTTGGGAATCTCTCAAACATACAAAAATTGTGAGATTCCTTTTGTTTGGAAATACTCTGATTTCTTTGTGCTGATGTGGTTGTCGAAAGATTGGTTTTCGGCTCTTTTTTCACTTATTACGAGTTTGTAACATGTCTTCCTTCTTGAAAATGAAGAGATCTTAACTCAAATGACTGGGGAGCTGCCGCCACAACTCGCTAAATTGACTAATTTGAAAGACTTGTGAGCTCCTTGCTTGGCTCTTACATCCAGAGTTACAAACATTGTGTTTTCATAAAGTTTGCAATTCGACCATGTGATAAATTTTTTGGATGCAGTTGAATATCTGATAATCAGTTTGCGGGGACCATACCGAATTTCATTGAGAACTGGACACAACTTAACAGACTGTATGATATGACCCTTTTTCATTATCACTCCAGCTTTACTTTAGTAATTAGTTCCTTTCACAGTTTGTTTGTTTACTTTTTCCAGTAACTAGTTCTTTTGGTGGCAGAAATATTCTAGGTACAAGCCTAAATGGGCCGATACCTTCTGGTATTGCTTCGTTGTCAAATTTGACTGATCTGTGAGTCTCTGCTTTATTTTGGTTACTATCGAGGTCTTATTGACTCAGTTGATTGTGCTTAAAGTATGATATATTAATGGCTAATGATGATATATGAATGGTATTTTATTGTATTGTTATAAACAGGAGAATCGGTGATTTGAAAGGAAATGGTTCCAGTTTTCCACCTCTCAGTGGGGCAAAGATTTTGAGGACATTGTGAGTCTTACCAATTCTCGTTTCATTTTATCTGACTTGATGTGCAATTCTTGTTTAGTATATTAAGGAATTGCAACATTTCTGGGCCATTGCCAGACTATCTTGGCACATTACCAACACTGAAGCTCTTGTGAGTATATTTAACTTTTTCGGGGTGATGTTTATAGTATGCTTATCGATTACTTTTTCAAGACCTAAACTAAACGACATTACATTTGGATTTGTGTGTGAATTCTGACTTTAGAGCTACATGACAGTTTTTGGTTTGATCCACCCATCTTCCATGTTGTATCATATAAATAACTGCAAGAAATCAACTTAAATTATCAATTAGGGGTGTATTCAAGTCGAGTCGAGCCCGAGTAGTGGTATACTCGAACTCGAACTCGAACTCGGCGAGTACTAAATTTAAAACTCGAACTCGACTCGTTGACAAATTTAATGAGCTCGAGCTCGACTCGGTAATTTTTTAAACTACAAAAATTTAAAAACCTATTTTTTTCAATGAAGTTTGAACTAAGAATATATGCTGCTATGCAAATTGTTGCAAGAGAGAAAACCAAAATCTAAAATGTTTTTTTTAGTTAGCACTGAAATTTGAATTTTTATCAAAGATTAACTTGATCAAATGATTTAAGAAATAAAAAGGAATAATAAAAAAAGAATGGAAGATGATAAGTGAAAGAGTGAAGAGAATGCAATATAGTATTAGATCTGTTAAGATGAAGGGAGATGGGCTGTTGATTGAAGATGAAAAGCGAGAATGGGGAGAAAACAGATGGGAATGGGGAAGAGGGAGGAGAGAGGAGGAGGAAGGTTGGTCGATTTTTTTATCTGAAGCAGGGGAAGGAGGATGAAAAATTAGAAGAGTGAAATTAGATCCAGGAATTAGAAAAGTAGATGAGAAGGAGGAGAGAGAAGGTGAAGATGGGTGGCTGGGCTGCTTTGATCGACAAAACACATTACAGATACTTGGACAAGTGTAAAGTGTTGGCAGAATCTTCTAAAATAATTGTATTATATATGTACATTAAAAATAAAAATAAAAATTATATTATTAAATATTCAAGCCGAGCTACTCGTCGAGTTTTCGAGCTCAATATTTAATACTCGAGCTCGACTCGATTAACCAACGATACTGCTCGAATTCTGCTCGAATTCGGTCAAACTCGAGTCAAGCTCGAGTCGTTGACCGAGCTACTCGCGAGTACTCGAACTCGACTCGTTCGTTTAACACCCCTATAATATCAATCTATATATAAGAACGGTAAATATTTTGACAGTCTTTACTGCTCTCTTGCAGGGATCTCAGTTTCAACAATCTAACTGGTCCTATTCCAGAAAGTTTCAAGAGCTTGTCAGGCACTGACATGTGAGGATTCAAATAAGTTATTTGAAATGAGATTACATTTATTATCAACTCAATTTACTATGAGTAGTGATATATCCAAAAGATGGCTTAAACTGTGTCATTGTACTAACTCCTAACTGACTACTTTTTCTAGTTTCCTGACTAGAAAAGAATGTAAGTTGATGATTACTTATTCTCATGTCATATTCTGGTTTAGTTTTATCACATTACAAATATGTGATTTAGAGATCTAACTTTTGAATGGCCTTTTCTTAGGCGTAAACTGCATTATATGTTTATTTTTATTTTTTTATTTTGGTAAAAAGATAATAAATATCTGTATCCGCTTAGATGCATTCACGATTATGTATATTTCCTTGATTAATTGTCTCATTCTGTTTTTTCTCATTGGTATTTTCTTTTATTTTGTTTCAGTGATCTGTCATACAACAATTTCACTGGAGATGCAGTGAACTCAAACTGTGAACCGAGGCAAACGTAAGGCTACTTTTAGTTATTTTTGAGTTTTTCTACAAGCTTTATGTTGCTGGCTAAGTTCTCACATATGACATTAAATGTTAGGAACTTGTTCGCAAGCTCTTCAAGGGGCAACACATCGTACGTTTCCTATCAATTACATTTTGATGTCTCTGTCAATATGACACTCGAACAAGGGGGAATTTTCCCAAATATTTCTTCCTTTCACTGCAGTCTCAAATGATGCTCTATTTCTGGATGTTTCATTGTTTTGCAGAGGCATCGTTTCATGCTTAAGAGATACTATTCGCTGTCCAAAAAGTAAGCTAATTTTATTTCACTCTACACAGCAGGCCAGCATGTTTAGATTTCAAGTCTTGTCGAGGGAATTGAAAAAGTACTCTGACCCCAGCTGCAAGCTGGCAAGTTACAAGAAAATTAAGAATGAAATTCTTGCCCTTGTAACACTTGTTGAATTCGGATTCATTCGACTGGGAATAAACACATATGTTTAAGTGGATTCGAGTTTTCACATCTAATCCAAGGGTTTAGCGGCTTACCTTTTTAAGATTTATAAGTGTCCCTTAACTTTGTAAACGAATTGATTTGGACAAAGAGCATTGGGTAGAAATAGTTTACAAAATGTGTAGAAAAAGAATTCAACTTCCATTTGTTTATGGTGGTGCAACCAGAAGCTGAATCTATCTATTTACTGCATAATTACCTTTCTCGGTGCTGAGGTTTAAGTTTTAAGATAGTACTGATCTCCTTGCCTTTGTAACTGGATTGGTGTAGGTATTTACTTTCTGCATATCAATTGTGGTTGAAAAGAAGTGAAATTTCCGAATGGTACAACTTTTGAAGGAGATACAATGCCAGGTGACTCCTCAAAGTTCTTTCCAAGTGCGAGTAGCTGGGCCTTTAGCAGCACAGGCAACTTTTTGGATAATAATCTACCTATTGATACATATATCGGGAACACCTCTGGTATTACTGGGAACAATCCAGAATTGTACCTTGATGCTCGACTGTCCCCTCTTTCATTGACATATTATGGTTTTTGTTTGGGAAATGGGAATTACACAGTTAACCTTCATTTTGCGGAAATAAAATTCACTGACGACAGAACATATGCTAGTCTCGGGAGGCGCTTCTTTGATATATACATTCAGGTTAGTTATTGTTTAATATTTCTTATTTCGTGAAGAAATTTTACTTTTGTGAAAGAGCGGGTGACGTACCTTTAACTTTGTATGCATAATGATTCACAATTTCATCACATCATTCAGGGGAAATTAGTGAAGAAAGATTTCAACATTGAGGATGAAGCAGGTGAGTTAAGAAACCTGTTGTTAGGACTTTCACTGCTGTGGTAAGTGATACGACGTTGGACATCAGATTCTTCTGGGCTGGAAAAGGGACAACCTCTATTCCTGTAAAAGGAGTCTATGGCCCTCTAATTTCAGCAATTTCTGTGGAATCTGGTGAGTTTTATACTACCAAAAGGCTCTTGGGGTTTCTCTATTGGAGTGTTTATTTTGGTTTGAAATAATGAACTGGCTGAGACATTTCTTTGCATGTTGCGTTGGAAATTCTGATTTAAACCCTCATGAACTGAATGCTTTAATATTCTGAAGATGAAGTGAAAGATTCTTCTGCATGCCACTTAAGAAAATGCAATGTTAGGTTGAGAATTGAATGTAGACCTGGGATCAATTCTGATGGGGGAGGGAATTTGGCCACATATTAAATAAATGTGCAGTCCCAAATGGGGATGGAATCTGAGCCCCCAGAACAAAACCTGGTTGGGAATATACTGGGTATGTTTGTTGATGATTTATAAATGTCCAGTCCACAGGGGTGGGTTAAAAAAAAAATACTTATCGCTGCATGTTTGTTTGCATATCCAGATTTTTCACCACCAACGGAGCACAGAAATAAATTGTCAGCAGGTTCTGTTGTAGGGATTGTTATTGCAGTTCTGTTTATTATTTCTATGGTTCTTGTTGTTCTTCGGTGGAAAGGCTGCTGGCAAAATAAATATTCATTGGAAAATGGTAAGCTAACATTTTCTTTGGCAGTATAATGTACTAACATCACGCTATTTCAAGACCATATGGACTTTTCTTTTTTATCTAAAAATTTTGTCATGTAAGGACATAATTTATCAGCTCAATATCCCTTTTGTGGTAAAGAAGATCAAAAAAAAAAAAACATTGTGAAGTTTGTGAGTCCGTTTCGCAAGTTTAAGTGACCAATCTAAATGGATTTTCTCAAAACATCATTAGCATCGTAAATGTGATTTACTTTGAGGAATTTTTGTGGCAGATTTAAGGGGATTGGATTTGCACACAGGATCATTCGCTCTTAGACAAATCAAAGCTGCTACAAATAACTTTGATGCAGCTAACAAAATTGGTGAAGGTGGTTTTGGTTCTGTGTACAAGGTAATTGCAGCAAAATGTTGTTTCTCCATTTTGTCGCATCAGCAAAGTTTATTTTCTTAAATTTTTCTTCTTATCTAACTCTTGATTCTATATGGACTATAGGGTTATCTAGGAGATGGAACTATCATTGCTGTAAAGCAACTGTCTTCCAAATCAAATCAGGGGAACCGAGAGTTTGTGAATGAAATAGGCATGATTTCAGCTCTACAGCATCCCAATCTTGTGAAGCTATATGGATGCTGCATTGAGGGGGAATCAACTGCTGCTTATCTACGAGTATATGGAGAATAATAGCCTTGCTCGCGCCTTATTTGGCAAGTTTATTTTGCATGTGTTTGTTGAATTTCATTTTAGCTTAGGTTGAATGTTATGATCATTTTCTCGCAGAATTTAACACAATTCCTTATCATTCTTTTTGATACACTTGAATACTTTCAGGAGCTGAAGAATACCAGTTACAATTAGATTGGCCAACAAGACGCAAAATTTCTATTGGTATAGCGAGAGGTTTGGCTTATCTGCATGAAGAATCAAGGTTGAAGATTGTGCACAAAGACATCAAAAGTACCAACGTGCTACTTGATGAGGACTTAAATCCCAAGATATCTGACTTTGGTCTGGCTAAGCTAAATGAAGAAAACAGCCATATCAGTACTCGGATTGCTGGAACCTTGTGAGTTATTCATACGATTTCCTCTAATTCCAAAGATTGTTACGAAATATCCTATCAATTTCAGTTTAAGTAACCTGTTTTGAGATTAATTTTCAATATATATTTTTTCTTTTGGTGCATGATGGTGGTTGTGAATAATTTTCGTCATCGCATACTGTCTTGTAGGGGATATATGGCACCGGAATATGCAATGAGGGGCTATTTAACCGACAAAGCCGATGTTTACAGCTTTGGGGTTGTCCTTTTGGAAATTATTAGTGGAAGGAGCAGCACTAAAATCAAACCAAAGCAAGATTGTTTTTATCTTCCTGGCTGGGTAAACTATGATCTTTCTTTTCTACATTTGTGGTTCCATGCTCGTTATTGCTTTCAAGTTCCGAGATTTAGCATGAAGTTCTGAAAACCTTCAAACTCAAATCTAGTAACAGGGATAATTACTTGTTCTATGGAGCATGCGAGGTTTGTATCCAGAGCACTGATATCAATCATATAGAAGAAAACCACCCACCTGGGCCAAACCTTGACCAAAAAGTTTAGGTCATTACCCCTTGGCCACGTTGCCCCTATGTGAGTCTAGGTTTTGTTTAATGGATTTCTTTGCCACTACTCATGAGCCATAATAAGCATACGCTACTTCATTTTTAAAAGAATATACATAGCTTCTTTTTGAGTCACTAAAGTGGATCCATGCATCAGAATTCAGAACATGTTCTCTGTCTCACTGTGACTGCATGTTACACATTACCAAAGTTAGGTTATGTCGGCTGTTGCATTTTTCAGGAGACAATGCTGCTATGCTGAAGATTAATTCTTTTGATTTTTGTAGGCTAATCTGCTGAAGCACAAAGGGAATCTTATGGAACTAATAGATCCAAGACTAGGAACAGACTACGACGAAGAGGAGATTATGCTGACATTGCATATAGCCCTTTGCACGAATGTCACAGCATCTGATAGACCTAGTATGTCTTCTGTGGTTAGCATGTTGGAAGGACGCGGGATTGGCAAAAGGTCGGCTTTGGAACTAGGATGCGGAATTGGCAAAAGGTCAACTTCAGAACTGAGTATGTCGAGCAAATATAATGAGTTTAAGGCCCTAGAATTCTCAAACGAGCCACAGTCTGCAAACTCAAATGAGAGCCAGATACAAGAAGCATCTCCACATTTGCCATTTACTGCTTCTACATCTGCTAAAGATCTATACCCAATTATCCTGGATTCTGACTACTTATTGACAAGATCATAGGTATGGGGGGCTCTTCATGGAAAAAGCCATTAGCCAGTTCTCTAAGTTTCTGCTAACATAAGCAAAGCCATTTGGAAAATTATTCTTGTCATCAAAGCCTAAAATTTCAGATGGGTCCAGTAGGGTATTCGCACTTCCACTCGGAACGAACATTGAAGACCATTCAGAGGCGATTTCACGGCACTTCTATTTATTTTTACAAGAGTTTACAACAAAATAAAAATATGAAATATTCTTTCCGATCTTTATTATAAGGCATTTTAATGAAATTTAGGACAAATCATTATGTGACCAGGGAGTATCAACTTAAAACACCAGGTCACACAAACTGTATCGACTCCATTAGAAAAGTCAGTTTGTCAATCCATTTGGGCCTGGGAAATATTTCCCAAAACTTCGTAACGTAACTATCCTTTATTAGTTCCTAATGTTACAAAATAATTTTTTTTTTTTTTAAAAAAAAAGTGAATACACATGTTCATCTGTTCATTTCTATATTCAGAAATTGCTTGTCTTTTGGTTTCCACAATTTTTGTTAACCTTCTCAAAAATAAATAAATGTGTCAATTTATTGGCAGTTGAATGGATCAATTTTAAATAAATGTGCGATGTACTTCCTGTCATATATATTGGCAGTTGAATGGATCAATCTCCACAAATGCAACAAACAGGATTGATACCATAGTAGCGATAACCAACTTGTGATGATATAATAATTTTATTCATCTGCTTAACTTAAGTCCAAAGTACATCATTTTTTTTCCACACGTTCATTTCGTTGAACTGTATAGGATGAAAATATTTTATTTTTATAAGAAATAAAATGTAATAGTGTTTGGGCGATTATGATCGAATCACCTTCAAAAAAATCTGTGAAATCATCAATTTGAAAAGTCTTCATAAACTCTGAATTGATATTAATTAATTGGTTTATTGATCATATCATCCTATTCGTAACAAATCAATTCCCCGAAAACATTGTCTAGTCTTCGAATCTCCAAGTGGCTTTTTGAGTATCACTTTCATCAGGGTTTATCAGTCATCATACATCATCATTTTTTTTTTCTTTTCCCGACAGGGAAAAGATGTTTTTCATTAAATTACTGGAAATTCGTTCACTGGATTTTTCCACTCTAGTCACTTCTCCCGTGTAACAAGTTTGACATGATTATCACGTCGATAGCATTATACTACGATTTTCAATTTTCTTGTATAGCTAAATCATTCTAGAAATGTAAGAATACTAATTTTAAGTCCAGAAAACTGTATGTATCAAAGGCAAACAAATAAAATTAAGAGGTCAAAATTGTGGTTAGTTGTTACAAAATGGATTTCTTAAGGCTTTTGTGAAACATAATAAAAAGGAGGGGCTTTCTTGCAAAAATTAAGTCTGTAATATATAGAACCAAATTTGAAAATCCCTCTCCAATGTGGGGTAAAATGTAAAACCTCTTTTATGATTTCTCTGATGATGATGGTGGCCGGAGGTGCAGAATACTCAGAGCTCAGAATCTGCCGGGGAAATTGCCGACAAAACTCCCTTGCCAACAAGTAATGTAAGTTTGCCTGCCATTTTATTTAACTGATTAAGAATAACCCATCAAAAAGTTCAGAGCTTTGACCAACTTGATCAATCTTTTTGATTGGAATCTCCCAGTGATCTCTCCTGGAATTACCTTAACGGTACCATCCCCAGAGAATGGGGTTCATTGCGACTTACAAATATGTACGTTCTCGGATTCTTTTTTTTTTTTTTTGGAATGGCTCGGGTTCTTTATTGTGTTGTAACTGTGAATTTATTTTTTCTCCTTTTTTTTTTCTCAAGCAAAAAGGTGGTTCTTTTGGTGCTAAATTTAGTTAATTTGAGTGCATTTTTGTGGCAGTTCCATACTGGGAAACCGGATATCAGGGCCGATACCAAAAGAATTGGGGAAAATCAGCACATTACTTGATCTGTAAGACTACTTTTTATATGTTGATGGTTTTTATTCAATTCTTAGTTTGTCGTGTATGACTTTCCTCATCAATCTATTCAAAATTTTGAAAGGACTTTGGAGCAAAATCAATTGAATGGATCTATTCCTCCTGAGCTCGGGGATCTTCCCAAATTGGAAAAGTTGTAAGACCCCTTTGTGGAAAATAATCTGTATTTGTGTTCAAGACTTCAAGTGTGTTAGTCAACTAATTGGTTGATAGTTACTGCATTTCCCTGAATTATGATAATGTAACACGCCTTTCCTTCGTGGCCATTAAGATCGCTTAGCTCAAATTACTTGACTGGGGAATTGCCTGCAAAACTAGCTAAATTGACCACTTATGAAGGACTTGTGAGCACCTCCTCTTTCCTTCTTGGTTTTACTTTTGAACTCAACAAACTTTCAGTTTCAAAAGCTACCAATTTTAATACATTTGTTTGGACTGCAGTCGGATATCTGATAACCGTTTGGAGGGGATCATACCGAGCTTCATTGCAAACTGGACACATCTTGAAATACTGTAAGACAGAGCCTCCATGGTGTTATCATTTCTGAAATACTTTTACCAGTTCATGTTTGCAATTTGTTGGTTGAGTATTTTGAGTGACTACAGTTTCTGTGGTTGCAGAATAGTTCAGGCAAGTGGTCTTAAAGGGCCGATACCTTCTGTTATTTCTTCCTTGTCCAATGTGACTGATCTGTGAGTCTCTACATTTTAGTTACTTATGGGTTTCTAGTGACTAAGTGCTTTCAAAGTATGTTATAATGATGGTTTATCTTAGTATTTTCTTGACTTGTTATGAATAGGAGAATTAGTGATTTGAATGGAAATGGTGCCACTTTTCCTCTCCTCAGTGGGGCAAAATATTTGAACACACTGTGAGTCTTGAAACATCTCATTTCATTCGAAAATGAGATATTCCTTCATTCTATCTGACTGAATGTGCGATTCTCGTGTAGTATACTAAGGAATTGCAATATTTCTGGGCCATTACCACCATATCTTGGCTCAATAACATCATTGAATCTCTAGTAAGTACATTACATTTTTTTGTTGGCCTGATGTCACTATTAGGCGTTTGTATTACCCTTGCTAGATCTAACTGATTATCTTCATATTTTTGTGGAAAATTTTTGACCAACTAAATGGGAGTATTTTCCAAAAGAAAGAACTAAATGGGAGTCACTTCTATTTGTTTGATGCTTCAATCTGCAATGTTATGTCAAATAAGTAACAGTGAACAAATATGTTGAACAAGCATGTATATGTGGGAAGGAAAAAGATCTCAATATCGGAGGATATTGGATGGCATTATAAGCATAATACGTGCGGCAGGTTTTGTTAGAACTTTAATGTGGCACAGAGGCTGAATAAGTGCTCCTCCACATTAAAGCTTGTCCTGGCTGGAAAGGAATACTGTGAGGTTCTTTTCTGCTCAAGCTGAACAAATTTGTTGTAGTCTGTATCTTTCGTTCAGCAAATGGTTCAAGAGCTAATCTATGTCTTTTATTTTATTTTATTTTATTTTTTCAAAAGAGTTGGGGGTAAAGCTGCATTGCTAATGCATAAGATATTGATAGAGTAGAACAACAATAACCACATTCAAGACTTATAAAGATGCTCTGACATAGAGGCCATTTAAAAAATGAATGTAGTTTTATTTTGATTGATTATAACCCAAACACTGATTTGAGTCTTCCATGGTAGTTTACTAATTGACCCAAATTAGCTGGGAAAATATCTTTTGTTATTGTTTTAGGGTGTGGGTTTATTCTGAATGTATGTCTTATGCTGTCATTCAGGGATCTCAGTTTTAACAACCTCATTGGGCCAGTTCCAGACAGCTACAAGTACTTATCAGGCACGGATTCCATGTAAGGATAAAAGTTATCCTGGATGAAAACGTTTACATTGCTCAACCTGCTCACTGTAAATTTTTTATCCATGACCTTAATTGGTAATATTTTGTGCAGTTTTCTGACTGGGAACTTCCTTTCTGGACAAGTACCTGGATGGATGCTGGAGAGAGGGGATAACATGTAAGTTGATGATCTATCTTTTAAATGACCGAATGTAATCATTATCAAGTGCTGCTGCGGTTCCTCATTATGATTGTATGATTTATGGTTCTTAACTTCAAGATTGCCATTGCTCTTAAATCTCCTTTTTTTTTCCCCTTCTTTATCTAACTTAAACTACACAAATAGATGGGTAAATGGGCAGTTATAGATCAGCTCAAATGATTATCCTCGAGAAAAGCTGAAGAGATGATTTTCTATTTGGCTACTTTCAAGTCTTCTTGTTTATAGCTATGTTCGTAGTAATAGTTTCCTGACTCATTGGCTCATGTTGCTATAGTTTTCTAATTTGTTTCCGCTCATTTTAATCCAGAGATCTGTCATACAACAATTTTACGGGAAGTGGAGCTACACTTAACTGTCTACTAAGAAAAAAGTAAGATTGCTATTAGTTATTTTAGAGTCACGGTTTCCATTATATTGCACTTGTTTGCACTTTGATATCGTCTGTGTTAGGAACTTGTTTGGAAGCTCTTCAAGGGGAAGCACCACGTATGTTTCCACCGACAACATTTTGATTACCCTGTTACTATGGCACTTTAACCAGATGGAAAGTTCCCAATTATTTCTTTTCTCTACTGCAATTTGACAACTGTTTCTGGATCTGTCATTGTTTTTCCAGAGGCCTTGTTTCATGTTTAAGCAGTTTCCAATGTCCAACAAGTGAGCAATCCATTTCCTCTTCCTTTCATGATGTTCTGTACTCTGCAGGGTAGACCAGTATGTCTAGATATTAGGTCTAGACTAGTACATAAAAGCGTATGTGATTCTTAGTTTTAAGCCTGCTAATTATTGGGATTAACAACATTTTCCTATAGATGATGGAAAGGTGAAACTTAAACTCCTGTGCTTGATTAACTTTTGCTGCGAGGTTTTTATTCTACCCCTAATATAACCATGTTGGCAGTTAAGATTTTACATGTACTCTAAGATGAAAGTATGAGGTAAAATCTGGTAAAGTCTAAGTTTGTATTGTTGTTGGGAACATTAAGAGAACTCTAAGTTTGTAAGAAAGCAAAATCTTCTGCTTCATTCCTTTTCTCAAGAACTTTCATTTGTTTATGGTAGTGTAGCCTCAAAAATAATCTGCTTATGACATAACTACTCTACTTCTGTACAGAGATTGAATTTCTAAACTGGTCAACTTATTTTGTTTGTTACTGGCTTCGTTACAGCTGTTTACTCTCTACACATAAATTGCGGTGGAGGAGAAGTGAAACTTGAGAATGGCATATTCTACGAAGAAGATATTAGTTCTGAAGGACCTTCAAGTTTTGTCAAAAGTAGATGTAGCTGGGGATATAGCAGTACAGGTCAATTCTTGGATGATAATGACGATAGTGATACATATATCTGGAATACTTCCCGTGCAGCTGAGAAAAATCAAGACATGTACATGAATGCCTGAATGCCACCGCTTTCATTGACATATTATGGTTTCTGTCTGGGTAATGGGAACTACACAGTAAACCTTCATTTTGCTGAAATAATGTTTACTGATGACAGAACATATGCTAGTCTTGGTAGGCGCTTTTTTGATATTTTCATTCAGGTTTGCTGATTCTTTTCTGTTACTAGTTTAATAAAGAAATTTCTCACTTTTGGAGAATAATCAGAAATGAGAAACAGTGTGGATTCCAATAGATGCATAATAATTATGATTCATCACTTCACAGGGGAAATTACTGAAGAAAGATTTCAATATTGATGACGAAGCAGGTGGAGTTAATAAACCCGTAGTTAGAAATTTTAGTTCGGTTGTCAGTGATAATACTTTGGAAATCCGCTTCTACTGGGCTGGAAAAGGGACAACCTCTATTCCTGTTGGTGGAGTATATGGTCCGTTAATTTCAGCGATTTCTGTGGTATTTGATGAGCGTTGTGTTAAAAAAAAATGCTCTTCTATTGCACAAAAGTAGTAAAGCTCTTCTTCTGAAAGCACCATGCTAATTATTTTTACTATCTTGATTCCAAATCTCTCTCTCTCTATTATATATACACATGCATTAGCAAAATCAACTAAGTGGAAAGCAAAGTTGCACTTCTCTACATTTATGTACATCCAGATATCATCATTCCCTGCTGAGGCAAATTGATGGTTAGGTTTTTCCCCTTAAACTGATTATTTTGGTTTACTAATGAATAGATAGTCATGACGTTTCCTTGCATGTGCATTCAGTTTTTCCCTCATTAACTGTTTTAAGATTCTAAAGATGAAGTGAAAGGTTTCACTGCACGCCTAATCTATTTTCACAATATATAAGGTTTCCCATGACTGATATCTCTTCTCTTGCTGTGTATGTTTGTAATCATAACCAGATTTTTCACCACCAATGACCGAGAAGGTAATAGATTGCCGATAGGTTCTGTTGTAGGGATCGGTATTGCTGTTCTGTTTACGTTTTCCACATTTCTAGTTGCTGTTTGGTGGAAAGGGTGTTGGTGAAACGAAGGTTCATTTGAAAGTGGTAAGCCTTGTTCTTTGGAAGTACAATGTATCTACAGCATGGTATCTCAAGAACGTATCTTATAAACTCTTCTTTTTATCTAAATATTCTATTGCGTAAGGACATAATTTTACCTCCTCAATATCTCTTTTGTGGTAAAGAAGAGGAGAAAGAAATTATCTTTGTGAAGTTTGTGGGTCTGTTTTGCAAGTTAAGTGAGCAACGTAAATGGAATTTCTCAAAACATCATTGACTTCGGAAATGTGCTTTGCTCTGATGAATTTTTGTGGCAGATTTAAGGGGATTGGACTTGCACACAGGATCATTCACTCTTAGACAAATCAAATCTGCTACGAATGACTTTGATGCAGCTAACAAAATTGGAGAAGGTGGTTTTCTGTGTACAAGGTAATGGCAGCTAAGAAAATTTTACGTTGGCATGGTTTTTATTCATTTTTTCTATTTAACTTTGACATCGTTTGTCAACTTTAGGGTCACCTAGGAGATGGAACCATCATTGCTGTAAAGCAACTGTCTTCCAGATCAAATCAAGGGAACCGAGAATTTGTGAATGAAATAGGTATAATTTCAGATCTACAACATCCTAACCTTGTGAAGCTGTATGGATGCTGCATTGAGGGGAATCAACTACTGCTTATCTATGAATATATGGAGAATAACAGCCTTGCACGTGCATTATTTGGTTTGTTCAAATCACATGTTTTTTCGAACTCCTTTCAACCTATATTGATTGTAAAATTCTGTGCATGTTCTCGTAGAAGTTATAAGTATCCCTCATTATTCTTTTGATGTTCTTTCAGGACCTGAAGAACATCAGTTACAATTAGATTGGCCTATGAGACACAAGATTTATATTGGTATAGCAAGAGCTTTGGCTTATCTGCATGAAGAATCGAGGTTGAAAATAGTGCACAGAGACATCAAAACCACCAACGTGCTGCTTGATAAGGATCTAAATCCCAAGATATCTGACTTTGGTCTGGCAAAGCTTAGTGAAGAAAACACCCATATATGTACTCGTGTTGCTGGAACCCTGTGAGTAATTAAGAAGATTTCCTCCGGTCTAAAATTTAGTTACCAGATATCCTGTCAGTTTCAATTTAAGTATCCTGCTTTGAAATATTTTATTTGGGTGCATGGTAGATGGTTGTAAATACTTGTCCTGACCTCGTACTTCTGTCTTTAGTGGCTATATGGCACCTGAATATGCATTGAGGGGCTATTTAACCGATAAAGCCGATGTTTACAGCTTTGGGGTTGTCCTTTTGGAAATTGTGAGTGGAAGGAGTAGCACTAGTATCAAACCAAAGCAGGATTTTTTTATCTTCTTGACTGGGTAAACTCGTGATCTTCTTTCCTACATTTGTGGTTCCATGCTCGTTATTGCTTTCTAGTTCCTAGATTTGGTATGAACTTCAGAAAATCTTCAAACTCGAATCTAGTGACAGGGATAATTACTTGCTCTATGGAGCAGTCACCGGCAAAGTTTGCATCCAGAGCACTGATATCAATCATAAGGAAGAAAATGACCAGCCCGGCCAACCTTGACCAAAAAATTTATGTCATTACCCCTTGGATTCACATTGCCTCTGTGTTATTCTAGGTTTTGCAAAATGGATTTCGTTGCCACTACTCATGAGCCATAATAAGCATTCTCTACTTCATTTTACAAGAATAGAGCTTCTTGTTGAGTCACTAAAGTGGATCCAGCATCAGAATTCAGAACATGTTTCTCTGTCTCACGGATACTGTATGTTACACGTTACCAAAATTAGTTAATGTATTTTGTTGCATTTTTCAGGAGACAATGTTGCTATGCTGAAAATTAATTCTTTTGATTTTTGTAGGCTAATCTGCTGAAGCACGAAGGGAATCTAATGGAACTAATAGATCCAAGAGTAGTATCAGACTACGGTGAAGAGGAGATTATGCCGACATTGCATGTAGCCCGTCTTTGCACGAATGTCACATCGTCTGATAGACCTAGTATGTCTTCGGTGGTTAGCATGTTGGAAGGATGCGGAATTGGCAATAGGTCAGCTTCAGAACTAGGATACGGAATTGGTAAAAGGTAAGCTTCAGAACTGAGTATCTCAAGCAAATATAATGAGTTTAAGGCCCTATAGAATTCTCAAACGAGCAGGAGTCCTGAAAACTCAAATGAGAGCCAGATAGAAAAAGCATCTCCAGATTTGCCATCTACTGCTTCTTCTGCATCTGCTAAAGATCTATACCCGATTATCTTGGATTCTAACTACATATTGACAAGATCATATAGATAAGGGGGCTCTTCAGGGATTATGTATGTGTGTAATGTGTTGATAAATATCCATACTGTTAAAGCGTTTCGGGTTAACCATACTGTTTGTTCCCACAGCTTGCATTTGAATACGGTGTAAAGTGAAATCAAAATTTTTGTTTTAAACGTACTGAAAATCATCTAGCAACGATTGACAAATCAACGCTGAAAACTCTGTTTCAGACCTTGCTCAGTCAGTGCATGAATCCTGGCGAATATAGCCATAATAGTGACATTTCCAGTTTTATTAATCCCAAGTGCCTTCCAGTCTGAATTTCTGCTAACATAAGCAAAGCTATCTGGAGGAATATTTTCATCAGTAGAAAAAGTAGGAGACCAGTAATGCAAAATACTATATAAGTATGACCAAAGAAAAAGCAAGATGTCAACGTCAATTTAACTTCAGAAATCAACGAAAATGTTATAATCCAGGTAGCAGGTATATGGCAATTATCATATCTCCTAATTATTATTATAAGACCTTAACAAACTCATCTCCGTCATCAACTTATTTTTACTTCTTTTTAAAACATTTTTTTCCCTCTTCGAGTTTTTTTTTTTTTTTTTTTCCATTCAGGGGCTATTTTATAGCGTAAAAAAACGTCTCTTGTTACAAAAATAAAAGAAGCAAAATCTAAAAAATATGAATTAAATGTAGTAGTATATGTTACGGGAGTGGGAAAGGAAAGAAAGATCCATTTACAGTCTTTCAACTTCATGGTTTGATTGAGTAATACACAAGGATTTCATCAACTCATTTCTATCCTGAAACAAATTCAATGTGTTATGAATGAGATAGTTTAGTTCAGACTTGTATCAGAAATTAAACTAACTCCATGTATCGAATATTATACTATCTGATGATACGAGCAAACCATGGGAGCCCATTATAATCAAGAACATGTATACAGGAATTCATCTCAACATCATCAATAAACAATACTATGAAGTATGAAAAGGCAACTTGTGGGACGATTTTTTGTTTATCGAATTCCAGTCACAACCAACCTTTTCGTTATTTTGGTTTCGCTAACATATTCATCTTTGACCTTGCGTTCGTGATTACAATTTCTACGCTTACCATCAATCTATGATGAATCGATGAAAAGTAGCGATTTCAATCAACTGTATTTTTATTGCAATGAAAACGTAGTGTGGACAGCTCCTATTTTATTAAATTGAGGTCTTGCTAAATTTTTGTTCCAAAAAAAAAAGATTGAAATTGGATCACTTCAAAGTAAAATAAAAAAAATAAAAATAAAAAAGTCTTGATCAACTCCCAATTGCATATTCATGCGACATCATTCCCTACCTAATGAATTCCCGGCATCGTACTAACAATAAAAAAAAAGTCAATTCCTAACTTCCAATTTGTTTTCTCATTATCAAAGTTCAAATCCGTGGTACCAGATGACAAGGTCCAACCTTCCCTCCAACTTGATGTTTTAATTAATTTTAGTGAAACCAACCTATTCCCACATTCAAACATCTTGTTCATCACCATTGTCTTCTTCTTCATCATATATACCATAATTTTTTTTCCCATTTTGCCTTGTATGAAATTTTCAGGAAAAAAAAAAAAAAATGATGTTTCCTAGAGTGTTACTGCTTCTTGTTTCAGCCAATGCTTTCATTTTTCTGGCAACTATTCCTTGTGGAAACTCCCTTACTCTTCCTGCAGATGAAGGTAACGTATAATAGATTTGCGGGTTACTTCATAGTACTACTCGTTTTGTATCATCATCATCATCATCATCTTCTTGTTTTTATGTTTATTTTATTTGATCAAAATGTTGGGTTTTGTAGTGGAGGCTTTGAAGGAGATTGGGGCAACTTTAGGGAAGAAAGACTGGGATTTCAGTGTTGATCCATGCAGTGGATCAAGCAACTGGGTTGATCCAAAAGCCACCAAAGATAACATGAACGCGGTTACTTGTGATTGTTCCTTCGCCAACAACACTGTTTGCCATGTTGTTAGCATGTATGATCCTCAAAACACTGTTTGGCTTGGCTCTGTATGCTCAAAGAAACAAACTTTTTTACTACATTTGTTTCAACCATTATTAGCCCTTTTGTCTTTATAATTTCTTTTTGTCCCAGAACAAGAGTCGTGTTTGTTGTACTAAAATAGTTTAATATAAGGTGACTCTTATTTTAGGACGCAGTGCATGAGTATTGTATTTTGAATCAATTTCTCGATAGGAATTCAAAACCTGGGAATCCAACTAGCAAATTTTTGGAAGACACAGTTACCTTCTTTATGATTGTGTCTGTATACATGCAGAGTACTCAAAACCCAGAATCTTTCCGGAACGCTGCCTCCTGGATTGACCAAACTCCCCTTCCTACGAGAAATGTAAGTAAACATAAATCCAGAGCCTTCACATTTCTGAGCAAACTGAATTGGTGAAATTAAAGAAGGAACCCATCAAAAAAGTTTGAAACTTTGACCAATTTTGATTACCATTTGGCAGCGATTTGACCCGGAACTACCTGAGCGGTAGCATCCCCAAGGAATGGGGTTCCATGAAACTTGCTAACATGTACGTCTTGCTTGCTCCCTGATCTGTTTCTTGGTTATTTGAAGCCACAAAGGTTGTATTTTTATTTTTTTTTTTCTAAATTCAAGAGTATATTTGTGTATATTGCAGTTCCATACTTGGGAACCGGGTATCAGGGCCAATACCTAAAGAATTGGGAAATATCAGCACCTTAGCCAATCTGTAAGACTTTGTAGTTCACTGATTTCCTTCAAGTTTTTGGTTGTTTGTTATGTTCATTTAATGGTACGTTTTGAGTCTTGATTTTTATATGTCATAACATCTGATTAGGACTATGGAGTACAATCAATTGAGTGGACCTATCCCTCCAGAGCTTGGGAACCTCTCCAGCATAGAGAAACTGTAAGAACCCTCTTGTCTGATTCCATCTGTATCCTGGTTGTTCTCATAGTTTAGTCAACAAATTGATTGTTTTTCCATCTGAAATTTCTTCACTTCTGTGAATGTAACTTGTCTTCCTTCTTTTGGCAATAAAGCTCTCTAATTTCGAACAACTTGACTGGGGAGTTGCCACCAGAACTTGCTAAATTGACTACAATAAAGGACTTGTGAGTTCCTCGCCTTTACTTTTGGATTACACATGCAATATTTTTTCAAGTTTGATAATGTGACTAAATGATCTCGAATGTAGTCGGATTTCTGATAACCAGATTGTGGGGACTGTGCCAGGCTACATTTCGAGCTGGACACATCTTGAAAAACTGTGAGACAATAGCGCCTTTGCCGTTATCAAATTCTGCATGTTGCAATTTGTTAGTTTCAGTTTTCCAGTAACTGATTTTTATTGTGGCAGAGTGATTCAGGGAACAGGTATGAATGGGCCATTACCTCCTGGTTTAGGTTCCTTGGCAAATTTAAGTGATCTGTGAGTCAGTACTTATTTTGATTCCTGCTTGGCTTTTAGTAACTAAGTCGACGGTGCTTAACGTATGATACATTGATGGTATGAACAGGAGAATCAGTGATTTGAACGGAGACAACATGAGTTTTCCTTCCCTCGGTGGGGCGATAAAATTGAAAACACTGTGAGTATTCAGACATTTCACTTCCATGTAAAATGAGATATTCATTCTATGACTTGATATGCAATTCTTGTGCAGTATCTTAAGGAACTGCAATATTTCTGGGACATTACCAGAAGATCTTGGCGCTCTTACATCATTGAAGATGTTGTGAGTATACTTAAATCTCTCTTAGGCTGATGTTCCTGTTAACCTTTTGCAAGACCAAAACTTAATGACTCTGAATTTGTGTGACATCAGATACATTTTACTCCCTTACTTTTGATGTGGCAAACTCCAACTTTATATCAAATAAGAGACAACAAAGAAATGATTTAAAGAAGCAGTAGTTGTATTTAGGAAGGGAAAACTCGATATCTGAATGTATCAAATGGTGGCATATTGCTCATTTATGCATCTCCAGGTTTTGTTAATTGAATTTGACTGTGGAATAGAGGACTGAAAGCAGTCTCCTCCACATTTAAATTTTGCCTGTCTGCAAAGTAATACCCTAATACCGAAAGGTTCTTTTATCATTGAGCTGAATAAAATTCGCCGTAGTTTCTGTGTCTTCTTCCAGCCAACTGCAAGTCAAAGATAAAATGAACTTTCTTTTCAAACTGAAGATAACATCAAAGCAAATTTCTATTTTCTGAAATATTGCTCTTGTGATACACATATTAGCCGTCAGTCATAGTTTACATGCTTTCATATATCTTGCAAAAGCATTTATGAATTGCTGTCTTACAGGGATCTCAGTTTTAACAAACTAACTGGACAAATTCCAGAAAGCTATGCGGCATTGTCAACCGTGACCAGCATGTAAGGATTCTTATAGATCATGTTAGATGGAAAAGGAAAATTATTGCTGAATCTGTTTACTAGAAGAAGAGATAATCTATTTGCCAAAAAAAAGAGATATCCAGACGCGGCTTTACAATAGAAAATAACCTTCACAGGACTAACACGGAAATGTTCATTTTTCTAGTTTTCTGACAGGGAACAACCTCTCTGGACCAGTGCCTGATTGGATGCTGAGTAGAGGAAATGAAATGTAAGTTGATGATCAGTTAACTTCATGACCAATGGAATGGTTGTCAAATATTGGTTCAGTTTTTTTTTTCTGATGGTATTGATAACTATATGATTTAAGGTTACTGATTCGACAATTGCTTACGATTTCCTCTGGTCTTATTTGTGAACTTGCATCACATAAGTAAATGATAACAAGGATTATGTATAATAAGCTAAATGGATGACCATTAAGAAAAGCTGAAAACAATACCTCCTTGCTCCGTGTTCATTCAGGTCTTCTTGTCTAAAGCAGTGTTTCATAGGTTTAAACATTGACTGATTTGCTCATTTTGCACTGGACATTCTGATTGACCATTCCTTTAAATTTATTCCAGTGATCTGTCGTACAACAATTTTTCTGGAAACAATCTGGACTCGAATTGTCAACCGAGAAAGACGTAAGATTGGTTTTAGACCTCTCAACATCATAGTTTTTGTCTTCTGTCTAACACCTTTGAGATTAATTTGTTTCAGGAACTTGTTTGCAAGCTCTGCTAGGGGAATCACATCGTAAGTATCTGATCAATAGCATCCATTGATATTGTTGTTCTTCTCTTTTTAACTGCAGTCTCAACCAGATGGTAATTATTCTGTATATTTCTTCTTCTTTTCTTTTTTTTTTTCTTTCTTTTGCAGAGGCATTGTTTCCTGCTTAAGAAACAGCTTCCACTGTCCAACAAGTAAGTTAATCTTGTATTATTTCTTTAATTTCAGCATTTTATACGATTTGTAGAGTAGGCCAGCTTAGTTAGATTTAAGTCTTTTGGCAAGAAAACAAAAAGATTCACATGATCCGAGCCGCAAGCACTGTGAATTATGAAGTTTATCTACATTTTGAAAGATATGTAGATGTGACCTTGATAATATTTCCTGTCTACGTAATAGGTGTATACTCTCTGCATATAAACTGCGGTGGAGGCGAAATGAGGCTTAAAAATGGTACCCTTTTCGAAGGAGATATGAATTCAGGGGGACCTTCAACATTCTTCCGGAGTGCGAATGGAAGTCCCTGGGCAGTTAGCAGCACGGGTGAATTTTTGGATAACAACCTCCCGAGTGATTCATATATCTGGAGTGCTCCAGGCGTATCTGGGGATAATGCAGCATTATATATGAACGCCCGAATGTCCCCTCTTTCATTGACATATTATGCATTCTGTCTCGGAAATGGGAACTACACCGTGAACCTTCATTTTGCAGAAATAATGTTCACTGATGACAGAACATTTTCTAGTCTTGGGAGGCGGTTCTTTGATATTTACATTCAGGTTCCTTCTTCTTTCATGCTTCAAATTTTCAGACAGATGTTTGACTTAAAAAAAAGTATTTGTGAATTCTAATAGCTGGGTCAAAGTAAACAGATCTATGGCTAGGTAAAATTGTTCTTTGTACTTCCTGTGCACAATGATGGTTCATGATTTTCATCACATTGTTCAGGGGAAGCTGGTGAAGAAAGGCTTTAATATTGCAGCTGAAGCTGGTGGAATCAATAAACCAATTTTTAGAAGTTTTACTGCTGTTGTTAGTGATAATACATTGGATATTCGATTCTTCTGGGCTGGTAAAGGCACAAATGCGATTCCTTTAAGGGGAGTTTATGGTCCTCTAATTTCAGCAATTTCTGTGGAACCTGGTAAGAGTTATAGCCATAACAACTTTGCATCATTCTGTTGACTTCGCATGTCTCTTTCTCTAACTCTATATAGGTCAGTGCAGTCATAAATACACGCACACACATGCACGCAATGATGCCTTGCCGAGGCAAATTGTACTCTTCAAGTGATTATTTTTGCTTAAAACAATGGCTAAAAGGCTATGATGTTTTCTTGTGTTATTGCTTTTCAATATTAGTTTTCCATCTTCCGGAACTGTTTTAAGATTGTGATGATGAAACCAAAGATTTATACTGCATGTGTTTTCTACTTTCGAAGAAGAAAATTGCAAATCATTCTTTCTCTTTCTTACCATTTCTGTGTTCTTATCCAGATTTTCGACCACCAGGATCGAATGGAAATAGGTTGTCAGCAGGTGGTGTGGCAGGGATTGTTATAGCTGTTCTGTTTACCATTTCCACGGTTCTAGTTATTATTTGGTGGAAAGGCTGTTTCCGAAGGAAAGATTCATATGAAAACGGTAAGGCTTTGGCAGTATAGTTTCTACATACGGCTCTATTTCCTGACTGCATGACATGTATTAGCTCTTTCAAAGCTATGTTTCATCATCACATGATTTCATCAATTTAATAACTGCAGTGGAATAAAGAGAATATATCTTTTGTACCCATGAAGTTACTGTTGTACTTCATACCTTGATGCATCTTGTTTCAAATTTTACGCCTATTTATCTAGATTTTCTCGAGAAAATGTCAGGATCACTAAGCATGCTTACTTTGATGAAATTTTGTGGCAGATTTGAAGGGTTTAGACTTGAACACAGGATCATTCACTCTCAGACAAATCAAAGGTGCTACAAATAATTTTGATATAGCTAACAAAATTGGAGAGGGTGGTTTCGGAACTGTGTACAAGGTAATAGCAACAAGGTGTCAGATTTCGAAATTTACCGCATTAAAACATGTTCTGATTATTTAATTCCTTTGTCCACTGAAGGGTCACCTGGCAGACGGAACTGTCATTGCCGTAAAGCAACTGTCTGCCAAATCCAATCAAGGGAACCGAGAGTTTCTGAATGAAATAGGCATGATCTCAGCTTTACAACATCCTAATCTGGTGAAGCTTTACGGGTGCTGCATTGAGGGGAATCAGTTAATTCTTATCTACGAGTACATGGAGAATAACAGCCTTGCTCGTGTATTATTTGGTAAGTTTAAATGCGCATCCTTAGGTTAAAGTTCAGTTCCAACAATTTTGAATCCCATTTACACATAGTAAGTTATCATAATTCCTTGCAACTCTTTATACGCCTCAATACTTTCAGGACCTGAAGAACACCAGTTACATTTAGATTGGCCAACAAGACACAAGATTTCTATTGGTGTAGCAAGAGGTTTGGCTTATTTGCACGAAGAATCTAGGTTGAAGATAGTCCATAGAGACATCAAAGCAACCAATGTGCTACTTGATAAAGATTTAAATCCCAAGATATCTGACTTTGGTCTAGCAAAGCTTGATGATGAAGAAAACACCCACATAAGCACTCGGATTGCTGGAACCTTGTAGGTTACTTATAATAGCTCCTTAAGTTTGATACTAATATTTCCTTTGAAGATTGTCAATTCCTGTACTGATCTAATTCATACTTCTGACGCTTAGTGGATACATGGCGCCTGAATATGCAATGAGGGGATACTTGACAGACAAAGCTGATGTCTATAGCTTTGGAGTTGTCCTTTTGGAGCTGGTCAGTGGAAGGAGTAACAATAGCATCAAACCAAAGCAGGATTGTTTCTACCTTCTTGACTGGGTAAACTCATTAACTTACACTCTTACATTCGTTCTTGTTTCACGCTTGTCGATGCTTTTAATATACTAGTAGATTAGATATAACACTACTTAAGGAAAAAAAAAAAAAGTATATTTCTCAGCAGAATCGCAATTTGTTTTGAACATTTTTTTAGGCCAATCTGCTGAACGAGGAAGGTAACTTAATGGAGCTAATAGACCTGCGACTAGGATCAGACTACAACAAAGAGCAGGTTATGAGGACATTGCATATCGCGCTTCTTTGCACGAATGTGGTGCCCACAGAGAGACCTAGCATGTCGTCTGTAGTTAGTATGTTGGAAGGGCGAGGCGGAGTTGACATGATCAGTTCAGCTTCAAAACGAAGTGCCTCAGGTAAACATAAAAAGCTTAAGTCCCTTGGACTGACAAAGGAGCAGCAACAGCTTGCGAATCCAGGCGACAGCCAGATTGAGATGTCGATGGACGTGCCATTCACTGGTTCTTCGACGGCTACAGGAGATCTATACCCTGGAGATCTGTACCCATTGGTTCCGAATACTGAGTTTTTACTGGACAGATCATGAGAACTAAGGTGGATCTTCTTGGATTGTGCATTTCCATTAGTCTTATTCCTTTGGTGGTGTAAATCAAATTAACGTTGAACATATATTCCTGTTATAAGAGACTTTCTATATATCACTATCAAACTGTATGTATCCCATAAAACAAGTAAGAGAGAGCTTGATTATTTATCAAAAGTGCCAGTTTCTTCTATTTGGACAGTTCAGTTGAAATTCCTGATTGTACTATGAAGAGCACCTAAATCAGAAGGCTAATTTTTAGGCAAAATTCTAGATTTGGCCATATGTGGCAACTACGTATGCATCTATTTTGGCTCCAATGCATTATATTTCAGATTTCAGAAATCTTTTTGCCACGTGCAAGTCTCTTTTAATTAGAAGTTATATAATTTTTTTTAAAAATAAAACACATGTTTTACTACAAATAAGAATTAGTTACATTTCAAACGAATGGATATATTAATTCAAATTCAAATGTCCAATCGTATAGTTTTGCAGGCTTAATATAAACAAAAAAATAAAAATACCTAAATCCAGCAATTAAGAATAATGCCTTATAAACTAATTATTTATTATTCCCTTATAACCTCAAATTTATAGATATATTTTTTTAAGCCCCAAACCATAGCATAAATGATATATACGTCAAATTAATTCCTCAAAAAATAGTAATTCAATTAGATTTTAATAAAATAATAATTTAGAGGGGGCGCCCGGACATCTGTCCGGGCCAAGCATCTAGTTTTATTTTAGAGTAGTGATAGGTACAAGGAAAAATTGACAAGAAAAAATAACGAGAAATGATGTGTCATGATCTTAACTATGCCCTAATCTTAAATGCATTAACCCTGTTTGGAAAATTTTAACAATGGATGAGTGAGATCATTCCCTTGTTATTTTTTTCTCTTGTACCAATCATTATCTTTTATTTATTATTTTAATTGAAACACTCAAATTTTGACCATTCTACAATCCTACTCAACAATTTGACTTAAAAAGTGGAGTGGACTTCGATCTTTTTCTATATATCCTCAAACCAAAAAATGGATGGGTGCTTAAAGATAAAACTAATAAGAGGAACTCAAGGGCCTTATCTTGTAATTCAAAAATAGGTAGAAACTCATTTTTCAAACGTCAGTTAGTAACAAATAATATCCGGCCAGTAAATAGTTAGTTGTTAATTTTTATTTTGTTTCACGGAGCAGTTGCTTTCAAAACCTCAGTTTGAACCTAAATATGTGTTCTCTTATATTATTTAACATTACAACATGAAACAGAATTCCCAAATATTATTCGAATTTGAATTCCATGCAAAAGATTTTGCATATAGGCGACAGAGACAGCCACCAATTGATGATGAATTTGCACAAAATGTTGATGAGTTGATCAAATGATATTAGTGATCTAGATCACACTTCATTTGACAACAATCATCATCATCATGAACATTTTCATTTTCTCAAGTTTTCTTCTTCTTCTTCTTGTTAATCAAAATGGGTACCAGATTGATGCCAAAGAATACTGTAATTTCTTCAAAGGAAGTTGGGTTTTTGATGAAACTTACCCGCTCTATAATTCATCGCAATGTCCCTTCATAGAGCACGTTTTTAACTGCCAAAGAAATGGCCGACCAGATCACAATTATCTTAAATACCGATGGCAGCCTCAAGGTTGTCACTTAAAGAGGTACGTAGGTTCTCAATATTCATGAATTATTTTTTTTTATTTGATTTTTCTTCTTTTCTTTTCTTTTTTTTTCTAGTGGATTATACAGATTGTGATTTTTTTTTTAATTTTATTTTTGGTGGGATTTGTACAGTTTCTGCGGATATGGATTCTTGAATAAATTCAGGAACAAAAGCATAATGTTTGTGGGTGATTCTTTAACCCGAGACCAATATCAATCGTTCTTATGCATGATCTACACATCCGTGCCCGGAAACAGATACACTCAGAAACGAGAAGGGGATATTTCCACCGTTACATTTTTGGTATTTTATTTCACCCTTTTTTTTTAACGTGTGTCTTAGATAAACAGTCAACTTTGATTCATTTCGATAAAATGAAGTGAACTATTCTTTCTGAAACGAAAAGATGATACTGATGAAGATTGTTTTGAATGGATGTATGAAGGATTATGGATTGGAAGTGAAGTTGGATAGGAATTTGTACTTGGTGGATATGGTACGAGAAGACATTGGAACAGTACTAAAACTGGATTCGGTTGCCAACAAAGCCTCCAAATGGTTGCAAAATGACGTTCTTATCTTCAACACATTTGCTTGGTGGGGCAGAAAAGGAAACAGAAAACCGTCAGTATATTTATTTACAACTCCAAATTGTTAATGGAGAAATTTTTTTAAATATTCATCTTTTTGGAAATTCGGTTGGATGATTAAAATTTCTTATATATCATTATTATTTGCAGATGGGATTTTGTTCGATTCAGGAACAATACAATGGAAGACATGGATCGAACGGTGGCGTTCAAGTTGGGACTATACACATGGATATGGTGGGTGGAGCATTTTATCGACCCGGCTAAAACCCGGGTCTTCTTTCAAACAGTTTCTCCAGCACATTACAAGTAAGTTATTATCCAATTGTTATTATCACGAAAATGAAGTTTTACCCAATCATGAAAGGAATGAATTTTGTTAGAAGCAAGTTGTGTAAATGCGATAGTGATGATCATGATAACGAAGTTTGATGTATTCTTGTAGGCAAAATGTGTGGTTAGTCATATTTTAATCTGTGTATATATATTTAATCAGAAACGTTCATCTGTCTCACCTCTTATTATAAATGATGGCGTAACTAATAAACTAATGTCGACAATTGAAATTTTCCCTCTCTTTTGTGTATGACTAAAACAGTGGAAGAGAGTGGGATGATCCAAACTCCAAGAACTGTGGAGGGGAGACAGAGCCGGTGCTCGGTTCGGAATATCCCGGAAGCCTGCCGCCGGCATTGGGTGTCCAGAAAAGGATCATAGGGACAATAAAGACGAAGGTGAAATTGCTTGATATAACCCACCTTTCACAGTTCAGAAAAGATGCACATCCAACTGTTTACGGCGAGTTTGGCAAATCTGGAATGGACTGCCTCCATTGGTGCGTTGCCGGAGTTACTGATACTTGGAATGAAATTTTATACAATCTTCTTCTCTAGAATACTATTATTTTTCTGTAATCATTTTTTTTAAAGAAAATAATTCAAGGTAACATTTGTTGTTCTTTTGGTCAAAAGCCAGTCTAAGAATAATAAGTGTATTTGTTTCAAGCACATTATGTAGTAACATACAATAGTTTGTTGATGATAATCCACTCATTTCTATTCAATACACATTTTTATATATCTAAGACATGATTAGAATCAAAGCGAGAAAATAAAAACAAATGTATTTTGCATTACTAAACAATAAAGTTTGGTTAACATTTTTTTGGCAGAGTAACAAAAAAAAAAAAAAAGAATTTCTTTGGGTGGTTAGCTGAATTATGAAACTTGCAATTGCGGGTCTAATAACAGTAATAGAACATTTCCATTAGGTACTCTTACGCTTATCATAACCTAATCAAAATTCCTGTCACTATTAAAATTAAATTTCATTAGGTAACTAGTTACTAGTCAGAATCCTAATTATGTGTCATAACTAAAGAAAAGAAAAAAAAAATAAATATGGAATAATCAAGGATAGTTTCTAAATACGAGTGGATGGTGAAATTTCATTTCATACATTTATTCCAGTTGTAATCATTTTGTTTTCAATCAACTAAAACGAGTTTTTTTTTTGTTTATAACTGTGTGTTCACACTTCTTTGTACTTCCTGCCCATCTAAGATTATGTACATGCACATATATGTGCATTCCCTATCCCTCCGGGTCCGGGATGACCCAACTGGCCGAATTTCCTCCTCTAAAGATTGACACATCCTATTCCGATTAAAGTCTGAGCTGTATATATTCTCGTCAATTCCCCATCCAATCTCTCTCAACTGTCACTTTTCGCTTTGAGAATAACAGTTTATGATTCCTTCATTTGATTCATGGCAAGAATCACACGATCAAACCAAGTTAGAGCGACACCTCCAATATGACAAATTGTTTAGGATTTGTTGTTATTATATATGACTCAATTATTTCGGTACCATGTAATGTTACATTGACGAGTAGATTATTCACTACCTTATATATAGATTCAATGCTTTCTTCGTTCACCTTGTTTATGAATTTGATTTCCACAAAGGAAAATGATAGATGGAAGCGCAGCGATGGAAATGTAATTGTTTATATTTATTGACTCATACAAATGTTTATATTACCTTAAACTTAAAAGTATTATTCTGTTATTCCTATTTTCAAGTTTTTTAAAAAGGTTAAAAAAAAAAAAAAAAAACCCCTCAAATCTTAAGCAATCATTTCAAAGTGCCTAAGATTTGATGTATGTTATATTGTTTCTTACATCCATTTTTCAGTTTTCACAGAAAGAGTTTGGATTGCGCAAAGAGCGCTCTTTGTAACAAGTATAATCTCTAACTCGTATAATTCTGTCCAACCCCTTGAGACGCTTGCTCGTTTCTTTTTTTTTGTTTTTTTTTTTTTGGATTAATCATGATATATAATTAATGTACTTAATTGTGTAGTACTTCCTCGGTTCCAAAATAAGTGTCATTCTAGAGTTTTTACACAGTTTAAGAAAACATTAAATATGGTAGCTAAATTACTAGAACATCCTCAACCAACCTTATTAAAATAAATACTCACCAATAATATTTTTTTTTTAGCGTATGTTTGGAAATTTTTGAGAAAAAATGCATTGGAATCTGAAAATGACACTTATTTGAAACTTCTCCATTTTGCTAAAATGACACTTATTTTGGAATGGAGGAAGTAATTATTTTGGTTATTATAGGAAAAATTATTTCCTAGCTTTTATTAAATACAAGACTTAATTCATCCGCATCGAATCTAGACAAATTAGCAACTATAATATAGCGATTCTAGGTATACCTAGGGTGAAACTCACACGACCAAAAAAAGAGGAACTCCCAATATTTGCAACAATGTCATCTGAGTGTTTACACGCGCCCATTAATACCTCCATTATGTGCTACTTTTTGATTTTCAAATCACGGTAACCGTTGTTTGCTCCTAATTTCCGGCCATTAACCCTATTCAACTTTCTTTTCGATTCAATCCAGTACGTCTCAAACCAAAACTTCAGAAAAAACAAATATCCATCCCGAAGCTATACGGCGACAAAAAGCTCCCCGATGTGGTACTTTCGAAGAGGAAATCATTTTGTGCAACAAATCCAACGATTTGGGTTGCGATATACTCTACTCCGACTGAGATTTAAGGTAATATATGGTCTAATTCATCGATTTTGTGTGTTTATTGCATCTATCAAGTTCTAATAATGTCGTTTTTGTTTTCTGAAATATTCATATAGAAGCCTGCGATTGAGGAATCTGAACCGAGTATGGGCACATCGAAAGATGAAGAAGAAGTTAGGTAATACTACTATTCTCTTCAACAATCGATGTGTTTTCACGGTTCGGTTATGTAGATCTAAGGTATTTTCACTCGATTTGAGATGTTTGTTCATTAATTTTTAGTTTTGTGCATAGATGTAAGTTATATTCACTCGGTTGACGATGTTTGTTCATCAATTTTAGAGTTTTGTTTTTCGATTGGATGTTGTTTTTCTGGTAAATTGGTATATTTGTGTATTATTCATCATGTTAGTATAATTATTCATTATTGAAATTGTCAGATTCATTGTTTACCATAACTATGTAGTATTTTTTTGGGTAAATTAGTAGATCTTTATATTATTCATCAGTTTAATATAATTATTTATTGTTGAAATTGTCGGATTCATCGTTTACCATAACTATTTAGGATTATTTTTTTGGTAAATCACTAGATCTTTGTATTATTCATCAGTTTGGTATAATTATTCATCAGTTTGGTAAATTAGTAGATCTGGATATTATTCATCAGTCTAGTATAGTTATTCATTGTTGACATTGTCAGATCCATCGTTGACCATAAATATGTATTATCCATTCGTTAATTTTCTTCATCAGTTTGGTATTTAGTATTCATCAGATTGTGTTTTTTTTTTTTTGGATATTCGTCCGCAAATAGATGTTATTCATTAAGTCGGCAAGGAACAAAACATAAAACCAGTTATGTACTATGCATTAGATATGTATAATTATTCATCAGTTTTGTATAACTATTCATTATTGAAATTGTCAGATTTATTGTTTATCATAACTATGTATTATGCATCTGTTAATTTTCTTCATCAGATTGGTGTTTGGTATTTATTATATTGTGTTGTTGTGCTATTCATCCATGAAGGGATGATATTCATTGGATCGACAATGATTATTAATTTTCAATTTCATAATCTGAAAAAAGTACATGATATCTTGTCATTGTCAAAATGTGTATTCATCATCTATGTACAGTTATTTATTAATTCACAAAAAATTGTTCATTAATTTTGTGATACATCTGATACGTTGATATTAATTAACACAATTAAAAAATTGTCCAATAATGATTATTCATCTTTAATAGTATTGTTATGGATGATTAACAGAGTTTTGATTGAATGTGAAATCTCACTTATTATAATGTTCTTTTTGTTTGATCGGCAGCAAAGAAATGCTTATCAAGATGAAGTCGATCGGCCGGGAATTAAATATTTTGCCAGAGTTGCTGAAATCAAACAATCAACATAAACGTGTATCGAACATCGGCAAATCTTTCAAGACCTTATATATTAAAAACAATGACTAGTTTTTTTGTTTATTTTTTATCTAGTATAATACATAATTAGAAGTTTGTTAGTTTAGTTGCTAATATTAATCCATTGTAATATATATTTTTGTTATCAAAATTATTCATCTAGTAACGTATATTATTCATTCATTAAAGTACAATTACTCATCTTGTAAAACTACAACTATTCTTGATTGCAATATTGTTATTCATTTAGGATGAGATCATTATTCATCAGGTTTGCATCGTTATTCATCTTTGTGAATATCGTTATTCATTACAAAATTTAAATTTATTCGTCCATAACGTTATCACTATAAGAATATCATTATTCATCACGTCCATAACGTTGATATTATAAGTAGCAAAAGCCTCTTCCTCAGAGTTGAAACATCGTCCAATAAGCACAATAGATGTTATTCATTAATAACAACTTGTTATTCATTACTTAAAATAAGATACTCATCGTAAAATCTTAACAAGATGATACACCATCTGCCAAAAAACAACAATGAAATTCATGTTCATCAGTAATCATATATAACGCATCACCTTACGCATGTATATTCACAATAAAACGAATACATTCTACATCATTCATTTTTCAATTATTGCATAACATTATTCATTGTCTAAACGTCGGTTATTCATTACTAAGAAAATACACATTGATTCTCCATATTCATAAGTTTCAATGATTCACCATAGTCAATTTTACCAAAATAAAATCCATCGTTATAAAAAAATTATCTCATAAAATAAAATAATATAAAAGCTAACATGATAAGCCAAAAAAAAAGATTTAAAATTAAACGTGTGTTAAAAAAAGGGGATAAAATTAAGGGGTTAAATGCCAAAAAAATGGGATAAAATGCCAAAAAAAAGAGATAAAATTAGGTGATTAAATGCGGGATTGAATGATGCACGTGAAAACATAAGAATCAAGATAAATTGTCTACTTTTTTTGACTTTGGGTGATATACACGCACTGGTATAGGAGCTTAATATTATTTGCCGACAAATTAGTGCCTATTTCTTTTTCTTTTTTTTTTCTTAGACACAAAAATAATGCTGCAATTTTCCTTCTTAAAAAAATTCCGGAAATAACAATGAATGAAAAGCATAGCATCAGATTGTCCAAATCCAGATAATTTGTTACAATAACATTAATTGCTTGGCTCTACAAGGAAATGTTCCTCTATATATTTTTTCCCCTTCTTCTTCTTTTAATATTGGACAGGAGTAGTTATTATTTTTATTATCTGTGGTACAGAACTACAAACTCAGATATTGTGGAGAACTCCGTAGTTCTCTTCTATATATCAAAACAAAACAATGTTCCATATGATTAACCTTTCTCCTCTTCTTCTGCTACTCCTTTTACTTAATCATGATCCGATTCAGATGACCAATGCAGAATTGGGCTGCGATTACTCCAATGGGAATTGGGTATATGATCCAACTTACCCACTTTACAATTCAGCCCAATGTCCCTTCATCGAACATGTCTTTAACTGTCAAAGAAACGGCCGCCGGGACCGGACCTATCTTAAATACCGGTGGCTACCTCTCGGCCGCTGCCGCTTAACCAGGTAATTAATTAAAATTAATTAATTTGCTCTAAGAAAACAAAAAAAACAACATCATTAATTTCTTCATCATCACTTCTGTTTTCCAATTTCTATTATGTCTTACAATTTAACCGCTATCATTTAGATTTAGTAACTAACTTCTTTGAGTTGTTTCATGCATTTAACATAACTATATTGTATATTTGGTGGGTTTTATTATTCAACAGATTCAACGGGACAGAATTTTTGCAGAATTTTAAAGGAAAAAGCATAATGTTTGTGGGAGATTCTTTATCTCGAGATCAATACCAATCTTTGTTGTGCTTGTTGTACACTTCGTCACCCGGGATCAAATATAATGAGACAAGAGTTGGCGATATCTCGACAGTAACTTTTTCGGTATGAGTTTACTTTTTTTTTAATTTAATTTTGTACAAAAACGTGTTATGATTACTTGTATTGACTGATTGATAATTAATGTATATGTAATAATTGGTTGTTGGCTTTTGGCAGGATTTTGGAGTTAAAGTGAAGCTTGATAGAAATGTGTATTTGGTGGATTTGGTACCCAAAAAAATCGGTAGAGTGCTAATATTGGACTCGGTTGCTAGGAAATCCGCAGCATGGCTTGCAAATGATGTTCTCGTTTTTAATACCTACGCTTGGTGGAACCGTAGCGGTGCTAGTCAACCGTAAGTAATGCGATTTTTTTTTCTCTTTTTTAAACTGAACGATCCTTTTGGGACAACACAATGTAATTGACACTTGATTTTCTGTGACGATTTGGAATCCACATGAAGGTGGGATTTTGTTCAGGTTGGAAGGAAGAAACTAAAAGATATAGACCGGACGGTAGCCTTTAAGACGGCTCTGAATACATGGGCCAAATGGGTGAATTTTAAGATCGATCCTGCTCAAATTAAAGTTTTTTTTCAGACGGTTTCGCCGACACATTATAAGTAAGTTTTAAATTTTGTTTGCTGAAATGAATCTCTGGTAGTCCTAATTTTAACCAACAGAATAATTTCTAATTTCCTTCATCATGTAAGGCCTAATCAATTAGGTTCATTAACATGCCTTTGATATGTATAATTAGATTATGTGTCAATAAATTACTACTGGTCTTTGACATCGTTAATAGTATTGATGGCCGTGAGTAAATCTGTTGTTTGCATTTTGTTGTACCGATCCTCTACGTCAAATAACATTAAATGAATATATTGTCTTGATATATAGTACCATCAGTTTTCCCAATTAACTAGCATTATTTTCTTGGACTATATATATCTTTTTCTTTTGACAATTTTACATCCAAATTAACTTTTTATTAGATTCCATCCTCTTTTTCATTTTTAATTCTTTTTCTTTAACCAAAAAACAGTGGAGCGGAGTGGGATTCACCTCAAGCCAAGAGCTGCAAACGGGAAACGTCGCCGGTGCTCGGCCCGGTGTATCCGGGGCCGCCGCCACCGGCTCTAGCCATTCAGAAGGAAATAATCCGCAGCAAAATTAATAATACGGCGGTGAGATTGCTGGACATAACCCATCTTTCCCAGTTCCGAAAGGATGCCCATCCGACAATTTATGGAGAGTTTGGAGGATCTGGAATGGATTGCCTACATTGGTGCATCGCAGGCGTTACGGACACTTGGAATGAAATTTTGTTTAATCATCTCTTTCAAATGCCCCTGCAAAATTCTCTAATGTGATAATAAACATTACAAATACACAAAGATTATTAATTAGGACATACTTGAAATACATTGATCGATACCAAAATGTTGTCAATGACATATTATTTTGATAAACCAATTCATTCATATATATCCAAAAGAGAATTTTTATTATTGGAATGTGCACTCGAACGACTTGCTCATTCGGATTAAGTTTATCAGTTACAATTACAACGTTTTTAACTAATCTTATTAAAAGCATTATTTCGGACCTCATAACCATGAAAAATGATTTATGATTAAAATTTTTATAATTATTCCATCGTGTTTTTGCGATTCAAGCCCAACAGCTTAATTATACACTATTTCCTTGAATGAACTCAACGAGAGTGTTAGTCGTTATCTCCGATTGGCACTTTACTAGATAGGCTTAACTGGTTGATTACGTAATACTCTCTCTGTCCCATAATTTTATTATCCAGTTTGGATTTTCATTTTTAGTTCAATTTGTACTAAAAATGAAATCTCAAACTGGACAATAATTTTGGGACAGAAAGAGTATATAAGTATCCAGCACTCGAACCTACTGAGTTTAAGATTAAAAAAATAAAAATTAAATTGTTGGATATGTATTCCGTTAAAACCATTTAATTGTAAGCATTGATAATAAACGAAAAGTAGATGCTTAATGTGCTGTATGGGAGAGGGACTCAACATTTTTTTTTCCGTCGTAAAATTATTATTATGCTTGATCTAAGTTGCGGAGTACCATATAGCATCATTTGACTCTGGGTCCAGGTTTCCAAAAGATAAAAGCTTCCCGGATTGATTACTCCTCCAGTAGTAGTACTTGTAATTCTGATTTTATATTTGGCCTCTGGGCTCTGCCTATTCATATATCCTGAGTCCTGACAAATTATTAAAAATTAAATGCCCGGTTCTAAATTTTCTTCTGTCTAGCCTCTAGGAGTCCTAATTAGTCAAAGCCCAATAATTCAACTCTTATCATTTTTGTGCTTCATTCAATATGGTTGCTTTCAACAGCAAAACAAGAAATTAAGTTTAGATATAATTTTGTGTGTGTGTGTGTGTGTGTTTTGGCTTGGGTTTGGGGAGTTGGAGTGATTCGAATTCGATGATGAGAGTAAAGCTTTAATTTAAAGCGATACTATACTATTACAGATATGTAGTAAGTCACCTCAATATTCTCATGGGAGAACCAATCCAAAACTCCGATTGGATTGATCGACTAAGATAGGTAGAATAATTATTCATCATCAACTAATTCTCTTGTGTCATATCATTTATATTAATGTGCAACTAATATGAGTTATAGTGAATATCTTCCAAAAACAGTGTGCTTAAATGACATTAAACTAATCAACCCTATGGGACATGGGCTTGTTTTCATGTTCATATACTACCAGCTGAATACATGCAACATCACGAAATCATCCAAAACGGCTTTTGAAGATTCTCACTTCTTCTCAGTAAAGGGGTCAGGTCAAGTCACAATCAGGTTGCGCTGTTTCCTTTCCTTTCCGATTTTTAAATTTTTTTTTTTTAATTAAAAGTTAAAACAATGAATTTTCTAGTGGGATGCTTTCATAGTGCGCTATACACATTATCCTCAATATTGTTATGCCATTAATATCAATTAAAGATAAGATATCATGGTGATGTACATAATCAAATGAAAAAGAAGTTTTCCCATGAAGTGATTTCATTTAAATTAAAAAAAAAAATTATGTATTGAATTTGTGTGTAAATTTACAGAGAAAAGATCAGAGTTTATTTATTAAATACAAATATGATTGTTACATGTTAAACGGAGTAGAGGATGCAATCTCATAAATAGTTTGTTATCTGGCTAGTTCTGATTACCTGCAAATTAGATAGTCTTTCATTTCATTCTTTCTAGAGATGAAACTCATTTTTCCGATATTTTTTCATTTCATTCTTTTTAGAGATGAAAGTCATTTTTCCGTTTTCAAAGATATCGATAGTGATTTCTCACTCCTTTACACGGCAAATGATTCTAACCTTTAACGAAACGAATAGCGATTTCTCATTTCCTATTTCGTTACATTGTCTTGGATTCAGACGGATAGTGATTTTTCATTTTCTTACTTGTTAGACGAATCGAACACTTTAACTGCTTCCATCTTCTCTTATTTACTATATATATGTTACACCTCATCATCATTAGTTAAAACTTTTCTCTTTTAATTACTTATTCTGGGAAAATTATATATAGTATTTAAAAGAAAAATAGGGGGAATCCAAGTGGTTCCGAATCGACCTGTAATTTGTTGCCTATTACCTAACTAAGGCTTCCAAGTTCAAAACTTCTACCAGTCCAACTACATCCACTATTCATCTCCTCTTGACAGGCAAACGCCATTTCCTTTTCACAAAACCAATTTATATGCAAACAAATCTTCCTTCTTCATCATATATAAATGGGCAGAAACAAAGAAGAAGAAGAAGAAGAAAACACCAAACTGAGGACTCCACTCAAAAAAATCTCCTTATGCATAGTATTAGCCATCATAATAATGCTTCTCATCATCGTTATTGTTCTTGTTCTTCATTTTCATCATCATCATCACGGCTCGAATGCGGTCAATACAAACTGCGATTTCTTCCATGGAAAATGGGTTTATGATGAATCATATCCCATGTATGATTCCGCCGTTTGTCCCTTCATCGAGAAAGAATTCAATTGCCTGAGAAACGGCCGGCCGGACCGGAGGTACCTTAAATACCGGTGGCAACCCCTTGGCTGCGACCTGGCCAGGTACTTTTTTTTTTCTTTCCATTATTAAGAAAGTGCTTGTTTAGTTATTTTATACTTTGTTAAATTAGCTAGTCTTAATTTGTTTTAGTTTAATTAATTGATTGATGATTATCTTATAAAGAATTTTTGCTGAAAGTGATTTGAATGGATATGCATGCATATCAGGTTTTTATTAGTATTCTATTCGAACAAGTAAAGCATGACAATGATGAATGAAGCTGCGTCGCTAATTATGACGATACAGTGGCAATTTCATAAATAACTCAACACATGTACCAAGTTTTGTGGCATTGCTTAGTGCTTACAATTAATTGAATGATGATAGATATCCAGACTATCATGGAATGCATGGAGCTATGATAATGATATGTATGAATTAATTTGCACGTAATTAAAAGGATTCAGGGATGCCGTAAATATTAATGTTACTGGAACGTAATTCTAGTCTGGTGGTAAAATTCTAAGTCTGGCCTTATTTTAGAGGTTGAGGTCTAAGAACCCCTTTTATTCTAAAGGATAAACACTAATATTGTGCATTATCTTTGTAATTAACACATGACTCATGAACCATGCATGGGCACTCTACTTAGGAAAACATGTACTCTCTCCGTCCCATAATTATTGTCCAGTTTGAGTTTTCACTTTTAGTACAATTTGAATTAAAAATGAAAACTCAAACAGGATAATAATTATGAGACGGAGGAGTAATCATTACAATTAAGTTCAATTAGCCAGTGAATGACTAGCTAGAAGGGTAGTGCAATACAAATCCTTGTAGATGCCACCACCATGATATAACCGGTAGCTAGTTTTGTATTAGAGTACAATTTAAGTCAAAACAAAGCAAAATGCCCGGGAAAGTATATTTGTTGAGATATATGGTCTAAATTGAAGAACCATCTACCATGTTGTAAATAAAAGTAGAGCTAAAAGAAAATACGCATATTCATGCATGTGTGGTGTCGAAAAAAAGAGAATCCAAGCATGTATGCTGCCATAATAGAATTTCTTCTTCTTTTTTTATTTTTGCATATTTTTGGGTGTATTAATTGTCATAATAGAATTTCTTGTCCGTGTGTGAGTGTGTGTTGAGAGTTTCATTTCATGTGTGAACTCTCTCTTAATGATTAATCCTTTTAATTAATTAGCATGAGATTTAGTGGTTAGGGAAAAGGAAAGGCTCCGTTGTTCATATTAACAAAGTCCTATGTATGTCCAATCACCAATTTTAAATTGTGCAAAATGTTGGCGTCGAGTATAATGCTTGCTGTAAAGTGGCAATAAGAATATATATATATATATATATATATATATATATTAATTATTATACGGAATATATAGAAGATAAGGTTTTGAACTATTTTAGATAAGTGTTGGCAAGTGTTATCAGTATAAATGTCGTAATTTTATCCTCAAAAAGAAAATGAAGAACATTTCCTCCATTTTTAAGCTTTCGCAAGCAACCAATGTGTTAAAACCTCACTCTACAATTTTCTTTTAAAACCGGGAAAAACATAAAAGATGAAGACAAGAAAAAGCTATTGGTGGCAGAAAACTCAAATCATGAAATTACGTACAGTTCACGGCGATCAGAGAACCAACACATTCATGGTCCATATTCATATTTATTCGGATGGGTATTATACTAAAAAATAATAATTGATGTATCATTTTTTTTTAAATTACTCACCATTTGTAATTAGACGTTTAGTCAATTTTTCGAAAAACACATTTCAAATTTCCATTTTCTTTTTACTACTTCTTATTACCTACTTTTAGTCTTTAACAATTCAATGGATTTTTTTTATGGGACCACTATTGATATTCATTTGTATTTTAAAATTTGAAGCATTTAATTTTCTAACAAATTAGATAAGTATTGGAATATATAAGACGTTTCGCAAATCTCATCATTAATATCACGAAATCCCAAATCCGAATCAATTTTTCTAAAAAAAATTAAATAAGAAAATTGTAATGTAACATGTAATGGTTTACCTACGTGACTTGAAAAAAATAAAATGGAAATTGGATTACGAGAGAGTACATAAATTAATCCTTGAACCAGATGGGAAGAAGAATCAACTTATGCAGAAACTAAAACCAAGTTTGCTTTGCCCTAACTACCATCCTTTCTCTTCCTAAGGTAGCAGCAATCAGTTGATTGATCTAATTATTCAACAATCGACAAAGACAATTATTTTACCTTTATTTTCTCTGAAATTTGGTTGTATACTAGAAAATCAATTTAATTACAGTACTGATGACTGATGAGTGCGCTAATTGAATTGATTTTTGAGCTAATAATAAAAAATCTTCAGATAAGTAATTATTTATGTAATTGGTTGTGTGTTGTGGATGCAGTTTCGACGGGCAAGATTTATTGGAAAAATATAAAGGAAAGAATATTTTATTTTCGGGAGATTCCCTAACTCGAGACCAGTATATGTCATTTGTTTGTTTACTCTACACAAGCGTACCCGGGATCAACTACAACATGTCCAGAGTTGGCTTAATCTCCACATTTTTACTTCCGGTAAGTTTGATAATCCACTCTGTTGAACTAAACAAGTGTACGAAAAATACATACTCCCTCCGTCCCAAAATTATTGTCTAGTTTGAGTTTTCATTTCTAGTTCAAATTGTACTAAAAGTGAAATCTCAAATTAGACAATAATTTTGGAACGGATGGAGTATTTTTTCTAGTAGTAATCCATTAACTGCATGAATAGATGAACGATTTGATGAAGAAAGGATAACCAACCAATGATTAGGGTAAATCTGGCTTTCCATAGGTAATTGAAATTTTGAGGCTTTAATTTGGAGTGTGGACCTCTGTGATTAGGAAGGGGAAATGCAAGGCGTCACAAATTGATTACAACCAACCAATGTTATGAACATGCGTCAATTGGAACCTTTTGTCTTGGTTAGGCCAAGTTGTTATCCATATAAGCAGGTCTTTTTCCACCACCATGTCTTAATTGCCAGTACATATAGGTGACATGATATGATACTTGCTATAATTAATTTGTTAATAAAATGTGGCCTATCCAGATTAGATCGGTTTATAGTTTTCAAGGATAAGGACCACTTTTTTCTTTCTTTCTTTCTTTCTTCTTTCTTTTTTTTTTTTTTCAAGGAGTATGCGCATAATCATAGTGATAAAATGAAGAACATTTCACTTTCTAGTAAAGGGGAAAAAAAAAACCAAAAAATTAACAACGTAGTAAAAATATAAGATTTTTTCATATAGTAAAAAAAAAATTTCGCGATTAAGGGAGATCGCCCCTATTTGTTTCCGGTGCTTTTCTATGCCGATGGTAGGAATGAAACCGATCAACCAATATAATATGGTTACATATTTCTAAGATATTCATTGAAAGTTCTCCAACCAGTTATCCACGTCCAATAACTCATACCTAAATTAACAATTTTGAACCCATAATCCATTGGATTCAACATAATTAGTTGAAAAAAAAAAGTGAAATCCCTGGATAGGTTGGGTGAAATTTTGTTGAATCATGAATTACATTTTGCCACCTAGCTTGAAGGTAAATAATGACATGACATTAAATATAACCATAAGTACTTTTTATTTTTTGAACTTCTTAATTATAGTTTGGATGGATTTCTGTTGAGCCCATGGATCCAAATTTTGGTGATGGCAGGACTATGGAATCAAAGTGGTTCTAGACAGAAATGTGTTTTTGGTAGATCTTGTACCCACAAAAGTTGGTATGGTGCTAAAATTAGACTCGGTTGCTCAGAGTGAACCTCTGTGGCTAAACAATGACATGCTCGTTTTCAACACTTTGCACTGGTGGTCCTATCGAGGAGCTCAACAACCGTACGTTTTTCTTTTCTTTTCTTCATTTTAGTCCAAATATTGTTATTCTTTTCGTCCCATAATGAGTAACCAAAATTGGTTAATACTTCAGTTCTGTTGAATTTACAGATGGAAGTATATTCAAATTGGGGAAACTATATTGAAAGATATGGATCGGATGGTTGCGTTAGAGACAGGACTGAATACATGGGCTAATTGGGTTGATAAAAACGTTGATCCTTCCAAAACCATAGTTTTCTTCCAAGGGGCTTCTCCATCTCATTACCAGTAAGAATCCATCATCATGTAACGTTAAATTTAGTCAAATTTTTCAACAGTTTACGTAATGTTATATGAATCACTAGCTAAGTGAAATTTAGCATTGGTGTGTTTTGACCTGAATTGTTGAATAATTGTTGACTTTTGACAGTGGGAGTGAATGGAATGAACCGAGCATGACAAACTGTGCCGGACTGATGGAGCCGCTGCTCGGGTCATCATATCCGGGTGGATCGCCGCCGGCGTTGGCCGTGCAGAAGAAAGTGGTGAGCAGTATGAGTGTGCCGGTTAAATTTCTGGACATAACATTGCTTTCTCAGCTTCGAGTTGATGCTCATCCTTCACATTATGGTGCCGGAGGTCTTGCCGGAACCGACTGCACTCATTGGTGTTTAGCCGGACTCCCGGATACTTGGAATCAATTGCTATACAATCTCATTCTTTCACACAACTATTAAATGATTTTTCACTTTTATAGAAAAAAAAAAAAAGAAAATGTCATTACTAATTAATAGACATACACAAAAATTTACAGTTGCCATATCCCAAATGTATAAGTTTATATTTTTATATACACGCATATATATATATATATATATATTAAGGGGAAAAATCAATTATTACATTGAGATGGGGATTAAAAGTTATTCTCTTCAATATAATAAATAAATAATCATTTTGAGACAGATATAATATTTACAATTAAAATCGGAACAAAAGGTGGAAATAAGATATCACGGAGGTGGGCTAATCAAAAACTAAAAACAAGAAATGGACCCATTAATTCCAGCAACCAACTTCCCCATCCTTAGTTCCCATTCCATCCATTAATGATGTGAGATTACGAGTGAAAGTGAAAGCAATCAATGATGAAGATGAGAATTCTTGACAGGTAAAAATGAGATGATCATTGATCACTAATCATTATTTGTGTAGGTATAAAGCGAGTAACCAGTTTAAATAGAAGTACTACTAGTTTCTGACACGTTGATCATTGACATGAGTAACAAAAACCGGATGCCAAAATTTTGAAACTCATGATAAAGCATTAATTCTTTTTTTTTTTCTTTTTTTTTGGGAATAATATAGCGTTAAATTCATATGTAAAAGTTAAAAGTACTCACATCTTGCTTGTGATAGTTGAAATATTTCTTCCTTTTAATCCCGATGTGAAGTTAAGACCTTCGGTTTCGCCGCTAATGATGAAAACATGAACAAGCATCATTAAGACATGGGAATATCGCTAATTCACGAGATAATTTTCGTTTGATGAATGATGTGACTATATATGTTCTCATCAACCATATGATTATCACTATTAAAGTTTTTTCTTCTATACTTTTTTTTTAATAATGATGCACGTAATTAACACACTATGCTAATTAATTTTTTTTTGTAGCATAACAAATTAAAGAATCTTGCAAGTTGTAAAGACTATAATCTAATTTCCAGAAGGGAAAAAAAAAAAAAAAGGAAAGAAAGCAAAAAAAGGTTGTAAAGTAGACGATCGCAGAGTCATTTGTATCAACGCATCCAATTGAAAAAGGGGTTCCGAATTTAGAAGTGGACACAAATGCTTTAAGCCGCAACCTCTGAAAACAAAGCAATGGTATCAATTCAATTTGTTGACGACAAGGATCAAATTCGTTAATACAGTATAATAAAATGCAAAAATTAGTGTATCGACCATTATTGATTTTTTTTTTCTCTTTAATTTTTTAAACTTTTGAAAATGGATGCATATTGCAAGTTAAAATAAAGTTGTTTGGCCAAAATCATACTAATTATTAATAGTGAAAGACTGTTCTTAGTGCGCGTTGATTCATTTGCCCAATCAACATCACTTATTTACTTGAGGAATTGTAATTGATTTTTGGTGTATTTAACGTACAACGTCTTCAATCACTGTACAGGTAGAGTAATTAACTAGAAATGAAAATTCAAACTGAACAATAATTATGGGACGAAGGGGAGTATTTTTTCTTCTTCTTCTTCTTTTTTTTTATAAAAAAAAAAAAACAGAATTATTTGTACATGTGGAACTATTTAGTAACAGGAAATTAATTTGCCAACCCAAAATGTTCCCCCACCCCACCCTAAGAAAAAGAAAAGAGGAAACAGTATAAAAGCACTATAAGAAGAACAAGAGAGAAAGGAGGAGTGGGAGAAGCAGCGAGAGAGAGACGTGTGAAACAAATGCTCCTCTCTCTCTGATTTATTTTTAAGTCTCAACCAAATTTACATTTCCCACTTTCCAATTCATCATAATCAAATCCATCAAGCTCCCCATTTTTCTCATTTTGATTTTTTTGAACATCAATATTCGTTCCAACCATGTGGATTTTGCACCACCACCACATTGCTGGTGTTTCTGCAATTCTTCTTCTTCTTCTTCTTGTTATTACTATTTCCTACCTTCCGGCAGCTGAACCAACAACAACAAATAGTAATAATAATAATAATCACTACGCAGTAGCAGGGACGAGCTGTAACTTCTTCAAAGGCAGCTGGGTTCTGGATTCCTCGTACCCTCTTTACAACTCCACTACTTGTCCCTTTGTACAGAAAGAGTTCAACTGCTTCAAGAATGGCCGCCCCGACCAGATTTACCTGCATTATCGCTGGCAGCCTCTTGACTGCCAGCTCTCCAGGTCACCCCTTTTCTTATCATCTCTATTATGTATCCAATCCGTTCTTACCCATTTGATTAATTCCAAGATTATATATAGTATATATATTTATATGTGTTGCTTTCGCTTTAAATGGCATTTGGTATTAATGTAATCATCCATCTTTAATTAACTTTCTGCCAGCATCATAATGAATTTTGCTGTTGCACTTGATATTATTGTGGTTGTTGCCTTTTCTGCGTATGTTAATTACTGGCTCTCTGTTTCTGCTTCTGGTGTAGATTATTTAATTAGCTTGTCATTGTCACAGTTATTGTCTGTCATTTCTTCGAAATAAAACACCCCTGCTCTATTCGTAAAACTTATTTGTGTTACTATTAAGATGGTGCATATTGTTATTTATTTTTTTATTTATTTTCTCGTCCAAAATGATTTTGCACAATGAAGTATACTAGTAACAATCAGATTACTAAAATAATTTTGGATACGGAAAATAATAAATTTATCGGGCCCTGTTTTAGTGCTTTGCAACTCTCAACTATTTCACCGACAGTTGTTCCGCCAACTGGGGAAGCTACAGTCACTGATTCCGTAATGTCTTATGTTATGGGTTTCATGTGACCCCAGAGATCATGTAATAATAATAATAATTTCTAGTAGTAAACCCCAAATCTGTGTCTTTGTGGTAATTTGTGAAGCGTAACGTTTGTTTGTAACTTCAGAGCAAATGATTGACAGCTTAGAATTACCATTGTTTGTTGTCCGAATCTTTACTTTTTACTTTTTAGGACCATTTCACCACAACAACGTTTGACATTTCTTCCACTCTATATATATATCTATATATATATATATATGCCACACAATTCCTGGTCCAAATACTAACAATGATAATAAATTTAAAAAAAAAAATACAAAAAGAAACACCCTTCCTTATGTCAGGTGAATTTTTTATTTTGTTTCTACTGAAAAGCTCCATTGAACTTGTTAGTACTCCTTCCGTCCTACAAAAATAGTCCACACTGAGTTTTGAATTTTATACTATTTTTCGTAAAAATTTGAAAAATCAACATGGATTATTTTATTTCTTTTTTTTGTTTGGGACGGAGGTAGTATAAATAATTCAACCAGCCAACTTCTCCATGGAAGTAGCCCTGGATTAAACTTTGTTACAAGATTCTAGTTATCAAAACTCTAAAAAGGTGAACAAAATTTATGTAAACAAAAATAACAATTTAATAGAAGCGGTCTACAGGTAGATCCTTGTGATTCTTTCTCTCTAGTGCTTCACGTGGGGAGGAGAGAATGAAAATAAAATAAATTGTGTCACCAGCCCATCACTCACTACTGATAAATCACATCTTACTAGGTCGAATGTCCTGTGGCTAGTTTTTCCCATTCCACAAAAAAAAAAAAAAAAAAAACCTTCTTCTTTAATGCCAATTATTTACATCACAATCGGGTACTAGTTGTCTCTTTCTATCTCTTTTTTTCTTTTTCCTTTTTTTTATTTTTTTTTTACGTATTTTCGTTTCTGTTGAATAATGCAGCTGGAATTGTATATCTAATTTAATTTGTCGAAAGTTGTGACATTTGTTTTTTTTTTTGTTTTTTTGTTTTGGGATGGAAAAAAATGGGTTGCGAGCAGATTTGACGGTCGTGGATTCTTGCAGAAATTCAAGGGGAAAAGCATAATGTTTGTGGGCGATTCGTTGAGCCGAAACATGTGGCAGTCACTCATTTGTCTGCTCTACACTTCTCTTGAAGGGAGGACCAAAGTCAATGAGACCATTGTCGGAGGTGATCTCTCCATCTTCACCTTCCATGTAAGTTCATTCTCTCATTTCCACATTATTGTGAATTGTGATATAAATATTGGGGGACGGGGAATATTTCTCAATTTCATGGTCAAAATATTTTGACATGGACAAGTACTAAGGTTTTCGAAAGAATTCCACATGTTCTCTACTTGTTGGAATAGGAAAAAGAAATGCAGTGCTACGTTGGTGAATGTCCCAATTAGAGATGGTCCTATGTCAATGTCATCATATGTTTGTTATGTTAATCACCGGAAAATGCCAAATGAGGTGGCCGTGGTGGTGGCGGAGGAAGAAAACGGCTGTGGTCCTCAATGCAAAACTTCAATGTCAACAGTCATATAACTCACGGTCCCTTTTAGAGCGTCGGTTACGACATGCTGCTAGCATGTTACTAGACCCCAACTTACCTTCTTAAAAAGTGGGGAAAAACACCAAAAACATAAAACCAAGGGTTTGGATTTAATGAGCAAATCCAACAGATACGTACATAGTGGAGTATTAATCGAATTAAAGCAAACATTTAACTGCATTGATGTACCTCAAATTTGGTTTGTGGTTGGAACAATGAACCAAAGAGATGATGGTAATTAATTTACTCGATTTGAGATGATTTCAGGAATTTGGTGTGAAGATAATGCTGGAGCGAAATGTGTACTTGGTTGATGTCGTAATGGAAAAAACTGGTAGAATACTAGAACTAGACTCCATTGAGAGTGGAAAGCTGTGGAAAGGTGTGGACGTAGTCATTTTTAACACTTGGCATTGGTGGAGCCGCAGAGGCGAAGGACAGCCGTGAGTTCATCATCATGACCCCTTTTTTATGACCTAATTAATCACATACATGATCAAATTGATGAAAAATGTTGACATTATTTTGTTGGAATGCATTACTTGTTTCAGATGGGATTACATTAGAGTTGGAAACCAAACATTCAAAGACATGAACCGGTTGACGGCATTTGAGCTCGCACTCCACACTTGGGCTAAGTGGGTAGATGACAACATTGACCCTGCCAAAACTACTGTCTTTTTCCAAGGAATTTCCCCCTCACATTACAAGTAAGTCCCTCCCTAATTTGAAATCTCCCCTTATAAATTTGGTTCCTTACTAAACAACTAGCGCACGAACATGTATAAAATTTGGTCACACGACAAATTTTACCTAGACGTATATGTTTAAATTAATCAGCAGATTCTTCTGAGTCCATCTTACTTATTAAGTGCATGTCTTAACGTTACTTTCTTCAGTCATAGGATGTAAATTTGGTGCGTTTTTAATGATTCTTACTCTGTTACTTAACAACAGTGGGAGTGATTGGCATGACCCAAGTGCAAAAACTTGCTTGGGAGAGAGACAGCCAATTAAGGGGACAACATATCCAGGTGAAATGCCACAATCATTAGCAGTGTTGAAGAAAGTATTGAACACGATCAAGAAACCAGTGAAGTTGCTGGATATAACTACACTTTCACTACTGCGTAAAGATGGGCATCCTTCCATTTATGGGTTGGGAGCTAAAACTGGCGGATTGGACTGCAGCCATTGGTGCCTTCCTGGAATTCCTGATACTTGGAACCAACTCCTTTATAACCTTTTATTACAAGCTTGATACATTTTGAATTAATTGGTTCAACTTCAACCAATTTAATTACTACTACAATTTAGTATAGTTCATGACGCACCAGATATATACACATTAGGATATATCTATAAGTCATATGTGTTTTGAATGTATATTTTCATCTCGAAAATTAAAGTGTAATAGAGAGGTACATCATTTCAAAGAGGTATACTTATTGAGGTACCTCCTGCAAGAAACTACAGCAATTATTGTATTTTTTAAATCAAAGTATCCATTCAACATATATGATAAATCAAGATGAATAAAAAGGAAAAGGGTTTAGACTCTACATTATACATTCCTTTAATTTCTCACAAAAATAGGAATTCTCGGTTTTTATATTCTGTACTACTTTTGTGTTAGAATTCTAACGTTCATCTTATTTTGATACACGTCATTATTGGATAATGTTATAAAAAGTGTCATACCGGAAAGTGTTTCATCAGAAACTGATCAAAATTCATAGATACAAAGTCAGTTTCACAAAAATGAGCATATATGCCTTCGAAGAATAGTTGCCTTTCTTGTCCTTTTTTTTATTTTCCATTGATATAGAATATAGTTGACCAAGGATGTCTCATAAAACTAGAAAATGCTTAACGTAAAAGGAAGGATTTGAAACAGAAATTAAACATCATGAATAAAGCACGAAGGAGGAAAGAAAATCAAAGGGTATATTTCACTTCACTCTCATTAGCTAACAAACGATTGATCGAAAAGGAACTCATCCACTTTCTACAGCTTTCATATTAAAAATTCTTCAAGATGGGCATATATATATATATATATATGTATGTATAACCTTCCCAATCTCCTTCACTTCGTTATCGTGTCAAATCGTAACTGATTCATACAAAAAACAAAATGGGTTCATATTTTTATGGCCATCATTCTAACAATTTTGCTTTTGTGGTTGTTTTAGTGTTGCTAATTATATGTCTTCATCAATCGTCCAATGCCATATTAGTGGAGCATTTTCTTAGTCCCAAAGATCAATCATCTCAATCATTTATTGGTTGTGATATCTTCAATGGAAGATGGAATTATGATGACACATATCCTCTTTACCATGCCTCTTCTTGTCCCTTCATCGAGAAATCTTTCGATTGCGAAGGAAATGGCCGCCCTGACCACCAATATCTCAAGTACAGATGGAAGCCAAATGGATGTGATTTGCCAAAGTAAGTTTCCATATACCTCTTCTAGCTCTCCTGCATCGTCTTTTTTTCGTTCTAAAATAAGAATTTTAATTTTAAAATACACAACTTACTATTTCTTCGCTCAGAATTATACTCTTTTTTTTATACTATTATAATTATACAAATAAGACTGTTGTTACAGGATTGATTTCTAATTTTCTATCATCAGTGAAAAAAGTAATATGCATTTTGAAATGCAGGTTCAGTGGTCTGAATTTCTTGAAAATGTTCAAAGGGAAGAAGATATTGTTCGTAGGGGATTCACTGAGCCTTAATCAATGGCAATCCCTTACTTGCATGTTACATGCAGCATTACCTCAATCAAAGTTCACTACCCAAAAGAAAGGCGACCTCTCAACACTTACTTTCCCGGTAAACTTACCAAATTAAAAAAAAATGTAAATTTAATTAATTATTAATGTAGCCCGACTAAAGAAACTTGCTGAATTAATCGCAGGAGTACGAGGTATCTTTGATGCTATCAAGAAATGCATTTTTGGTGGACTTGGTTCAAGAGAAAAAGGGCAGAGTTTTGAAGCTTAACTCCATCCAAAATGGAGATGCATGGATAGGATATGACATGCTCATCTTCAATACTTGGCATTGGTGGCTCCATAAAGGAAGATTGAAATCGTGAGATTATTATTTTTTCGCCTTAATGATAACATTCATAGATTTTCTTTGTTTTTAGGGTAAAAAAAGAAAAAAAAAAAAAATAGAATGAGTACTCCTCACGAAAATTCAAGATGGGAGATTATATGGACATTTTTGGTTCTCAGGTGGGATTACATTCAAGATGGAAACAAACTATACAGGGATATGGATCGCTTGGTTGCATTTGGGAAGGGATTAAGAACTTGGGCCAAATGGGTTGACTCTAACATCAACTCTTCAAAAACCCAAGTCTTTTTCCAAGGCATCTCTCCTACCCATTACAAGTAAGCCCATAACTATAAATTGTTCGATTTTTTGTGATATAATGTGCTTGTTTCGACGTCCACTTATTTTCAACTCATTTTGGCTCTTAAACATAAAATCAAATATAAACCAAATTGATCGTACATTTTAAAATCAAACTTGAAACATTTTGTTAGTACAATAACCATTTTGAACTAAAAATAATTCAGTAACTAAATCCAAAACTTTGCACATTTATTTTAGTTTGCCTTTAGTCAAAAAACCGAGGCCCATCGGATGGTAGTTAGAAAAAAGTTTTTTGGAATATATATTGCAATATCAAATACGAAAAATATCATTAAACAAACGAAAAGTATCAATTTTAGTCCTTGTAAAAAAAATGAAAAATAATCACTAAACAACAGAAAAGTGTGGATTTTGGTCAATGTAAAAATATTAATTTTAGAAGTTATTCCGTGATTTTAGTGATTATTTTATAGTGACCGAAATCGATACTTTTTCGTTGTTTAGTGATCATTTTTTAAATAATTTTTTTCAGTGACTAAAATTGACAGTTTAGTGATATTTTTCGTACTTGATATTTCAATACATATTCCAAAAATCTTTTTTCTGACCACCATCTAAACAACTTTTTGCTAAAATACCATCTAAACAACTTTTTTATTTCTCATTACGTTTTTCACTTAAAACACTTTTCACTTTTAAGTCAAAAATGAAAACTAAGTGTTAGTCCAAACAAGCACAATATCTTGTTGACATGATTATTAAAATGGAACGGAGACCTATCATTTTGAGCCAAATACAGTATAATTTCTTGATGGAAAGTTAGTACATTGACAACTGTCTCATTTTGTAACTTTGGTGGTGTATTTCATATATAGTGGGAAGGAATGGAATCCTTCAACAGCAAAATCATGCATTGGCGAGACTCAGCCGATCATGGACTCGTCCTATCCCGGCGGATCACTTCCCGCGGTCGGTGTAGTGAAGGGAATGCTGGCTAACATGTCGACGCCGGTGACTTTGTTAGACATAACCACGCTTTCACAGCTAAGAAAAGATGGACATCCTTCACTTTATGATTCTGCAGATGCCAATCATCAAGGAAATGATTGTAGTCATTGGTGTCTTGCTGGTGTTCCAGATACCTGGAATGAGATATTGTATGGTATCCTTGTTGCCAATAACCAAACCATGTAGCAATTTTAGGCCACAATTTTCATTGATTAGAACTAGGATCTTGTTCGTTACAACTTTTCGAAAAAGTGAGAAAGGAACGAGATCTTCTGTTTCACTTTTCTATAACAGGTAGACATGTTTCAAAGAAAAATCGTGAACACAGAAAATACTGTAGTGTTATCTTTCTTTTTTCGTGTTCTCGAAAAGTGTTAGATTAATAATATAGGAGCATTATTCTCAGCCAAATTTGGCATTTATGAGTCCTTTTACAGAACCAATCAAGCTCATCACTGAAATGGCCAGCAAAACAAAACTGAAGATCTTTAGAAGAATCCATTTCCTGGTCCAAGAATCGATCTTTCTCTGCACAATGAACATTTGTAGGGGGAAATATACTGCAAGACACCAAAAATTCAAGGCTCCCAGCAATCCCAGAACTTGATTGAAGTAAGGAAATAACATTGAGATTCCTGTTATGGACAAAACATACGCACTTCTAAACCACAGCCTCAATATATTCAACTCAAAACCAGCTAACATTGGCAGCTTCAGGACTAAATTCCTTGCATATGAGCTGTTTGGATACTTCGAATTGAACCATTTCTCCACTAATGCAAACATTGGTTGGCTGTATACCTGAATTAATTCGAAAACAATGTCAAATTGATAATCAATATGCTATCTAGATGTTCAAAAACTAACTTTTTAAGCCTATATATGTATTTGTGTTTTAGAGTGCTAATTAGCAGTTAGCACCTGATAGCCTCCAACAAGGTGCAATATAATGCAAGCATTAGCGAAATCCACGAGCCAATAAGGCTCGTAGAAGCCGAATCCATTGAGGAGGTTTCCCGGGGTTTGATCACCAAAGGCCGCGTATCCAAAGCATCCGCAACACATGTAGAAGAAAGTTGTGATGATGATTGAAGCCGTTGAAGATTTCTTCATGGTTTTGTTCTCAGAAGGAGGTGACTTCAAAGTATCCTAAAAACAAACCCAAAACTAATTTCAAACGAACAATGTACATTGTTTTTGGTGCAACTAAGAAATCCTATTCACCAAGGGACATTTATTAGCATCCACAAACCTGTATTTCTAAAAGGATTATAGAGTAGGGGTAGGCAAATGCAATATCTCCTAGTGCCTGGAAAACTAACCATAACTTATTTGCTGTGCTGGTTGATGGAATGCCAGTAATGCTCCCCAAGATCTTTCCATTTTCTGGAGAACATTAGTTGCTTTTACGTTAGACCACGCATAGTAAATGTGTATTTGACATCCTGAACATATTAACTATGCCTAATGGTAAAGATTTGTTAAAAAAATATTAGGTCTCGAGATCAAGTAAAACCACGGGATATAGAGAAACACCTACAATGTGTTTAAAATGATAGGTGTACCTATAATTTTGGCGAGGCCAAGCCCTAAACCGATGAAAGAATAGGAGAAGGACATGGCAGCAGCAATGATAGAAAGCCAAGCCATGTTATGAAAATCTGGAATTTGAGACATTAAAATCTGGACTGCCCCAAAGATTAGCATGAATTTAGAGTCATCATGCCCACAATTAGCACTGTGCCCTTCTCTGTGGTAACAGTTTGATTTCTGTATTGCCCTGACCACATACCCAAAAAAAAAAAGTATCTTGGTTGCAAAACCGACATTCAACAAGAAGAATCAACCCGGTAAAGAAAAAAACATTGGAGTGATTATCCATCTTCGGCAGTTCTGAAAACAGAATTAAGAGGAAGTCAAGCATATTAATGAATGGGAAGTACCTAACACTCTTAGTTGCTGTGATGGTGTATGCTACTCCTGTTCCATATAAAGTTTCCAGCATAACCATTTTACATATTCTTCCCATCCTCTCCCCTGTAAAATTCAACAATCAATTCCTGTTTAGTGCCTCTGAAACTCTCAAACAATGATAACAATTCAAGTTGAAACCACCCAAAAAAAAAGAAGTATCATTACGTACCCAAGTAGAAATTGACGGCTCCGGTGAAGGAAGTCAATCGGAAGGGACCAAACTCGGGATGAGGGGACATGTAACAATCGCAGAGGAGGAAAGTGGAGAAAAGAGAGATTCCGGCAAGTACTAAAATGGCTAACGGACCGGCGACCCAACCCAGTTGGGCTGTGCTCCATGCCAGTGATAGAACTCCGGCTCCTACTACACCTGTTATTATGTGGGCTGTTGCCGTCCATATCGTCCCTGTTTTATCACCAAGATTGAGACTTTTTTTTTTCCGAAGTACTAATTAGTAATGTAATTATCGAGTAAGTCAAGTTCTCAAAAAAGAAAAGTCAACTTTCCGGGGGAAACTGATTGAAGTTCGTTGATTACCAGTTCTTTTGGAGGGCTGATTGTGGGTTGGGATGAGAAATTCTGATAGTTGATTATCTTCTTCCTCTGCTGCTGCTTTGGGATAGACTGTCACCATGGCTCCTCTGTTTTTTCTCTGTTCTACAAGAAGAATGTGAACAATGTACTACTTGTTACTTGTTTCTGTTGATTCCAAACTGGGTATTAACTAAAAACTTTCCCCAAACGGAAAATAATTAACTATGCAAAAGTCGTTTTCTTGGTCGCTTTTGTTTTGTTGGCTCTTTTGCTGATCTTCTGAAACAGTGCTCAAATTCGTGTACTAAGTGCCACCATGATGATAAAAGAGGAGATATTTCCACCTGCCTCAATATTTTAACAAGTGGCTACCCTCAATTATAAATCTTTGGATCATTTTAGACTAATGAGTAGGTTGGATAATAGTTAAACTCCCTCTCTCTCTACTTTTTCCCCCTCTCTCTCTACCTAAAAAGCTTTCAAAATTTTCATCCTCTTATCTCCCGGAGCTCACATATTTTTCTCTTGTTTTTAATCTTTTGGTTAACTTTTCTTTTATAGAATTTTCGCTCCTCCATTATTGGTCGATTTAGTTCTTCCTTTATGAAAATCCGAATCTCTCATTTTGGGATTTTCGGTTCCTTTTGGATTTTTTTTTCTTCTTTATTTTGTGTGTTTTTTCTGTGTTCTTCTACAGATCTGATGAAGGTGAAGAAGATTCAAAACTCAATGGGGAAGATAAGGCTGAACACATAGTTGAAAGGGAAACAAGTGAAAAGATGTTTTAGATCTGAGACTATTAGGCATTATAGATCTGCAGTTTTAGGAGGTGCCTGGTTCGTTCTATGAATGATACATTTTAATGGGTTTCATAGAATAAAGAATTTCAATGGGCGTCAATAACTCCATTTGAGTTGCTTAGTTGATAAATGGGTTTGAATAAAAATTACACAAAATGACATTTTAATCCTTATCCCTAACCTCACCCATCTCTTCCACCGTCTCCTCTTCGGCGGTCAACTCCAAATCCGTTTGTTCCGTTTCTTTGCTGCCAGACAATAATGGACCACCTATCATCTCCTCCTACATCCAACAACCAAATGCACCACCCAAACTCTTGCATCAAATAAGGTATAGTATTTTTCATCCAATTCACAACTCAAAAAAAAATTCAAAAAATTATAAATTCATCTATTTTTCGAAGGACATGTTGTACCTATAGATTTCATTATCATGACAATCAAATTAACATCACGAAACTAGATTGAGGAATGATTGGATAGCGGTGACAGTGGTGGTGGGGGCGACGGCTGACAGTGCGTGATGGTGGGTGACGGCAAATTTGTTTGCAGTACTTTTAGAATTTGTTGGTTGCAATTTTTTCTCCTTGAAAATTGGGATTTGATGATTGCAATTTTTTGTAAGTCCATCAATTTGGTGTTAGAACTGAGGTGTATAAAAATGAAAGAGAAGAAGAGATGAGGAGCAGAATATGATGTAGGAGAATAAGGGGTAGAGGAACTGGGTTCATGAAGAGAGGGGTAAGAGAAGAAATTTCATTTAATTCTATCAAACCCTCCAAATTAGTAAGGAATAGATTATTGGGAATGAAATCCGAAAAAGCTACTGTGACGGAATCAATACTCTCTAACCAAGCAACATTATTTGGAATCAAAGGTAGATCCTTGGATTGACACCCTCAATCCAAGCACCACCTTAGTCTTGTTAGATCATAATTGACCTCTATCTGTTAGTATTTTGGTTTGTTTTAATACTTTCCTCAGATGCGATATCTCTAAATTGTAATCAGTGATGTTGTCACGGTTTAGCCAAATTAGTTTAGCCTAACTCTGTTAACAGTATTGAGTTTATCTCTAATTTTGTGATAAGTATAGCGAGTACGGCAGACTGTATTACCTCGTTGTATTAGCTTATAATTTACTCTATTTTTTTATATTAACGAATATCGCTTTTGATAAAAAAAAAAATCATTTTAGACTAATGAGTTCTAGCTCATTTTGCATCTATGCAACTAAAGTCTCCATTTAGGTTACTACAAATATTGTTTTTGTGAGGGGCCATCATCTTGAGACATAAGATATACTTCTTTAATATAAATATATATATGTATATATATTATAGTGATAATCACTTTCTCTATAGATAAATAGTTGTTTTAGTTTGATGTACGGCAAAAAAGAATATTTTAAAAGATAACTTGTTCAGAGCCACAATAAAAGGTAGTAATTCTTACCCAACTTTGCCGATCCAATACACATTAATTCCCAAAAGGCCCAAAAAAAAAAAAAAAAACCGAATACAATTGCTAGAAATGAAAGACATGCAGGGCATGTTTGTTTTCCAGGCTCATGTAGAATAATCTATAATTCCATATACACGAGGTATAGATCTTATCTCTATACTACAATCTGCTATGTAGTGTTTTATATGAAAACGAGATAATATAAATTTACAAATTTAACATATACTTTTTTTAGGACAAAAATCATGATCTATTAAAAATGAAAATTCAAACTGGATAATAATTATGTAAGGTACGAAGGGAGTATTTTAGTTTTGGAGTATCTTCAAACTGTGTAAACTTGGAGGATACTGATACCCTTGAAGTTATACGACATTTTTCTAATGCTCTTATTTGAACAATAGAAAATTATTTTTTTGACAGTCCATGGGGGCATCTCAAGAAAAAAAAGAAAAAGAAAATTTAATTACTACCACCAATAATTAATCACTAGAATTTGAATTACGTTCTGATTTCTTTTTTTTTTTTTTTTTGATAAACCAGCACCATAGTGCTTTATATATATATGAGAACATCAACATTACAACAGACCTAGTTGTCATACATAATCAACATGAGAAAAAAAAGAAGCTTGTCTAGTAAGATCATGGCATTCCTGGACCTGCTGACGAGGGACTTTACAAACTTGTAAAAGAAGAAAAGCAGTCCAAACGACCAAATATATCTGTAACCAACTGCTGAAGCTCCCTTGGAGCAGATGTCTGACGTTGAAGAAGCTGCGCTAACGTCAAACAATCCGTGCACAGAAAAATATCCTGGAAAGCAGACGAATCCACCACTTCTAACGCATGAAGACAAGCAAGAGCTTCAGCCTGTAAAGCAGAGAAAGCAAAGAACGTGGTACCGCCACGAACCAAAACATGTCCATTAGACGGGGAGAAAGTCCAGCCGGCTGAGGCAGAGTGAGACTGAGGGTTGAAAGCTCCATCAAATCGCAATGTGGGGATTGTCTCAAGACAACATGGAATCTCTTCACATTCATCCAGAATTGGAGGCGGCAGCGACTTTATTGGTCTATATAGCTGACTTTTTCGAACAGCCTGCTGAACTATCTGCGGAAGTGACAATTCCTCCGCATCATCCAAAATTTCCCAATTGTGATCTTTCCAAATTTTCCATAATCAGAACATGGACTGGCATCGAAGGGAATCATCTGGCGCATGAAGCATCCACCGAGTGAACCATTCCCCAAAGGGGCAAGGGTCAGCAAGTGAGAAATCAAAACCAAAAGCTGAAAGCCGCCAGATAGCTCTAGGGCATGTGCAATCAAGAAGCATATGAGCTATTGATTCCTCTTTCTCACCACATCGCAGACAAAGTGGAGCTACAGTCAATCCCCTATGAGCTAATGCCTGCATCATCGGACAGGTGTCACTTAGACCATGCCAAATGAAAAATTTAATGTGATCGGGAAGCGCCGATGTCCATAGTTTTTTCCATACAGCTGTAGGGACAATTACCGGTCCATTTGAAGTGGACAGTGTGTTCATGGCTGCATCCTTAAGAGCACAAGCTTGGTGATACGCCGATTTCACCATGTTGACACCCCCTTGGTCATGCTTCCAGTAAAGGGAATCCATACAAGCTGAGGGATAACGAGACACATACAGTTGCTAGATCTGATGAACGATATGTGGAGAGAAGAGAATCTCCAACAGAGAGCGGCGCCAGCCTTCAGTTGGAGAGAGAAATATTGAGACGCGAAAGGAAGAACTATTCACTATAGCAAGAGAGAAGGCTAATGGATTTGGAGAATCCGAAATCCAATCCTCTGCCACTTGAATCCTGGAACCGTCAACGACTTCCCATTTAAGGCCTGTTTTGAGGTCTCTACCCCACAACAGCCCACGCCAACCCCACGTGGCGGTCCGACTAGGCTGAACCGAAAGAAATTCTGTGCGTCGACAGTATTTGGCACGATATACTCGTGAAAGAAGTGTGTGAGGCTACTGGAGAATACGCCAGGCAATTTGACCCAGCATAGCCTGATTCATTTCTGCCGCAGAGCACACTCCTAAACCTCCATGAAAACGGGATTTGCAGAGAGTTGACCAGGCTCGCCAGTGTATTTTGTTACCGTCTTAGTCCCCGTTCCAAATAAATGTGCAAGGAGCTTGTCAATGGACTTAGTAACTGCCACTGGAAGGTTAAAGATTCCCATGGCGTATTGAGGAAGGGAACTTAGAACATGTCGTGCAAGAACAACACGACCAATGACGGATAGGGAGTCGGTACGAAAGCCAGCAATTTTGCGCTGTATTTTTTGAACAAGTCCATCAAAAACTACACTGCAATTCTGGCTAAATCCCAAAGACATTCCCAAGTAATGACTATCCAGAAAGTCCCGATCGATATGCAGGATGTACCGCAGAAAAGAAGAAAGGCAATCGTCTGTGTTAGAGCTGAAAATCAAACCTGATTTTTCAAAGTTCACGCGACTGACTAGAATAACACGCATAAGCATCAATAATTCGTGCTAGCAAGAAAAAAGTAGATTCATGGGCATGAGCAAATAGCACACAATCATCTGCATACATCAGGTATGATATAAGGGGTGCTCGACGCGCTACCTGTAGGCTAATACCGCTGCGGCTGCTTTTATAAGACTGGAGTATGGAGGAAAAAGGCTCATGGGCCATGATAAAGAGAAATGGATACAGAGGGCAACCCTGGCGAAGGCCACAAGTGGGAGTAAAAGAAGATGATTGCTGACCATTGAAACGTACAGTAAAGACACTGTTTCAATATATTGTTGAATATAACCAATCCATTTAGTAGGGAAACCCATCTGCTGCAAGACCATATACAAAAATGACCAAGAAACAAGATCATAAGCCTTGCTCATGTCCAATTTAATGGTCGTGTGGCCTACTTTCAGCCTGGTTCAGTGTCGAATGGCTTCTATTATTTCATGGGCAAGAAGAACATTCTCATTTATTGACCGACCAGGGACAAAATCTGTTTGTTGAACAGTGATTAATTGAGGCATAAAAGGTCGTAAAAAATCAGCAAGAAGTTCGGCAATGATCTTATATTTGACATTGCACAAATTAATAGGCCTGAAATCCAACGGAACATGGGATATACGGGCGATCTGCTTCCATTTAGAACCCAGTTGGGGATTTTCAAAGAAAGATAAGATCACCGGTACTAAGGATGGTCGAACAATAGCCCAATAATGTTGATAAAAACCCGCCGTCATCCCATCCGGGCCTTGAGACTTCTAAGGATGCATTTTCCATAGAGCAACCCGTATATCATACTCTATAAAAGGAGCCTGAAGGCACTCCCGCTGCGCCATAGAAATGGTAGAAAGGGACCGGAATAAATCAGAGAGTGTGAGCGAGGAAGCTAACAAAGTTGGTGGAAGTGCATGATAACGATCAGGGCGCACAAACACGTCCCAGAAATGGTCAAAGATCATATGAGATATTGTGGAAGGGTTGGATTCCCAAGTTCCATCTGGTTGTTGAAGCTCGCTATCCCAGTTGCGAGCTTGACATCTGGAGGCCCAGTGGTAGAAAAATCGGGTATTTCGATCGCCTTCAACGTTCCAATTTAAATGAGCTCTTTGTTGCCAATACAAGTCCTGATATTTTAGAATTTGGTCTAATTGGGCTCTAAGGAACTGATCATGGGATATAGAAAAAGGATTATGTTTAAGGGCTTGTTGAGCTTGGAAAGCTTGTTCCAAGTTCTATTGGAGCAAGCGTAAACGGTGGTCTAAAGCTCTATATGATTTAGCATGCCAATTAGTTAGATTACTCAAAGTAACACGAAGTTGGCCAGAAAGCTGTTGCATAATAGAAAAATCAGCATATATGTCTTTGACTCTCCAAGATTTAGAAACGATTTGCTGGGCAATAGGATTTTGAGCCCAAAAGGCCTCAAAACGAGGTGTACAAGAGGTTTTCTTGGGATGATACCTTGTGTCAATCAAAATGGGTCCGTGATCAAACCGCATAATTGGCAAGTTTCGAAGTAGTGCATGAGGGAAAGCAGCCAGCCATGAATGAGAAACAAGTGCTCTGTCCAAGCGCTCATAGATATAGGATGAGGAAGATTAGTTATTGGTCCATGTATACCAAACACCTCTATGTTTCACTTCAGTTAGACCCAAAGCATTGGTGAGAGTTACTAGGGAAGATGCCTGAGGGGACTGGAAAGGACGTCCCTCACATTTATCATTGGGAGATAGGATTTGGTTGAAATCACCGGCGAACAAAATCAGATAATCAAGGGCAGAGATAGTATCGTTCAGTTGCTGCCACACAGAAGATCTATTGACAGCATTAGGGGGACCATACATACAAACTAACAGCCAAACTAAACCATTACATTCAACTATTTTACAACACACAAAAGATTGACTTGTCACAACAACTTCTAATTGTACAGTGGAAGACCATGCAATTGCTAAGCCACCCGCAGTAAGCCGCGGAGGAATTACCTCCATAGAAGAGAATTCTGATGACTCTAACCATTTTTGCAAGCAAGATCTATGACAACAAGTTTCAATTAGAAATAGTACCTGAGGGCAGTGTGCTCTCGTTAGCTGATTTAGCATTCGAACTGTAAAGAGATGACCAAATCCCCTACAGTTCCAAGACAGAATCCTCATTGATGTTGTGGTGGTTGTTGAGGGGCAACCACCACAAACCCAGGGGAAGGAAGTGCAATGCCAGGTTTCCGCCAAATAAGAGGAGAGGCTCGTGCCCGCTTATGAATAGGCATTAAGGCCATGGTTCTAGGTAGATAACGCTTGCCAGGAAGATAATGAATATCCAAGGTGCTTCTTAGAAATGAAATACGACGAAACAGACGATCTCCATTCATTGATCGAAATCCTTTCCAGCGATGTACTGTAAAAACAGAGAGGCGTCTCTTTGTGGAGAGTGTTTGAATTTTAGTGCCCTTTCGTACAACACTGTAATGCCTGGGATAGGATTTTATGTTGTGTTTACGAGGGCCCAATTGTTCTTGTAGAGGTGATTTGGTGATAAGGCCCAATTGCTGAGTAGGCAGATTTGGGATTGAGCCTACAACAGGTGAAGTTTTCCGAAGGTTAGAAAGGATATGGTCATTGCTGACGTCATGTGGGGGTATCGTGGCAGCCTTGGCAGAGTTTCCATCGACCAGCTTGGAGGACACAGTGGCATCGGCCAGGGCGACGGTAGAGACATTGAAAACTTCCTCTACACCTGAATCGGAGGAAAAAGGGGTGAGCCGGCGAGCTTCCTCTGGTTGCTTGTCGATCTTTCGCCAAACCCATTTGGGACTCTTAGATCTAGGCTTCATTTAGCAGTCTGAAGGTGAGGAGGGAGTCGACTGAAAGCCTGGCTGAGTAGAATTTAAGCCTGCGTGGGAAAGTGAAATTAAGATAGCTGGGGACCGATTTGGGACCAAAAGATGATATAGATGTGTTTTGATTGAGATCCCGAATTTGGCGTTTGAGTAGCTCAGCCGTGAGGACAGCCTTGGTGATAGCTTTGCCAAGAGCAGAGAAATTGACAATTGAGGAAGCTCTCCGTGCTAGAATCTTTTTGGCTTGCCGGAGATAGCGGGTGACGCAACCTTGCATGGCAACCCAGAGTTCAATCATCAGAGCAGATTTCTTGGAGGAGCAATTACGTTCTGATTGATTGTCCCCATAGCTCTCTTTGTTTCTTCTGTCGATACCAACTTTTTCCAAAATGGAGGGAAAAAATGAAAATCTAGTTAACTATGCAAATATCGTTTCTGGATTTTTTTTTGTGACCATTTATTTCTCTTTCACATTATTAATTTTATTTTTTTTCTGAAACATGCTCAAATTTGTGTACCAAATTCCACGAATATGATCAAGAAAAGGTCCTTTGGCTGGCCTCAATCTTTAAGAAAATGGTTAACACACCACTTATAATTATGATTTGCATCATTTAAATTAATGGATTCTCGGCTTGTAAATGAATGGTTACGCACCTACATTCCTTCCGAATTCGCAACTTATAGTCTTATTTTTTTGAAAAATAAAAATAGATTCATTAATTTGCTAAAAATCGTCTAGCAGCGATCGATAAAAGTAATATACAGTCATAAAAACACATCTTACAAACGGTTACAATGCCATTGTTGTGTTTCATTACATGGATAAACCTATATTGATCTACTCTATAAAATAATAGTTGTACCACGCGCCAGACTTTTAATCCGGCCAAGGATACAACACTAACCCTAATAATAATTAGATCTACTATGATTGAATATTCTTAGACGATTCCTGCCAAACCGACGAACTCCTTCAATGAAGCCGTCGCTGCCATATCTGCATACATCACCGACGAAACCGTCTCCATACTAACAAACATTAACAAGGATGCTACTGCCATACCTGCAAACATCGATAAAGATATTACCGGCATATTGTAAATTATAATCTACAAGCTGTTAAAACTAAATTAAAACACAACAAGAATGCTAAAGAATATGAATAGAATTATTTCCCCATCCTTCCATGGTGGAAAGATGGGGGAAAGTTAATTTTGTTTTGTAGGGTTTGAGGGAGAGGAAGGCGGCCAGAGAGAGAGAGAGAGAGAGAGAGAGAGAGAGAGAGAGAGAGGGTTTTCGATGTTTGATTTTTAAGGATTGCATTTGACTCCATCAGAATCCAGAGACATGGAGTAAAGCTGTTTGACATATACCCTTTAAACTTTGATAGTTTATTCTTGTACTACTCTTAATTCAAATAATACTCTCTCTGTCTCGAAATGATTATTCAATTTAAATATTTTTTGTACAATTTAAATTAAAATTAAAAATTCAAACTGTACAATAATTTCGAGAAAGAAGGAGGACATGTACATTTGATCCCTCAAATTTCAAAAATTGAAAATTATTATTTTCGACAGTCCATGGGGGCATCTCAAGAAAAAAATTCAGAAAAAAAAATGCTACCAATATAATCACTATAATTTGAATTATGTTCTGAAATCCAGACAAATCTGCATTGGGAATGAAAAGACTACTGACAAGGAGTTGATGATGACAACAATAAGGTTTGGAGTTTGGACAAAAACATGTGAGAGAGCTGCTACTCAAAATAAAATGAATAACTCCTCCTTTGAATCTTGAGAAACTGAAAAACTTTCCCACCCCCTTAAATTCATTCAAATAAAACGCTTCCCTTTCTCCCTTTTCTTCAGTAGCTTCCTCTCACTTCTCAGCTTGGGAGGTTTTGCTCAAAAATGGGCATGGCAAATCTTCTACTTTTTTGCTCTTTACTGGCAACAACATATGTTCTCAAGGAGCGGTTTTCTGTGGAAGGCAAATATGAAAAACTTGGGTCAACATTGTCATCAGAATCAAAAAGCTGCGATCTTTACAAAGGGAGTTGGGTTTCTGATGATTCTCTAATACCTTACTATGATGCATTGAGCTGCCCTTTTATCGATCCTGGGTTGAACTGCCAGAAGAATGGCAGGCCTGATAACTTGTATTTGAAATACAGATGGAATCCAGTTCAGTGTCAGCTCTCCAGGTAAGGAATTTCTGTTCAATATCATTACAGCCCAAATCCCTTTTCTTTTTCTTTTTTTTTTGCAAATTGATGTTTGATGTTCTTGTCCTTTCCCTTGGAGCATTATCAATTTATCACCATCAGTGTGGGGTATAAGTCAGAACCTCAAAATGACTGATTGTGTTTTATGTATCCAATTTCATATGAAAAGAAAGTAGTCTGATTCAATACTGAGTTTCTGAACTGAGTGATGTGGCCTGCTGGTTGTTGATGATGGATGACAGGTTTGATGGGCAAAAAATTCTGCAGAAGTTAAGTGGTAAGAAAATAATGTTTGTCGGGGATTCACTGAGCAATAACCAGTGGCAATCACTAGCCTGCATACTTCATTTTGCTGTCCCAAATGCCAATTATACCTTGGTCGCTAGAGGCCCAATCGTGACTCTTTCTTTTCCGGTATGTACAGAGGCTTTAGTCTGAATTTTTAAGCAAAATCATATCCAATTTGTGTCCCTTTTTACTTCTGAAATTTTCTTTATCTGTGAGTCTGATGAAAGAAATTTTTGAATATGGAAGGAATATGGGGTGTCGGTGATGTTCTTAAAGAATGGATTTTTGGTGGATGTGGTGTCTGAGAAAGTAGGTCGAGTTTTGAAGCTTGATACCCTCACAAGAACTCAACACTGGAAAGGGATCGACGTTCTTATCTTCGACACTTATCACTGGTGGATGCATACCGGAAGCCATAAAACGTACGATTTATGCTCTGAAATACTATGTATTTAATAATCAGGGGTGGCATTTTGTTCATCTTCTTTCCCTGTTACAACAGGTGGGACTACTTTCAAATTGGTGACAAGTTGATCAAGGATATGGATTCCATGGATGCATACAAGACGGCATTGACTACATGGGCCAATTGGGTCGACTCCAACATTGATCCTGCCAAAACTAGAGTCTTCTTCCAAGGGATCTCTGCCGTTCATGTTCAGTAAGCATCATCATTACATCCTCCTCCTGTAACTTACTCTTTTGAGATGTCAATCTTAAACCGAGTTCTTGACGTGTTCTTGAATTCCTGTTTTTTAACTAGGGGGAATGGATGGGGTGAACCATCGGTGCCAAACTGCTTTGGACAAACCAAGCCGATTAAAGGAGCAGAATTTCCAGGGCAACATTATCCAGGAGAAGCAGTGATCAAGGACGTTCTCAATAGTATGAAACTGCCTGTTAACTTACTAGATATCACGCTGCTTACTCAATTAAGAAAGGATGGACATCCATCCAACTACACAAAAGGAGGTCAAGATTGTAGTCATTGGTGTCTACCTGGAGTTCCAGATACCTGGAATGAAATTCTGTACACTATCCTTATTGATTAATGAAATGGACCCTTCTTTTTGAAGGGATGGCAGAATAATCGGTAGAGCTCAGTAGAATTTACTGCTCGATAAATTCTAGAAATACATTGATCTAACATGGCATTGATTCGTTGCTACAACTTCTATACGTTCTTGCTACTCAACAATTAATCATCAAATGTGATTCTCATATCACTTGTCTTGCATACATATTCGGCATTAGTGAAGCTACACAACAACCTCCGGATACTATTGAATGCACAAAATGGAACAAGGAAAGTTATTAAGGGAAATTCGCAAAGGACCTAATGTCCCAATGCCATCATAGAAACTAAACACTTAACTGAACAGACAGGCCAATACTGGATACAAAGAAAAACAGTATGAATAGCAGAAGATGAACTTATCATTGTTTCCAAATGCAACTTGACAGTATAATCTACACCTTTTGTATCCTTTTGTCTGTTAAGGGCAACTCGATGGGCTTTTGTGCTTCATGGGGATGGGTTGGACCTTTGTATACCTTCAGATGGTTGAATAATGCCCTGCCCAACTGCGTAAACAATGCAGAAAATCACATGACGCAAATATAAATATGAGCCTTACACAAGAAATAGACTCCTAATAATAGCATCCACATCAGATCAGAACTCAACAAACAAAAGACGCAAATTCTATTTGCAGCACAATTGTACTTGTACAGACATAAATTTTTTACTCTCCCTATCCACTGGCATGCTGAGTTGTTGTAGTTATAAATCCAATTGATATCTAACAAATGTTTAATCACACTAATTGAAGCTAATGTTGCTCCATAATACTCAAAAAGGCCACCAGTTTCACTGATCTTCAATGAGGTACGGCTCCATAGTTCAGTGTTTTGAATAATATGAGTTAGAACTTAGCAAAGAGGTATCCAGGTGTGCATGGAAACCTTTTTGGCTTAGCTATTTCATTGTTTAACAACATCTAGCAATTCGAGTTGTAGTCTCATACTCAGATGAACAAGTTTATATACAATGGAGGAAACTTACCCGTCCTTTTGGAAGCATTCCACGAACAGCATGCTCAATAATTCTTTCAGGAATTCTCTTCTGCAGCTGATCAAATGTCTCAACTTTCATCCCACCAGGCCTTCCAGAATGTCTTCGGTAAAGCTTTTGGCTTCTCTTTTTTCCAGAGACAGCTACTTTTTCAGCATTCACCTTTTCATATAAAGCACCACCATAAGTTCTCAAATTTTGAAGGACGAAACATAAAGCGATACAAAATACAAACTGATGAGTAACATATCCATCAACTAGCATAAATGACAATGCCCCCAGCAAAAACACCCGAAAATTAAGAAACGAGTTTATTAGAAAATCTTCAGAATTTAAGTCAGCCACGAGGATCCCCAGATCCTATCAATTAGAATTTTTTGCATAACGCCGGTTATTACAATCTAACCTTCGATTTAATAAAATAAAGTATGTGAGAAAAATACATATAGCAGCCATAGATTATGAAAATAGCTGCCCTATAAGAAACAGTAAACAGTGAACCAATTACAAAGTCATATTGGAAAAGGGAAATTCTGGCCAGGGGCAAAACTAGGACAAAAAAAAACATTGAAATTCAGAAATGCACATGCAACAGCTCAAAAGAGATCCCACGATACTTCAACTTGATAACTCAATAACTTCCCAATAGGCATTTCGTACACAGATATGGCATTTATGAAGTAACATACCACAATGACGAAGGCTCCCATGTCCACACTAGGAGTATAGGTTGCAAGATTCTTTCCTCTGATATATACAGCAATGGTGGAAGCCAGTCTTCCAAGAATTAAATCAGTTGCGTCTACAACATACCATGGCTTATCAGTGTTTACATGATCAGCAGCTTTAGGATACCATGTCTTGTTCCAAATATCCTAGAGAGTTGGAAACCAGTAGCTTAGTGTTAGGACCTTAAATTTTGACTATATGAAACAAATGCAAGCCTAGAGTATTTTTTTTTCCTCGCATAGATACTGTCAGCAGCATTGCTAATAAGGTTATAATGAGCCCATTCATTCACTTGTCCTCATTTCTTTTGACACACATTTCTGTTATATTCAGTGATAGTACAAAGTTCCAAGGTTCTAATTCATACAGATAATGCAAAATCACTGCAATTTTAAATAAAATCTACAACCAAGCTGGAATAGAATGTGCATACCTAACTTGGGGGGATGGAATTTAATTCAACTAAAATTCAAGCGCACCTCATCACATCAATAGCATCCAAATTAACCTAGAAACGCCCTAGACCAGCACAAAAACTTCCCCTATTTCTGAATTCTGACTAATCAATTCTGCATTTTTAAGAAATCCAGTTGCATTCAGCATTTACCTAGCTTTCAACAATTTCAACCTCTTAGCTACAAGTATATGAAATTACTACATTTGAACAAAAAAAACACCAGAAACGGGATAATATACAGAGGGCAGAGAAATAGTTTTACAGGGCCACCGATTTCAGAGTCTTCAAACATCCATCTCTGGTCCACAGGAATGTGTACATCCGACTTTTGACTTTGGCAACGAACTGGGACGGTTGAATTGGTTCTCACAAGGGATGGGGATAGGAAAGAAGGCCTTGATGAAGAAGAGGTGGTGGAAAATGAAAAACCCAGAAAAGGGCTCTTCTTTAAGGAGGAAGAAGAGAAGGGAACTTGAGAAGAGGAAGTAAGGAAAAGGGAAGAAGAGCATTGTATCGCCATTGTTGTCGATAATGGTTTGGTTAATTTTGCTCCCCTTTTTGGCCACTGCTCCCTTTGTAGCAGGTTGTAACTCCTCCGAGGATAAGATAGACTGACAGAACTCGATGAAGCTCCCCTCTCTTTCCTTTTTTCTTTTTTTTCTTTTCATCTAACTACTGTATTTATTTTAAATAATTTTTTTTTGGTTTTTTTTTTTCCCTCAGAACAGTCTTACTTATTTTTATACTTTGTAATTTTTATAGACTTAGATGACGAGAAAAAAAAAAAATACTCCATGTTGTGAATGGCATGATTAATAAATTAGGCATGTTGTTATTTTTTAATTCACACGTTATTTGATAGTATTTCATGTAAATTAATCTTTGATAGTATTTCAGTTTTATTCCATCTAAGTTTAAATCACTTTGATCAAAATATGAGTTCCAATGAACTTGAATTAATGAAATTCGACTCACAATGATTACAAGTTACAGATCCGGAGATACCTGGAAATTTTGTGATTATAAGAGAGATTTATAACTGGTTTTGACTTTTAAGTTGGGCTCAATCAATACCACCGATTTATCGTAATTTATCTAACTACTGGTTGTGAGTACAACTTAATAACTCACAAACTAATGCTACATTTCACTAAGAACTCGTTGACGAGTGTGATTACCGATTAGATATATGCTTTGCTGAATTTCAAAGTAACATGATATTTCCCAATCAGTTTAATGTTTTCTTGACGAAACTCTCATTAATATAGAAATTTTGAGCTTGAACCTATTAAAATTCGAGTTTAATTAATTTTTCAAGAAAGACTATAGTCACTATACAGTATAAGTGTAATCATATTTGTAACACTAACAGATATAATTGGGTCAATGAACTAATGGGCATCAATTTTTATTTTTTTCACATCGTGATGAAGCCAAATTGAACGAACTACATTTGCAATGAAAATTAATTAATTTCTGTAATCTTCTTAAAACAAAAATACACCAGAAATTGTATTTGTGGTGCAATCTTATGCCCCTTGTTAAAAAAAAAAAAACAGAAAAAAAAAAGAAACTTTTTCTTCATGAACACTACTAATCAAGTTTCAGCATCCTGTTTTCCAGCAACCTCCACCCCCCAAAAGGCCAATAGTCCACACTAAACCATATTCTTCACGCCACTGAACCTTCCTTCCCTTTTTCACATATATAAATGGCAATTTCTTTGTCAACCCTGTTAAGTTTCACGTTACCACCGCCGTTCCCCTCCCACCTCCGCCCTCAAAAACCCCTCTTTTCGCCATTCCCAACTCTTTCCCCAAAACCCTTTAAACCTCTTCCTCTATATTCGAATCCCAGCATTGGAAAAGCCAAGAAAATGTTGACAATCGTATCAGCTTCAGGCCACGATCTGAGCCTGATACAGAAGTCAATTGAATTGGTTCAATCTTCCCCACCAACATGGCAATCCGCTTTGCTCAGTAACGTGATAATATTTATTCTGGGAACTCCAATTTTGATCTCTGGTTTGTCTCTATCTGGCATTGCCGCTGCTTTCTTGCTCGGCACTCTCACTTGGCGCTCGTTTGGTCCATCCGGGTTCTTTCTCGTGGCATCATATTTCGTAATTGTGAGTAAAAAAATCTCATCTTTCTTGTTCTTCCTTTTCCCCTGAAGTTAAGTCGATGGTTGTACTCGTATTCGATTCAGTTTTTGATGTCTGAATTGTCAAGGCTATACTGATTTGAACTGATCGTGAATTAGTTTGTCATTATTTCTGTTGGTAATTGATTCGGTAGTTTTAAGTCATTGTGTTTCATGGTAGATTAAAATCAGCTATTTGGCGTATTAGGTTATTGTAGAAACTGAATACATGGATGCAAAAAATCTGAAAGAGATTCGAAGCTGGATGTTGGATCTGGTTGATTTATTAATTATGTACTCCAACTACAGGGATGTGGATTATTAATGTAAGTTTGTCAGGGCACTGCAGCTACAAAGGTCAAAATGGCACAGAAGGAAGCTCAAGGGGTTGCTGAGAAGAGGAAAGGCAGGAGAGGGCCTGGGAGTGTGATTGGTTCCAGTGCAGCAGGTTGCGTTTGCGCTGTCTTATCAATTTACAAAATTGGAGGGAAGGCATATTCTCCGCTTTGGGTCCTTGGATTTGTTGCTAGTTTCTGTACAAAGTTGAGCGACACGGTGTCAAGTGAGATCGGGAAAGCATATGGCAAAACTACGTCAGTGCTATTTGCCCTTGGCTTTTTGTATTATTTATATGGAGCTAATAATAATTATAATAAAAGGAAAGAACCAAAGTGAATATAATTCTTGCTTAAGGTATCCCTGACAGATCTTACATTGCAGATATTTGGTCACTACATTTAAAGTGGTCCCCCGAGGAACTGAAGGTGCTGTCAGTGTTGAAGGAACTTTGGCCGGATTGATTGCTTCTGCCCTTCTGGCGTCAGTTGCCTGTCTAGTCGGTCAGGTGTGTGAGGTTATCATTTACGATTATACTTTGGCCATGCAATCTTTAACAATGTTGCTCCATGTTACCCCTAAGACTATTGGTTCGTTATTGTTTTTCGATGAGTTTAAATGAGTCACCTAGTTGTTTTTTAAATGAGTCACCTAGTTGTTTTGAGGTAACTGTTGATATCACACACTTCCATGGATTGAGTTTTGAAGATTGGTTACGCTGAAGTTCTCATACAGTACATCAATGCGATCCATGTACAATTAGGATCTCGTGCACAGGCAGTTTTGAGCTAGGTTTACTTTGAAAAGGATTATCAGAGCTTCTATGTGCTTTCTTGGATGTCTTTCCTGGCAACAAACTCTTGCCTCTAATGGACAGCATTTTCCTATGGCAGATCAATGTGCCTGAGGCCGCTGTATGTGTGGTAGCTTCCCAAATTGCTAACCTAGGAGAGAGCTTTATCGGTGCAGAATTCCAGGGAAAAGATGGGTTTCGCTGGGTATGTTCTTATTTAAGGATGAATATCCTCTCAACTTTTGGAACAACCCTCCAAATGGAGATTGGCATGTGTTGAGTCTTCTCAACAATTTTCTCTCATATCTTGACTTCATTGGTTTTTAATTCTTTGCAGCTCAACAATGATGCTGTTAACGTTATCAACATTACCATAGGCAGCATTTTAGCAGTTGTAATGCAGCAATTTATGCTTCAGAAATGGCATCTGTGATCGTGATTGTTCATCTATCAAAAAGGGGGAGCATAGGCATGTTTTCAAGCCTATCACAGCCTGCTTTATTATGGCATAAAGATGCAAAACCAGACTCCATTAGAGGAGTAAGGCGAACATTGAATGCCATTGTAATGGCTTCTTAGGATAAACACATCCTGTATATGATTTAACAGTACATTGCTGATCATCCGTGATCCCTGATATACCGTAAATTAAATTATTTTATACTCAGCTCGAACCGAATTTTTCTTTTTGAATGTTGCACTTCTGCAGTGCCTCTATTAGTTTCAGTTGCTAATAGGCAGATTTTGCCTCCTCTACATCTTCTTGTTCTACACAAATACTTTCGACAAACTCTTAGTGTATTGATACCTTCTGGTTGTATGTAGCATTGTCATGCAAGAGCATTCGCAAATCAGCATTGACTGGTTGAATATAATCTGCTGTTTTCCATCAGTTTGTTTGACTCACTAAGAATCTTGTTGAGGGGGAATGGAGGATAATGGCATCTTGATGTTGATGCTGAATAAGAAACAAAGTTTGTATTGGCAGAATGTGATGATTGGCCAATGAAAAGAATTGACATCAGTTTACTTTTGCGGAAGAAGAATCAAATTTCTGTAATATGTCCAAGGATTCAGGGATAATGATGTTAAAATGATAGGAGCTCATTTGAAAGTTTCATAAAATCTCAAGAACTTTAGGTGCAATTCTAGAATTTGGTATCCTAGTTGTAGTTGTTTGGGATCTGAGGACCTTTTATGGGACCCTTTTACCCCAAAAAAGGCATATTTGTTCTAATATCTTCTACTCTTCTTATTCTCACAACTTGCATTTTGTAGTTAGTGGTCAATAACACTCCTCCGTTGTTCACAACCACAATATGTGCTGGAAAAGTGCCCAAAAATAAGTATATTCTTAAGTCTGCCAAGATATTTTCTGTAGTAATCCCATCCACCCCTAGGATTTGGGAATATCAAATATTCAATCACTAGTAATTGTTACGTCAATCATTATAAAAATTTTATGTAAATTCATTGCTGATTGTAGAAGTTTGTATTGACTAAATTCATCTATAGAAACCTTTGAAACGGGTAGAGATAAATAATTGATCGACGCAAGTCTTTATTTATTTTTCATATGCTAATGTGGTTTCATCAAGCAAATTGTAGTATGTTAGAGGTTATCGGGAATTCCGTTTGTAAAAAACGTAATACATGGAGGCAAAAAACTAACTCTAATCTATTCTTAGTATTCACGAGATTCTTATGATCTCTCTAACTATTTCGTTGAGAATAAATAGTTGTAACCGATGCGTCGGATGTCTCACATGTTAAACGACGGATGAAAATGAAAGATTCTCACTTTTATTCGGGTGAAACAAAAAAATTAAAGATTTTATCTAAACCTAGGTACGATTTCTATTTCCAATGTCACAAATTGAGGAAATAAATAAATTCATGCAATGGATAGAAGTGCATAGTAGTATTTCACTTGAGAAAGAATTTCACTCGAGGAAGTAAGGGGATATCAGATATTCAATCACTAGTAATTGTTACGTCAATCATTATAAAAATTTATGTGAATTCGTAGCCTGATTGTAGAAGTTTGTATTGACTAAATTCATGTATAGAAACATTTGAAACGAGTATAGATAAATAATCAACGCAAGTTTTTATTATTTGTTTTATATGCTATTGTGGTATCCACAAGCAAGTTGTAGTATGTTAGAGGTTATCGGTAATTTTGCTGGTTAAAAACGTGAAAAAATACGTAGGAAAAAAAAACAACTCTATTCTATTTTTAGTATTCACGAGATTTTTATGATCTCTCTAACAATTTCGTTAAGAGTAAATAATCGTAACTGATGCGCCGGGTGTCTCATGTGTTAATCGTAACTGATGCGCCGGGTGTGTCACGTGTTAATCGTAACTGATGCGTCGGATGTCTCACGTGTTAGTCGTAACTGATGTGTCGGGTATCTCACATGTTAAACGACGGACGAAAATGAAAAATTTTCACTTTTACTCTGGTGAAACAAAAAATTTAAAGAATTCACCTAGACCTAGGTACAATTTCTATTTCCACTATAAAAAAATTGAGGAAATAAATAAATTCATGCAATGGATAGTATAGGGTAGTAGTATTTCACTTGAGAAAGAATTCATTTACTTCAATATTTTTTGGTTTTTCCATTTTCAATACAAACTTGTAAATAAGTTAGTGGTAGTATAATAAATGAAGCTGGAAAAAACCAAACACGGCGCGTGCCAATGTTATAAATAAGAAGGGGGAAGAAAGATCCATGTTCCTGAGTCCTGACAGTACCGGCCAGCTCAGCGGGTCAGATCCGTACCAGTCGCCTTAATTGAGAAAAAACCCGACACGTCTTCAAACCAACCGCCTTAGCCTCGCCCCCAAAATCTCACCAAAAAAAATATCCCATTTTCTTCTTCTTCTTCTCACATTTCTTCTTCACTCTTCCATCCTCTTCCTTAAACCCCTGTGTCCTCCTTCGTCTTCTTCCTCTTCTTCTTCTTCTTCTTCTTCAATTCCCAATCACTTCATTCTTGATATGGGTTTGTTGAGGAGGTAGAGATACATAAAGAAAGTGGAGGGATTTTTATTTTATTTTTCTTCCTTTTAGAAATTTTTGATTTGGAATTAAGTAGAGGTAGGTAGGGATGAAGATTCAGTGCAACGTGTGTGAGGTGGCGGAGGCGAGTGTTCTTTGCTGTGCAGATGAGGCGGCGCTGTGCTGGGCTTGTGATGAGAAAGTTCATGCAGCTAATAAGCTTGCTAGTAAACATCAAAGGGTTCCTCTTTCCACCTCCTCTTCCCAGATGCCCAAGTGTGATATTTGTCAGGTTTACTATATACCTGACTTTTTTCCTTTTCTATTCTCTTCAAATTCAGCTCAATTTTGGAAACAGAAAGAAATAAAATTCTCTCTCTCTCTCTCTTTTTTTTTGTTTTTGTTTTTGGATAAGTTGTTAATAGTTATTGGTCTGCATATATTGTATGATTCGAGGAAATGTCAGGAGGATTTGGTTTCTGCTAATAATTTTAAAATTTTTCAAGTTTTTTTTTTTTTTTTTTGGTCAACTGAGATCTTTTTATGACAAAAATAAAAAATGAATGTTTTGTTGATTATTTTAACTGTCTCACGGATAGTTTAGTTATTTGAATGGGTTTGATCCTTTATTGTATTCTTTGATAGCTGTAGTGGGTTGATGGCTGCCGAATTGTTTAATGTTTTGAGCTTCTCCTGGTCCTGGCACATATATGAAAACTAAAATGAAAGGGAAAAAGAAAATACCGGAAAATGGAAATAAAGGTAACTATATTAATAAAATTGGGGAATGCAAGATTTAAGCTGATATGGATTGGATTGAAATGTTTTTAACTCCTAGTACTCTATTAAAAAAGAAAGAAATGAATTTGAATATTTAGATGTTCTGAGCTCTGACAGCTGTTTAATATGTCATAAAAAATACACACAAATAAGTCATTGCTACTATTTAGGAGTTACTATTAATTTGAGTTGTCTAATTTCACATGTACATGTCTGGATCTTTGGTTAGTATATGGTAGGCTTTATACATTAAGCAGACTCCCCTCCAAAATTTTCGTGTTTGCGCCTAACGGACAGTTTTAAACTTTTGTGAATGCAAGAAGCATGGTTTGCTATTCCTTCCCCCCTTCCCTCTCCCAGATTTTGAGCATGACTACTGCACCAAGTTAGGCATGGATATCTGTTTTGGGTATGAACCGTAAGAAGTTATTTTACCCGCGAAAGCGGTGGTTTAGTTGAATGTTTCTCATCCATATCTCTGCACCTCATCAAAATGAAAATAATATTTGCATTGTAATCTTGGTTGAAGGGCTAGTCATTTTGTCCCATTGTGCTCTTCTTTAACATGAACCTTTAGAGCCCAGTTTATCTTAGCAAAATTTTGTAATGTTTTTTGCAAATATGACAAGTCTTTCTCTGTTCCTGCAGGAGACGATTGGGTACTTCTTTTGTCTAGAAGATCGTGCTTTGCTGTGCAGGAAGTGTGATGTCTCCATCCACACTGCTAATCCGTACGTTTCTGCCCATCAGAGGTTCCTGCTCACTGGAGTTAAAGTTGGACTTGAACCTGCTGAACCCGGTCCATCTTCATCTTCCGGGAAATCACACTCCAGTGAGAAGGTATCAGAACCAGAATTCCGCCCTATGTTGAGGAAGGCTGCCCCTGCTTTGTCTAACAGTCAATACGATGGAGTGCCTACTCAGGTCAATGGAGTTGACGACTTCGTGCCGACAAAGACCTCATTGACAGGGGGTTCTGCAGCTGGAAGTATTCCGCAGTGGCAGTTTGATGAGTTTCTTGGACTTAATGATTTTAATCAGAATTACAATTTCGTGGGTAATGGCTCATCTAAGGTATGATACCAGGTCATATCGGAGTTTCATTGCACATATTTGGTTTATTTAGGTCTTAGGCCTTTCCTGTGGCTACCTGTAGTGTTCATTTTCATTCGTCACCTTTTATAACCTGGGAATCATCTTTAACATAAGAGAATAGTGGATAGAGGATTCCTCGGGAACATTTGTATGTTAGCCGAAATGTAGAAAAGGAATGTTCATTTTTAGCTAAAATGAAGAAAAGAAATGTTTTGCAACTTTCTACTGTATATTTGTGGCATATTCTTGAACCTCTTCCATTGGTCATAGATTTTACTTTGTTTTAGCTAAGTAGGTGGTTTATCTGGCTATGGGTATTACATGGCCAGCTAGAAGCATGGTGTGAAAATGATACCTGAGTTTTGATGTTCAGACCCTTTTTCCTAACGCAGTTTTGAAGGTTCACTCTTTGCTATAGGATTTCAATTTGAATGAAAAGCGTGGATGATCTGAAATGGTCATTTGGTTGTAGTTCTCTTTCGTGGAAGTTGACCCATTTGGAGGATTAGGAGTCAATCGGGGAAACATCAACACTTCCCTAATTTAATAGGGTGGTCTAGATAGCCAGGGGATCTTGGGAAGGCTAATTTTGTTATATATATTGAGATGCCAGGAACCACTTCTCCTATGCCTCTAATAAGTTTCAGGGTTCCGTAAGAGATACGTGTTCAGTCCCTTTCTCTGGGAAAATATCCATTAAAGAATAAACAAGAAGAATAGGTAGGAGTCCCCAGAGATACTGATGTGAGATCTTCTTTTTGAAGCCTCCAGAGTTTTCATTACCCAATTTCATGTCTAATTTTCGTCTGGTGTTCTATAGTTCCTTTACTGACCCTCCAGTTCTTTCCAAGTTTATAATTATCACATTATTTGTGGAATGATCAAAAGGATAGCATTGTTTGTGGTTTTATCAAAAGGATATCAGAAACAAGATCATCTTTAACAACTTAATCTTTGTCCAAATATTTATTTTCTTTTCCATCCCTCTTTACCATAGACTATGTCATGTCAAGCTTCAAGTAGGCTTTCAAGGATTGTGATGGTGTTGACATCTTCTACAAAAAATTGGAATGATGCCATTTTTCAGTTCAGTATTCTCTGAGAACTGGGAAATCATTCCAAGTGTAATAAGTTGTATACCTTTTTGATTGGGATAATATATCACTTTGTCTACCTGAGTTAGTTATCGTCAACCGTTGGTTGATATTTTGTTTTTCACTTGTACCTTTGTGGTTCATGTGCACAACTTGTTGATTCCCTGTAAGGCTCCTTAGACAAAAGGAGTCGGTGCAAACCCTAATTCTGTTATTTTCAATTGATTCTGCCAGGCTGATAGTGGAAATCTTGGAGACTCTGACTGCTCTGCAATTATGAGGACTGTGGAAGAAGAGCTAGAAAGTGATGATTGTTTAGGTCAAGTTCCCGAGGCTTCCTGGGCAGTACCTGAAATTCCTTCTCCACCAACAGCCTCAGGGCTGTATTGGCAGAAGGCATATCAGAATCCAACAGACTCCTCAGTCTTTGTACCTGATATATCTAGCCCAACTATTCAGAACTCATTGACTGATCACTCATATGCTCCGCCTACCTTCAAAAGGCGAAGGCAGTTTTGATGTGTATGTGATGCAAATATGCTTCCATGAGCCTCAAAATTTAGAGATGTAGTTCATGCATTACAATTATATTGGCACAATTTTATCTTTGGTTGTATATATTGTCATCTTGTACCGTGAGAGCGTGATGTAGTGAGGGTAGTTTGAGTCAAATACCTGCAAAAATCTTTTCTGTCAACGAGAGAAATGAGTGCACCTGTGGGTGCATGTGTTAGCATAAAGTTCTCTTGACACTGCTCATCTAATATGAGTATATGACGATTCTCTGCTTCGAAGTAAAAATGGATAGTAATTCCCTTTTTCGTTTTCATTGGAGTGTACAAACATGTGTAGATGATCAGTAAATTCTGCAGATAACAAGAAGTAAATATGAATAATCGATGTCATAAGAACGTATTGGACCCAGAACTCAATACAAACATTAAATTTCACAATTAACGTATAATTTTATTTTTATTTTATTTTTTTTGGTTGCGAAGGAGGAGGCGAAATGGCCTAGTGATCAAATTACAACATTACCGGGATAAGCCAACCCGATTACATCATGTGCTAACACTTTTTAACAGCATATAGCGGGTCTATCAATCTAGAATATCCCCATACAGTACTCTTAATACCTGCTAAACTCTTAATATCAATCTAGAATATCCCCGATAACTATAAATTTAGTATCGTAGAAACAATGTTGAGTCTCGATGTGAAAAGTTTTAACTTTCAATCAAAGAAAGACAAAATGTTGATGTCAATGGCCGTAAGTTGTGGCTAGATCAGTTAGGATACTGGTCTATGGTCAATGGCGGCTCTCTTGGATGTTTACCATCTGTCAAACCTTACTTTCAACGGTTTATTTCAGTTTCATTTTTGGTAGTTTTGATCTTCCAGTACTACTTGAAAATGGAATTCTCTGACCTTGGTAAGTTGTAAAAGTACATCCAAGTTCCAATGGTTCTATATGCATTAGCATTAGTGCAATACATTGCCTCATTGCAATAGTAAAAAGGGAGTCATTTACCACATTTAAATGCATTGCCATTGATGGAATGAAGTAGTTAACTTAATGGATAGGAAGCCGACGGCTGATATACAAAACTGAACGCTCTGTAATTATCAGTACATTAATAGCTAAGCACAGCTAAACTATAGTAATGATTTTGAGTCTTAACTGTTATTCTCTCCGTCCCAAAATGATAGCCTGAGTAATCGGCATTTGTAATGTAACTAAACATTATTCAGCAACCATGATTGATGTAATAATTGGCTGGTTTTTCTGGCCAGAAGAATCATTGCATTTGGTTCGTCTTAATGTTTTCATCTTCTATCACTCCACTGGTCGACGTTGCTCCGGCCGCCCTAACTTCCCTGAGAATAAGCTTCAAGAGTTTCTCGTACCCGCCTAATGCCAATTCCAGAGTATCAATCGACCTTTTCCTCTCCATTACTGCAACAGCCAACTCCTTTTCCAGTTCCATTTTCTGCTCCATAACCTCAAAACTTTCCATTTTCCCCTTCAAATCCCATCTATGAAAACCACCCACATTCCTGTCAATCCTCCTACCCAAATGTGCAGCTGCTCTGACATTTTCATGTCCATCCAGTCCTGTCAATACCACCAAATGACTGATACTTCCCGTTTGTTTTCGATCGAGAAACTTGATCAGTTCTCCGTTTCTGGCGTCCCAGAAACAAATGTTCCCATCTTCAGAGGCAGTAACAACGTAATCTCCCCTGAATATTGTTGCCATTGATGTTAATGGTTTGTCCTGTTTTTCACAACTCCACGGGACAATTTCAATTCCCTGTTTCGCCCTGTTTCTTGATGTGACTTGTAATTTGCCGCTGTAAACAAAACCATCGGATCCCACGCCGTAGAATAATGATTCTAGAGGATCCATCTTCAGATCCCATATCGTACATGGAAATGTAATGGATATCAGAGGAGTCTTCTTCATTAGGCTCCAGAATTTGCAAGTACAATCCAAAGAAGACGAAACTATGGCGCAATTACTGCCTGTTGCGATGGCAGTAATCGACGATTCATGGCCAATAAATGTCTGCAGCGCTGATAAATGCACTGGATTCTGGCAAGAAAGGGAATAATCTAAAAGCTGGTGCAGAGCAAATACAGAAATGATCCCATCATCACTGCCCGAGAAAATGAGCGATCCATCATCATTCATTTCCAAGCATGTGATAGGCTTGGAGTGAGCTGCAACTGAGAGAATGACATCTCCGGATGGGATTGAAACAGAGTGAATTTGACCCGAAACGCCGCCGGCGAGGAGATACGAGCCGTCTGGGGTGGGGAGAAGCGGCGCAACCGGTTCAGGCATGGGGAATTTGTAGAAAGGAGTGGAGGACCACCAGTTGTAGAGGTGAATGTAGCCATTGCCGGTTTCCGGGCAAACATGAGAAGCTGCAATGAATCTTTTGGCAATGAGAGTTAGCCCTTTTCGGGGAGTTCGGCTTCCTTTGAATTGAGCTGCTCTGAAACCTGTAGAAGCATCATAGGCAGTAATGCAACCATCAGGAGAGCCAGTAACCAGGAGTTCTTGCAGGGAAGCTGACATTTTGAAGAAAAAGGTTTTTAACTCTGAAAATGGTGAGTTAAAACACTAGTAGAAAGGAAAAATTGGATCTTCTGAACATTTTTCGTTATTGAATTGAAATAGGCTGAAGAAAGAAAGTGCATTTTGCTAGGAAAGTCAAATAGGGAGAGTTTGCATGAAAGGAATTCCTTTTTCATGACAACGTGTCGTGTTGATTCTTGGTTGTTCTTGTAATCCGCTCGCATCCATCCGTACATTCTATAACTGTCTCAATGATTTCTAAATAAACGGAATGTTTTATTTTTACGGTTAGTGATATTTTGAATTCGTCTGTCACAGAATCTAACGTATTTCATTCTTCCATAAGAATGAGAAATGAGAATTTTTTTTTTTTTTCAAATTTTGGGATGGAACGAGTAAATTATTATAGAGGTCGGCCATTTTATTCAATCATCATCAAACTGAGAGGAGTTGGATAGGACTATACAAATTTGTTCTTTCTAAGTAAAATCCCTTCTTTTACCTCGACATTGTCAAGACAATCTGACATAAGAATGACTAACTACATTCCAAGATTTGACTGTGAGTTTCGCTCATTGTCGCCGCATCCAGCCAAGACGACAGTGACTCCATGTTTTATGCAATTTGACAAAACGTCTAGACTAGGAAAATTCGGTAACTGAACCATTGTATGATGAAGTTTTTGGTTATATTGGGCAAACAGAAGGTAAGTAATGGCATTCTTGCCTAAGGTTGCTACGCATAATCTTTAGTCAAATTTCATGTTACTAGGCTGGTAGTCAAACTTACATACCAGTACGACTGATAAATTTCTATTTTTATCGTTTCAAAATAACAACACTCATTTTCTTGATTCCAAAAACGAGATTGTTAGTTCAAATAGAGGGAATTGATCATAGATATCTTACATTTTTATTATATTGTTATAGGAAATAGTTACTCCCTCCATTTTCAAAATGTAGGCCGTTTTAGGGTTTCAAAGCAAATTAAAGATTAATTTCCCAACTTTACCCCCAATAAATTATGCTAATCACTTTTCATCTAGTTTTGGTTATAATTTCAAAACAATTAATGAAGGGCAAAATAAATATTTAACACAAAAATTAATCATTAAATGATTGTCTCTTTAATTTACATGTCGAGGCTAAAAAGACTTATATTTTGAAATGAAGAGAGTATTAGTTTTGTAGCAAGGAACTTCTGAAACCAACTAATGTGGTTAGAGTTTAATAATCAGAAAGTGAGGGAAAGTCTCATGTCTGTGTGTAAATAAAAATAACCTTATAGTCTTTATTAATTTCCGGTACGGTAAATTCCATCTCCCTTTTACATGCTCATTTATCCTTTTTCGTTTTTCTTTTGCTGAGAATTCCATCGTAAAGTTGAGTTTATAGAGTTTCATCAATGAAGGGAGAAGAAGTGACATTTTTACCCTTTTTAAATTTATAAACCACACTATATATAGTGACATTTTTACCCTTTTTAAATTTGTAAACCACACTATATATATATATTTTATATATATATATATATATATATATATATTTGCATAGTGTATGGTGTCCTAAATGCATTGCACTCAGACTAATCCGCACCGAGTCGAATCAGTCTCCTTTCAGAGGAAAAATTCTTCCAACATTACTCTTTTCATTCACGAGACTCGATCCCGAGAACTCATTTAAGAGAACCAAAGTACTTTACCACTTCAGCTCATCAATTTTTGGTTTATAAACCACACTATGATAATTGATAATTGAATTTTCTCGATAAGTAAAAAAAGGGAATAGGCGGGAGAAGTTGGGCATTTGATTGGCCCTTCTAATAGCATAAGAATTCGAGGCCCAATATAACGTACATAAAGTCATATAAACGGGCATTTACCGCCTTTTCAACAATTTTAATTGGAAGTTGAAACTCAAAACTCAAAAGAATTTCTCTGCGTCTGTGTTTTTCTAGAAATAGTGCGATTGAGAGAGAAACCCAAGGCAATCAGATAAGAAATTGAAGCTTTAGTTTTTCTATTTAATTCATCGTGAGCGTGAGGGGATCTAAATCTCTCTGCTCCGACTGAAGTTTTTCTGCATTTCGCTGCCTTCGACGGCCGGAATTCGCCGTTCGTTTTTGCCGCTGATATTTCAGGTAAAATTCCAATGATGAAGTTGCTGAACGAGTTGTCGTTTTGAGCTTTAGCTTTCGATTGGAATTTATATATAGTATAATTCGATGATATATTTTGAGAAATGTCGCTTTAATTTCTTTCTTTTAACTTCTGTACGTCCGAAATTTCAAAATTTCAGGTCATAGATCAAGAGTTTCGGAGCAGAAGAAGCCAGCGGTAGAATTTTCTTGTGAAGAATTTTGTCTGTTAATGAGGTAAATAAGCTTTCTCTTGAAATTTTTCCTTTTTCGATTACTCATTTTTGAAAGAAGGAATTGTCGCTGTTTGTTCGATCTGACATATTTTTTCTTGTATTACTGAAGCTGTATTTGTGAGAGATTAGGTTTAATCCTTTGTTTCTCCATATCCTTTAGTTTTTGCTTTTGATAGAACAATTGTTCTGTTTTCTGGTGATTCCTGTTGCTTGATTTATCTTGCGGCAATTCGTTTGTGGATAAAAATATTGCAACGGAAATATAATTTCCAAATTCTTGTGAATTATTTGTGAAATATACGGTTACTTTTTGAAGTATTTTACATTTCAGTGTACGTTTGGCCGCTCAAAGTTGTAGTTCTTCATTTTATTGGAAATATGCCCATATATCTTTATTAAGTGGTGGTTTACCTGAAGAAGAAACTAATGGAGGTATGCCTTTTGTTTTCTGCGTCACTCTTATTCTGCATGTTGTCAAAAAGCTTGGCATTTGTGTCCGATGACCGGTTTCAATTGCTGATGTATACTTAATTAATATATCTACTTGATTTCTGTTATTTTGATTCTGTGCCAAGTGTTAGCATACACAGAATTAGTAAGAAATCACAGCATGTTGATACTTGTTGATGACGAATAGTTGTTCCCAGAATTGTACTGTAGGTTTCACTTGATTTAAAAAGGTCAAAATGAGATGCAATGCATGCTGGCGGGAATTGGAAGGACAAGCAATTTCCACCACTTGTGGCCACCTCCTCTGTATCCATTTTGCAATCAATAGTCCTGATCAGTTTGCAGTTTCTATTACTTTTCCAATTGATTTCCAACGAATCAATTTGGCTTCTTTTTTGCACTCCTTAATGCTATATAGGTCCAGAAGATGCCAATAAGATTCTCAGTAATGATGCTGCTTGCCCAATATGTGATCAGGTGCTCTCTAAAAGGTCAGTGCCCCTTAACTCCCATGTTTGAGGTTATCTTACATTTTCTGTTATTGTTGCACCCTCATTTCATTTTTTTCTTATATATGGCAACATCAGTTTACGCAGCAGGAAATATTTTGCTTCTTCATTTTGCATATAGCTTCATGCCTCAAATAGTACATGCTCAAATTTAGCCTTTTATTTTTTTTCTTTTAGGATTATAGAATATAGCTCTCAGTTACCCATATTTAGCCGTCTAGTGACCAAACTAAGCTCTTACTTTCAGCCTTATGAAAAGTGTGGATATCAACCCCAATGATGAATGGACAAGTGTAAGAAGCACACTCCTTCAAATTACCGATCTTTGATATTATATCGCTTACTCTCATCTGTTTTTCTGTTATTGTTTATCAGCACCTGAAGCTGACCTAGAAAACTTTTATGCACATTTTCAGATGGTCTTGGCTGGGATATCTCCGCAGGCTGGTATCCTGAATATGCATTTGAAAATATTGAATTTTTTGTCTAGTGAATTGGAACATGTAGGACTTTCTAGAAGGTTAAGATGACACTTAAGAATTCGGTAATGATCTGTTGAAACTAAGTGAAAGTGTAGGATCTTAAAATCTTGATAGAATATGCTGTTTCGCAAAAGATGTAGAATGTTCTTGCAGGATTCAGTTGGAACATCGCAGCACTTAACTTTTGAGCCTTCTCCGTGGAGGATAATTATATATCATTATCATTTTATTTGATTTCCTTAAGTGAACACAGTGATGAAGACTGCATACAAAGGTGTGATGTTCTACTTTGGGCAAAAGGAACTGGAGATGCAATTAAAGATGAACAGGATAGTTGCTCAGTTCCGGCAAAAAAGTGAGATGATGCAAGAAAAATTCACCCAGAAACTGGAGCAAATTCACGCTGCATACCAAAAAATGGGTAAGAGGTGCCAGATGTTGGAGCAAGAGGTTGAAAGCTTGACCAAAGACAAGCAGGAGCTCCAAGAAAAATTTGCAGAAAAATCAAGGTCAGTATGATTAACAGTTTATCTACCTGGTGAAGATGTTTACTGACTCCTGCAACCTGGGAAATCACTATCTTATTGTCAATAACAGACAGAAAAGAAAACTTGATGAGATGTATGATCAGTTGAGAAGTGAATATGAATCACAAAAGCGAGCAGCTATTCAACCAGCGTCAAATTTCTACCCAAGGGCTGAGCATGATTTGTTTTCAAGTCCTGCTAATATGATGGATCACAGAGAGCCAATGAGAAAAGGTAAATCTGTTCCTTTTACGGGTATACTTTATGTATAGAGTTTACGGTTGTCATTCTCTTTACATTGTCAATTTGAACACAATTGCATTTTGGCACATTTTGATGGTAACTTTTAAACTTCAATCCAATCACACATTCTAGATGATTCCCATGGGAAATACTAGTTAACTTATTCATTGCAGATTGGTCGGTTCTCTCTCCTGTAACTCCAGGACCAAAAGAGGATGTTTGGCCAGCAGCAAGGCAGAACAGTGGTAACTCTGGACCCTTCGACATTTCCAGTGGCTCGCCTGCAAAACAATCAGGACTTCCTATGGATGCTGGAAACAGAAGGGCAGGTGCCCGCCCTGCTTTCGGTGCCGGGCCAGCTGCTGGAGGTGGAAACACATCAATGACTTTGAGGAATCTCATCCTTTCACCTATAAAGAGACCTCAGCTCTCTCGAAACCGTCCAAACTTATTCACGTAAGAGACCCTTGACATTATGTTCGTACTGCTCTTTGCTGAGGGAGAGTCATTGCAAGGTTTTGCTGAGTGAGTGATTGCATGATTTTGGTGAGTGGAGTGACTGCATGATGTCTTGGCTTTTCAGGTTATAGAGAAGCAACATTGTAGCTCTCCTCTTCCATCGGGTTATAGAGAAGCAGCGTTGTAGCTCTCCTCTTCCATCAGAAATCCAGAGGATCATTGCCCTGTTGCAAAGGAGATTTCCGATAGTTGAAATTTACAAGCAGTTACACGGAGGAGTGGAATCCTCAGTTGTCTTGAAGTATCTAAAGTTGTCATCCTGATATTATGCAGTTCTATATAGTACACTGCTTGTCAAATAGTAGGGTTTTGCGTATCTTCGGATGAATCACTATGTTATCATTGCCAGTCTTCTGTATTCACTCCAGTGTCATTCTTAATGTGTATATATATATAGTTTATATACAAGAAACCTGTCACTTTTATTTGACATGGAGACAGTGAAGATGTATGCTTTGCATTCTAATTCAATCATACGTGGAAATTTTGACAGATCATTTTGTGTGCTTTGGATATACAGCAAATAGCTATGCAAGTGTTCAACAGACATAAGAACAACACAAGTCCATATTGACATCGTGTTAGTACCAGCAGCAATGAAATGAATTAATGAATTATTGAACTGCTACTATTTCTCACTCAGAAGGTGGAAAAACCAAGTCTTCCAGGTTCCAGTGCAACAACTACCGAAATAGGACATTTCCCAAAATGCACCTATCTACATAATATGTAGCGTGAACTTGTTTCCATAGAGATTTGACATTGCTCAACATCACGAAAACCTATTTGTACAAGTATTTACCAACGTTCTCTAACGCAGCTCAAGATAGCAAATGTGAAGGCAAAAATACTTTCAGTGAAGGAGCCCGGGAAGACAGTTCAATTGTATCACCAAAATTAACTTCAAACACAACATGGGAACCATCTATGTATATTACTCCTTCTTTAGAAAACCACTTGATCTCCATTGATTCATCACTTTTTACAACACCACGCATCAGCTCAAGGCCGGCACTTGGAGATATAGGTTCCCTCACCATATACTGCAGGTCACGGGATAAAATGGGCATCGTAAATCCTCCAGCTGAAAGCATTGCCGCAGTTGATCCAGCAGCGGTTGATACTCTGAAACCACTCGATCTAGTGCTAACTAGTGGGGAGCATTTTCCCTCTTCTTTCCAGATTCTGCAAGGGAGAAGAACATTTACTGATTAGGGAAAAAAAGACTTAACTTTGGAAAATCCCAACTCTATTCAAAGATTCGACTCTTCTGGAGTAAATTTGGCCTCAGAACCCCATTTAACACACAGATGCAGTTCCGTGTACTTATTGGCCATAGAAAAACACATTATCAAAAGGTGGACAAGGTAAAATGGTGGAAACTAAATACACCGGGTCGAACAACCTATGAAATCAAAATTAGAAGCTTTTGTTGCCATAAAAGAGATACTAAATTCATTTTTACAGTCTCGACATTCTTCTGAACATAGCCCTCTACCTGAATGAAAATCTTGAGACTGTTGCAGGACAGGGATGTGCAATCAAAACGTCATTGAGGGCGTGCGTGGAAAGCTGTTCAGAATTGACACGTATTGACATCCTTGAAACTTCAGAAGGCGTTGGATGATTCTCGAGGATGTCATCCAGTAGCTGCAACATTAACATTCTTGAGTTCAGCCAACAATTTCTTAGAATGTAGAATAAGCAATTAATGCATGTTACTTTCAGAAATGCATATCCATCTGCACAGTTGAATAAACACTCTGCAATGGAGGCAAAGGATGCAGGGACTTTTTTTTTTTGCATAATAGTGTTCTTGTCCTGCTCCGTATCCAACATTCTAAGCTTATGCAATGATCTGAACTCTTTAGGATTAAATACAGGCAGCAGATATCAATAGCCACTCTCAAAGAATGGAAATCTATACTTTGCAGGCATGCAAACCAGATGGAGAGATTCGTGCAACACGTACATATTCGCATCACCATAGTATACGAAGGAGCAATGTGCCGACCCGAAAAGCTACCTTTTTTTCTGTTTCTTAGTTAGCTATCTCTACTGGAATTATGAGTTTTACATAGCAAATAGAGGTGGGTCAGAATACTCATAGATAATCTCACATTTTCAAAGTTTTCCACTGTTGCGGCACAGAGATATCCAGTGCTCCTACTAGCATCAAAATCTTCACTGAACTCTACCACCTGAAGCAATAAGGACAGTGAGCTTCAGTTTGCTGAAAACAATTCATTTAATCAAAATAGACCAGCTAAGGTTTGCAGACTGAAAAGACTTGTTAGCATCTTTAAGCTCAACGAGTGGTATGAGCTAACCTCTTCAGCTTTGGTGGGGTCAGAATTTACCCCAAGAACTGGAATTTTATCATCAATAAAATGGCTTGCCTGCAGTAAAGTGCCATCACCTCCTACAGTAACAACAAGATCCACGTCCCGAATTGGCTCAGAGAGATGAGTCCTGCAAACCGTTTCACAATCCACAAACTTTTTCCTCAATATATTTTGGCAGAAATTTATAGCATTATGATGCACTCTTCTTCTGTCATCAAGATAACTCACAACCTGTATCACATCCAAACACAGAAAGTTGGGACTCAATAAAGACCTTGATCATCCAAAATGTGTAAGCTATAATGATTAATAAACCTGTTCAACAATGTTTATAAAGCCATTGACTTTGACATAAAATCAAACACTTAATATACATAAAAACCCATGCAATATACGCAATTACGCAGTAAACCAAATGATCAAAACAATGTAGACATTCTTCAATCTCGTTCTTTTAATCTAAAGGGTGTCGTACTTTGGGATTGGTGAAGCGAGAGATGCCGTTTGATTGGTAAGAAGGGTACACATCCAACGGCTTCAATAACAACAACAGCCGCCTCCTCGCCATTTTTTCTACGGCTAAAGGTGGAATTCGCAGAAATGCTGTTTGAGTATTTGATGTTTTTCACGTTTCCGAATCTTGTTGTTTATGTTGAGGTGTTCCCGAATCAGTCAATGTGACGTTCACTGAGAAATTTTGATAATGTTTGACTATGGGATTTGGCGTTTGACAATGAACCCACTATTCTTCTTAGGTGAGTATAAAATTGAATTATAAAGATAAAAGTACCAAATTACACTCTCTTTGATTATTTTCTTAGTGTGTTTTTAGATATTTTTTGTATTGAAAATGTAAAAAAAAATATAAAAAAATATACTAGAACAGAATAGTTATTAATATATTAATTTAAAAAAACCATAAAAGAATGAAACAAACAAAGCGATAATAAACATTCCCCCCCATCCAGGAAAATAATTTTTCAAACTTTTAGCTAATGTAAAGTAGAATATTTTTTTGTATTAAATTAATGAAAATAAACCTTACCGTGCTATTTAATCTTACATTTTTAGTTATTTTATCATCTTTCTCTTTTATAAGAAAATTGAATTTGTAAAAAAAATATGGTTTTTTCTTTCTCAAAATGATTGTTTATTTTTAATTTAAGTGTATTTCAAATAAAATTTAAACTGAGTAGATTTTTTGGATAGAGGGAGTATCAACTATTCAAACAAATGATCAGAGGTGTTGGAATTTGTAAGTTGGAATCTCTATATATATTAAAGGAGAGTTTTCAATTGGTTACATGACGCAAAATTAGATAGACTAATCCACATGGTAAAAACTTAAATAGCTAAATCCACATATCGCAACTACATCGCTCCATCATTTAACAGTAATTTTTTATTTGTAAATATGTGAAATCTATAAATAATTACCTTTATTTAATTTATTTTTGCCATAAACTGCGCAAATAATTACCATTGTATTATATGAGCTTTTATCTAAAATAATCTTCTGCCAAAATATTGGCCTAATAAATAACATAAATTTGAATCATAATTTGAGCTTTCATAAATTTGAATCATAAATATCGGCCTAACATAAATTGTTTCACAATTTTTCCTTGCTCCCTCTTCCACCATTGTCGTTTCCCCAATCCTCCATAGCCAACCAAGTTCATCATCAACATGGCCATTCTCTTCCTTAATTAGTATCTCTTTCAAATCAAAAAATCAAAATTTCCTCCCCCGTTTAAAATAGAGAAAAATTTTTATCCCACTTCATCACAGTATATTATCAACATATAGATTTCATCTTTCAAGCTTTCATCAAAAAAAAAAAAAAATTCCAGGGGAAAAACAAATTTCAATACGTAATTCAAATCAGGAAGGAGATCAAATACTAACATCCCCCAATAATTAAAGGAAGAAGAAGAAGAAGAAAAAACTGCTGATAATCTCCCAAAATTATTAGCATGGACATTTCTTCCATTTAAATGAATATCTTTAAGTAATCTATCGCTCAATTGATAAAACCATAGAAAGTGTAAATTAATTACGACTTAGGAGACCTGCGAAGAAAAATGTATTGATAGTTATTTATTTAGTCTTTTTGGTTGTTAGTTTTATGTGCTAGATTTATTTATTTCGCCATAGTTAGTAAGAATTAAATCATGCAAAGAATACAATTTGAGATTAAGTTATTTAAGAGAATAATTTTTTATACGAAGTTACTTTTAAAAAAAAAAAACTTGAGGTAATTTTCAGTCTTTTTCTTTATCTAAAGTATTATACTAAGAGAGAAACCAGAAAAAGAAAATCAAACCTCTCCTCCCGTTGACACGTAGGACAATATCCTATGTGTCAGTTTCCAATTGGTTGCAACAAAAAATATTTCCAACAATTATACCAATAGTCCTCTAAATTTTAAGTGATTCATTTGTTATCATATTGAAATTAAGACAATCATATCAGTCATTAATTAACAAACCCACAAAATCAGCAAAAATCATAAACATCAAAAACTTTATATTTCGTGATGATGAGATGAAAAAAAAAAACAGAAAATCTTTTAAAAAATCCTCCATTAAATGTTACCCAAAAAAGGTAAATATTTATTTTATTCATTAAGTAATCTGATATGATTTGAAAATATGATTCGGTTGGCAAGAATGAATCTAATCACATACAAAAACAAACATTAAACAATATTAATTATATTTTGAAATTCAAATATAATTAATGTCAGAATCATCAGTATATATTTTAGCCTTTCATTAATTTTAAAATTCAAAAAATCAGCCTCAACCATAATTTATGACTAATTACAATAATTACAGAGTTATATATATGTTGCTTGAAAAACCATATACGGCATACACTCTAAAATTATTTCAAAATTTAAAAAATTCGTAACAAACATAAATTATCAATAATTTATTTTGGACGAGAGGTTGAGCATTATATGCCTATAAATATTGGGACATATTTTCTAGCAGAACCTCACACTTTCTTGCGTGTTTCAGTAGTTTTTGTTTCATTTTCTTCCCTCTAATCATATGACCTAATTAAATATGATTGAAACTGATTGTCTTTGGTTGTGTTCTTTTTACAGGTACAAGACGTAGAAGAATTTCAACAAATTTAAGATTGACTTCCAGCGACCAAGAGCATCGATCGACAGAAGGCAAATTACAGCAGAGGCACGGACCAATATTTTTATTTTTATTTTTATTAAAATATGATTTTTGCGTTATGTGTAGATGAAAGATGAACATTGCGGACTTTGTTGTGCACAGTGCACATGTGTTAACTTAAAGCATAAAGGTTCACTCTCTTAATGTTTTTACTTAATCTGTTTCAATTTTCTTGTGTTGAATTTCTTTTATTAATTTTTGTTAAAGGTGAATGTGGTGTGTTATATATGTGCGGTGCAATTTCCATTTTCTCGATATAATTCTAAAGAAAAATTATACTTTTTATCTCTTTATTAACTATTTGAGAATCCAATATTTGAGTATTTCCAACCATTCAATCAAATTAATAAATAATATTTTATTTTAAATTAATTATTCTTTAAAGTTACTGGTTTACATGATTTTGAGCATAAATTTGACTACTTTCAAGCTGTTACACTATGATAATTATTCTTTTAATTAATTTTTTTCTTTTGTTGTATAATACATCGGAAAATGAAATCATGTATTACGAGGCTTACTTTATTTTTGTTTTCCAGGAGTGAATATATATAAATATATATGTTACTTTTTCATGTATTACATTTTTCTTTATTAAATCTTAATAATTAATATTTCATAAGATTTATACACACATTATACATATTTTTATATTTTCTTAAAAAAAGTATAAAAAAATTGTAGCATATCCCGCATATCGTGCGGGTTTAACATCTAGTATCTGGCTATTGTGATTGTCACCATAATGATGATAGGCTGCTAATTATTAATAAATTTAATTCTATTTGCGTTGTGTAGGAGATAAATATTAAATTTAAATATAACTAAATATCAGTATTAAATAAGATAATTTTTCAGAAAGAAGATTATAAGAAATAGTTTTAAAATTAAGTTATCCCTTTACCATTAATACGTCCAGATAAAAAGAAGAAGAAGAAGAAGAAATAATAAGATGCATATTTTTGGTTTGCCAAGAGTCAAAGTTGCTTCATCGTATTTAAGAGAATTAATACTCCATATCAGTGCTAAATAGTTTTTTTTTTTCTGCCTTTTTCTTTGCATATACATTTTAGAATTTAAGTGTGGCATGCAATTTTCACCAATGAATCTTTTAATTCTACTAAAGATTAGAAATTTGTAACAAAATATTGAAAATTAATTAGGTGATTCATAATATTTTTTTCATACGATATAATGGTAGAAAAAAGTTAATATTATGATGATAAAACAAAAGTAGAGATCAATAGGGAGAAAGGTTTCCAAAATTATATATATAACAAGAATAGAGATTTTTGTCAGAGATAAAGAGTAGAAGAAAAATATATTGAGATATTGAAAATAATTAGATTGAGGAAAGAATTAGGTCGCGAATAAGAAACTATGAAAAATTTGAGATAATACTTAAAAATGAAATAATTATTACGATTTTTTTTTTTAAGAAATGAACTTTTAAAGAGGTCATCAAATGTTTTTAAAATATATCAAAATATTTAACATATAGCCATAATCAACAAAATAAAAAAGATAGACAATAAGTTACATTGAATGATTTCAAATATTAAAAATAATTCTACATGTAATTAAATAACGAAACACATAGACAATAAAAATTACACAGTAGAAATTTATATAATAAATATTATTTTTTAAATATATCACTCTATCGCAAATGTCATATAACCGTTAAGTCATTAGTCGTATATATATCTTGAACAACTCGCAGAACGTTCGGGATAAACATTAGTTAGATGTAATGAAAATTAGAAGAACAAAATTACAACATGGCCAAAGGTAGAAAGAATGGGGAAATCATAATGCAACTTTTTTTTAACCGGAAAAACAAAATAAAACTAATAGTAAAAGAAAATTACTGTATAATGCCACCAGACCGGATCCGGTTCCTCTCTTACAAGCTTTACCCGTATGCCAATGTAGAAAACAATAGGCGACCTAACCTAACCCACCTATATCCGTTAACCCAACCGGACCTAGTAGATCCACGGTCCGCAGCCAGCATTCATCAGTCCATGCGATCCTCACCGTCGATCTCTAAAGTAAAACCCAGCAAATTTTCCCCAAATCCTATCTTCCTTCGGATCCTCTTATTATCCATTTCGCTCCCCCAAACCCTAGTCCTCCTGGCTTCGGAATTCGGATCCTCTCATCGGATCCATCCCTGCTAATCTTTTTCCGATTTCAAGCACCACCGCCACCACGCATCCAGATTCTGGTATATCCATGTAAGATCCAACCCGAGTCAGGCCTTTCTTTCTGTTGAAGTGTAGCTCAGTTTTTTTTTTTTTTTTTTAATTTTTAAAGTTTAGTTTGAATTCCATTTTTTTTTCTGTTAAATTAGTACAATTAACATTTGACGTATTCTCTTAGCTATAAAAAGGATGACTGGAAAACACTTGTTTTAGCTTACTTGTATAGAAAGAATTTCAGTTTTAGATTTTCATTGTTCGTCGCAGAGCCAGCAAATCAATATTGGGGGTGCGAAATTTAGACAAAATTACTAATGACATTTGCGAATCAACGTAGGGGATGCGAAAAATGATTCTATACATAATTTCTATTGAAAATTTTGGATATTCCTACTAATTACAAAAAATTGAGCAGGCGCGCCCCTCCGTCCCCTCCTAGCTCCGCCTTCTGGGTTTAGCTTAGTTTCTGGTTTACTTTCAGGGATGAAATCATAGCTCTGTTAGTCTTAAGCTGTGCAGAAATTAGTTAGTTTTGTGTGCCTTTTTTGTAATCTGTGATCAGAGTGAATAAGAAGTCATTTGGGTTTAGGAATGCATTTGTGAAATTAATTTTTGTAGTGATTGTTGCTTTATTTTTTGAATGTGGTGAAAATGCAGATATAGCCCTGTTTGTTCATTGCTATGGAAATGCAAGTTGAGGGCACTGCTAAGAAATCCAAGAGGTTGACTTCCGTGGTCTGGAACCATTTCGAAAGAGTTAGAAAAGGCGAGACGTGCTTTGCTGTTTGCGTACATTGTAAGAAGAAGCTTAGTGGATCAAGTAATAGCGGAACCACTCATCTCAGGAATCATTTGTTGAGGTGTCTTAAAAGGTCCAACTATGATGTTTCTTCGATTTTATCTGCTAAGAGGAAGAGAAAAGACAATACTGTAAGCCTTGCGAGTCTCACTTATGATGAAGTGGCGAGAAAGGATGAGGTGATGGCTCCCATCACTTATCGAATTGATCAGGAGCCTATTAAGGAGGATACTTCTCAATCCATCACCCTTGGAAGTGTTAAATTTGATCAAGAACGTAGTAGGCTGGATCTGGCCCGGATGATTATGTTGCATGGTTACCCGCTTGCTATGGTCGATCATGCCGGATTCAAAAGATTCGCAAAGAATTTGCAGCCACTCTTTGAGTTTTCTAGTAATGATGATACTGAACTTGATTGCATGTCAATTTTTGGGAAGGAGAAGCAGAAGATGTTTGAATTGCTACATAAACTGCATTGCAGGGTCAATGTTGCTGTTGATATGTGGGTCTCGTCAGAGAATGAGAGGTATATGAGTCTGACAGCTTACTTTGTTGATGAAGACTGGAAGCTACAGCAAAAGATGCTCAACTTCATTACGCTTGATCCTACTCAGACGGATGACATCCTTTCTGAAGTTGTAATAAAGTGTTTGACGGATTGGTCAATTGACCGCAAAATATTCTCCATGACATTTGATGACTGTTCCTTGTACGAGGACATGGTCCTTAAAATTAAGGAGTGGTTATCACAAAATAAACCTCTTCTGAGAAATGGCGAATTGTTTGACATACGCTGTGCATCGCAGGTCCTAAAATCTATTGTGCAGGATGCCATGGAAGCAGTTCGGGACGTGACAGATAGAATCAGAGAAAGCATAAGGCATGTTAGGAGTTCTCAGGCGACACTAAGTAAATTTAACGGGTTAGCTCAGGAACTTGGAATCAATAGTCAGAGGCTTCTAGTTGTTGATTGCGAATCGCAATGGAATTCAACGTGCTTGATGTTAGAAGCAGCAGTGGATTATAGGAATGCCTTTTCTCTCCTACAGGAGAATGATCCATCCTACACTGTGGTTATAACTGACTCTGAATGGGAATGGGCAAATGCTGTTTCTAGTTACATGAAACTTGTGAGTGAGATCATCAATGTTTTCGTAGCTACCAAAAACCCAACAGCTAATATTTATTTCCCAGAGCTGTGTGATGTCCACATCCAATTATTTGAATGGAGCAAGAGTCCTGATGAATTTCTAAGTTCTATTGCCATGAAGATGAAAACCAAGTTTGACAAATTTTGGAAGAAGTGCAGTTTGGCTATGGCAATAGCTGCTGTTTTAGATCCCAGATATAAGATGCGGTTAGTTGAATACTATTATCCTCAGATATATGGTACCGATGCTATGCTGTATATCAAGGAGGTATCTGATGGTATTAGAGGCCTTTTTAATGAGTATTCGGTGGGGTCATCGTCTCTAGATCAGGAGTCATCCGCAGCTAATGGAAGCTTGTCGAATGCTAGGAATGGCACCCGGGACAGACTCAGAGGATTTGATAAATTTCTTCATGAAACTTCAACTAGTCAGAGCATGAATTCTGACCTCGACAAATATTTAGATGAACCAGTCTTTCCTCGTAATAACGACTTCAATATATTAGATTGGTGGAAGGTGCAGACACCAAGGTACCCAATCCTGTCCATGATGGCTCGTGATGTACTGGGGATTCCTGTTGCAACACTTGATGAAGACCTGGTGTTCAGCAACAGAGGTAGAGTTCTTGACCGTCACCGGAGTTCGCTCAATCCTGACACCCGAGAAGCTTTAATTTGTGGACAAGACTGGCTGCGTGTGGAATCAGAAGGTATGTGGATATTGTGATAATCCCCAAATTTTCTTAGCACCTTTTTCTTCTGATAAATACATCGTTGTTGATCAATTTTTACCTTGTTGCAGAGAACCATGCTCTATCACTTTACATCGACGCAAAGTAACCTTTTCAAACGGGTATGACACCATATCCTCCTTCTTAACTTTCTTGAAACATGTTATGAAAATGAAAACGAAGCATTATTGCCAATTCTTACTTAAATTCTTGATCCTTTGTGCAAGGTTAGGGTGGCAATATCTCGTAGTTATTCATGCTTAGGCTGGACTAGAGTTCGTGAAATGATGATGACCCTTTGATTTTGGAGGAGAGACTTGAGCTTCCCTTGATGAATAATGCTTTGATGAAAGAATTCATAAAATATTTATGTAGATCAAGCCCTGATGTCCTATTCTCCTATTTGAATTAAGTATAGTGGTAGGTAGTTTTATGTTTTATGTTGTGGATCAAACCTTGATGCCCTACTAGCAAGCACCAACTTGTGGAATGAAATAGACAGTATTTAGATGTATTCCTTCTCTCTTAATTTGGGCTTTTCATGGTTACTCTGAGAACTATGGGTCTCGAACCCAAAGCTGTATGATAGTATTTGATATGTCTATCTCTGAGATTGAGAGCTCAAATCTGATGAGTTTTAGAAGTGTACTAGGGATATGGAAAAGGGTCTATGCTCAAGCATAAGTAGTGAAGTTTGAACTCTCCTGATCACTAGGATAGTTGTATACCACTTGATTGCCATACTCCTCTCTAATAATGGCAATACTTTCTTTCGTTGTCGCAGATACGAGGGAAAGAAAGTACTTAGAGTATAATGTACGGTGAAAATATCGTATAAATGTGTGATTATTCTGGTGTCAGAAGGAGACAAAGAGGATACAAAAGCTAGTGTCCCTATTCTCTTCCTCCATTGTTAAAAGAGGAAGCAGAATTTTCTTTTTTCATCCTGTACAAAATTTGAGAGATTTTGGGAATCTAGGACTCATGATATTGTCTCGTAATAGCTCTAGATTTTGAGTCATACATTTTTCTTCCATTCACTTGAAAATGGAATCAAATGCCACCAGCACCCCCATCCCCCACACACACACACACACACACACATTTCAGTCACACATTCTTTCGACCAAAGTGCTTGTTCTAAAGGCAGCCACATGGTCCTCTCAATTTTACACTTACCACCATGCAAATTGATATATTCATCTTTTTTTTGGGGGGTTTGATTCGCTCTATTTTCACTTTCCCAGCCACTGTCCTATGTTTCATTTTTAATGCTTTTTTTTTTTTGGAGACTTTAACACCTTTTCTCTTCTTTTTTTTTTTTGCTTTTTAATTTGATTTTTATCCACTTATTTACTTAGCATATCTTTTATTTAGAGTTATAAATTTGAGATGTAGTTAAAATAGAATGAGGACAAAGGTGAGCTCATTTGGAGATTGTCATTAGTGGATTTAGTCCCACTCCCTCGCTCTCGTTATTGAGTGAGAAGGCATGCAAACTTCTATTGGAAAATTAAAAAAAAAAAATTACAACAAACACACCAAAAAAAAAAAAAAGAAGAAGAAGAAGAAAAAAGAGGTCAATCATCCCTGATGCTATTTTCCTCTTTAGGAATAATGGACAATGTTTGTGCATGCACTGTGTGGTAATATTTCCTTTTACAATAGCCGGAGATGTTAAAGTTATTAGGTTTTGTTTCTTTCGTCTTTCATAGACTTCTTCTCAAATCTCTAATGCAATTTTTTATTCCATCATCTGTCCTAAAAAAAACAAAAAGTTCACATTGAACTTGTTCTACAAAAAGTCTACATTGAACATAATGTGGAGTATTTTTTTGAAAAAAAAAATTAAATAACATAAAAATACACACTGAAAAAACATTTCATATGAAACTGTAATTTAAGTGGCAAAACTAATACTCCCTCCATTTCAAAATAAATATCGTTTTAGTAAAATGGAGAAATTCTAAAATAAGTATTGTTTTCGGATTCCAATGCATTTTTTGTCAAAAATTTCCAAACATATCCTCAAACAAAATAATATTATGGGCGATTATTATTTTAATGGAGTAGGTTGAGGATATTCTAATAATTTAAGTACCTTATTTAAGTGTTTTTTAAACTGTGTGCAAACTTCAGAATGACACTTATTTTAGAATAAAAAGAATACTATTTTTTCAAGGCCAACACTTTTCCACATTTATGCATGGTCAAATGCCACTTTTCCAAACGAAGAAGAAAACCAATGGCATTGGACGTGTTTTATGATATTCTCAAAACAAAAAGGTAAAATTAAATATAGGTAGCCAACACAATAATCTTTTAGGCCGGCAAATAACAAGACAATTGTGGAACCAAATTGTCGAGAGAAGAAATTATAAAGATTTAATTGTTTGCTAATATAATCATTAAATTTCCCCCCAACAAAAAAAGTTAAATCGTTGTGTCAATTTCATGGGGTCTTACTATATCTATAAAAGCGACACTTGCCTTCCTCTTTTTTCCCTATTAGTACTTTATTTTTATTTTTGGCTTAAATTTTCTGTTGCTTTGCCTAAATATATAGGATTCGAGATAAAAAGGTAGCTGATGCACTGTTATGAATGGGAAAAGAAATTGGAAAATAAAAATGAAGAAACTTCTGGTACGCTAACTTTCATGCAACTATATGGAATGGATGAAGTATTCCGACAACTTTTACATTTCACATCAAATATTAATTGGTCTCATAGAGTAGAGACATTATCTTATTATAAATTATGGATATTCACTTTTCTGCATCCCTCCAAATTTTACATCTAACTTTCTGTCTTCTTGCCTTTAATTTTCTTTTTTTTTTTTCTTTTCTCCAGATACAAATGTATTAATTCATTCGATTTCGAAAATATTGTTCTGGTTGGAATTTTATTTCTAATACATATTATATTCAAGATGAAAATTTAAATTGGATAATTATTTTAATATTAAAAATACTAGAAATTAAATCTTAAATGTCCGAAGTGAATTTTTTGTGTGCGGGGAAGCATAATTCACATAAAATAGGAACATATTGTATTTTTTTTCTTCTGGAAACTGGGTATGTTTGTATTTTTTTTTATTGTGTGCTTTTAGGTGTTTTTTCTATTGTGAATGTAAAAAGCTGTATTGAAAATATAAAAACTTATGTTAGAATGAGACAATTATTATTATATAATTTTGAAAAAACCTAGTGAAAAATGTAAAATTCACATTTCACAAAAATTTAACGATAAAAATTCGTTAAATTGTTTTAATTTCACAAAAAATTGTTACTCCCTCCGTCCCATAATTATTGTCCACTTTGCTCAAAAAATTTTGTCTCAAAATTATTGTCCAATTTGACTTTTTATGGATCAAGTTACACATTTGTCCTTAGTAAAAAACATTATCCATAAAATGTTAGTGGTTAAACAATTAATTATGTAGGGGTATATCCGGTTGTTTAAGGTAAAATATAGTTAAATTTGACCAAAAATAAAATCTTTCATTTTAGTAAAACTGGACAACAATTATGGGACGGAGGGAGTATTTTCTAAGAGATACAATGAGGGTAATAATTTATTACGAATAAACAGATCATTCAGTAACGAAACTATTTGATAGGCAATGAACTTAATTGTTGGCTTCTATTCTCGAAATCTTTAGGAGCTTCAGTTCCGACTTTGGCCCTAAATTGAAATCGGAATGGGGATCAAAAATTGTGATCACAAGTTAGTAAGGACAAAAGCGAAAGGACAATACTTTTTGTAAAAGGAGGATGCACATTCGACTTTTCTTATTATTAAAATTGCATGATGCAACAATTCAGGAAAAGAAATTAAAGTGAAGAGTAAAACAAAGGGAAAATTAAAAGGATAAATGCAGTGATGAAAATGGGTTATCTTCTTTTTTTTTTCCATTTTTTTTCGAATAACAAATTGGTTATCGAAAAAAAAAAAAAAGAAAGAAGAAAAGTGATGCAAATTGGGTCTATTGAGGATCCTGCGAATCCTGATAGAGTGTGGGGTTTTTTGTTTTTTTTTTTGTGGTCACGTGACCCCCAAAAATAATATACCCTCAAGACATAGTATAATATAATGGTATCATTGTATAAGCATATGCATGTAGTCATATTGTGTTGTGTTCCCATCCAGATTCTTCTTTGCCAAAATTATGGAGTGTATTTTTCTGAAAAACCAAAAAAAAAAAACAAGAGAAGAGTGATGGTCCACTATGAAAGGGAGATCCTATGGGGCAGAGAATAAAATCCCTCTTTTTTTTTCTGTACGGAAATAATAATATATATTGTTGACTTCTACAGAAATTTACATCAAATCAGATATATTGTATACAGAAGGTACTTCAAGCAGCTGGCTCAAGAGCTCTAATCTGTATTTGGGATTTTTTTTTTTTTTTAATATTTTGGAGGAAAAGAGGGCAATGTTCTTTTCCTTAGGGATTCCGAAAGGCAGAAATGAAACATGATATATTTTTCGTTTATTTTTGGCCATCTTATAACAGCTATACATATTCACCTTGTTTATTCTGTTCTACAGATTCCGAAATTATTCAAATTAAGACATGAGAATGGGACGTTTGGCATCTTCATGTACCTTCTGATCGGAAATGCATTTTTTCCGACTATCTTCCGTGAGTAACATAATCAGAAATCTTCTTCACGGTTTCAACCTAATCGGCCATATTATTCGTGACTGCGTGGAGCTTAACTACAACCATTATAAATACATATTCCAAATCGGTAGATGTATATTTGAAAGGCCCTGCGGTCATAAAGCGGGAATATTCACCCTTCTTTTAAAACGTTATACTTGTAAGTCTTTAGTTTTAAGAGATAAGAATTAATTTCATTCATGCATGCAATAACCTCTTCTTTTTCGTTACAGTAAAATTTCTCTCTTTTGTTCATGTTTTAATCTTTATATTTTTTATAAAATAAATTTGAAGGGAGAAAAACGCTGGCTTTCATTCGATTAATTATTTATGATAGGACAACGTTAATTAAATAGTGAATCACATTGGAATGATAGATTAGTGACAAATGAATTTATTCGAGTGGAGAGAAAGTGATTTATAAAAATTAATATTCCAAAAAATTATATGATAACATGGTTAAAAAAAAAAAACCCCATGGTTGTAGAGTGAACGAGTGATTGCAGGTTATTATCTTTTTTTTTTTTTTTTCTGGTTTGAAGAAGGATATTGCTTCTTGTCTCCTTTTAATTTGACCGTCAATTAAAAGTCGTATTTAGTGATACATTGTGATATAAGTATATACAGTAGTTATTAATATTCCCTCCCAACCAATATAGTTACGAAAAACTGATAGCACAATCAATAATTTATGTCTCATGATCATATATTGTTGGTATTCTCTTTTTTCCTTCTCAAAAATTGGAGATCTTGTCAGTGATTTAGGCTCTTATACATGATTAAATCTCTCTAGTTCATCATACGTCCTCTACCTATTATAACTGTCTTATTGCCCTCTTGATTCTATGCTACCGATAATTAGTCTTATTAATCTTATTTTTTGATCGTGACAAGTTCTCCAATGAAGTATAACTAAGATATTAAAAGAGGTTCAAAATTCACTCTTTTTTTTAAAAAAAATAATAATGTGTGCACTATATATCGCTTGAAGAGCAAATAAAAGGAGGACAACATCACTAAACTTTTGGGCATCTTTTTCTCCGTCGAACAAATTAAAAGAAGCAAAGAAAGCAATATAATAAAGTTGGAGGCTGCGGCTTGATGCAATACCTAGGTCAGAACTCAGAATCAGGAACCAAAATAGGCCTGCGACCTTTTAGATTAGTGGCAATAATCATAAAATATTGTGGCTTCATTATAATATATACAGTAGTATACTATAAGAAATGACATAAAAAAAATAGCATATTCCTGGCATCCAGAGTCCTCTCTCCAATTATATTTATAGATGAATTTCTTTTTAAAACATTACAAATTTCCTAGCTTAACGTACAAGTAAGATATATAAAAGCTTTTTCCACAAACTAATTACTCGACTCACCCACTCAGAATAAAGATATACTGTACTCCTTTTCTGAAATCATCTTACTATATTTCTTAACCTGAGTTTTTAGACTACTCCTTCGTCTAACAAGAAATCCTGTTCATGTTGATTAAAATAGTACTCGATTAATATCTTTTAAAACAGAAAAAATATTATTTTATGAGAAGAGAAAAAGGGAAAAAAAAAGTTGTAGCTGAATAATGTAGAGTTACATTACTATCTTTCAACTCTCAAAATTAAAAATAGCACTAAAGACATGAGACCTAGTAATTGTTCAGAAAGAAAACATGTGATCTCTCTATCCCGAAATGTGTTCAATTTTAGATTTTTATTTTTAATACAAATAGGAGTAAAAGTAAAAATCCAAACAAAACAGTCATTATAAATGAGACGAAGTATCTATTAACTCAAAATTAATAATACTTTCAGTAATTTTACGACAAAATATTTTTCTTGCAAAAAGATTATTATAATTGTAGTGACGCCCTCCCTCCTAAACCGATGATCTTGTTTCTTAAAATTATGATTTCGGGACAACCATTTTGTTAATAATAATAATTTAACTTGAGGACGGGGGGAATCAGGTGAATAACTGAATGAACAAAAAGTAGTAGTACTAAATACTTAGTATATATTAAAAATTAAATTAAATAAGAAGCTGGATGTGCGTGCGTGCGCTGAAATATTTTTGGGTGCGGGCTCAGAGCAAAATACACAAACATATAAAGCGCCTTTGTTTTCTTTCTTTTGCTCTTTTATACTACAAATCTGACTTCTCCATAACTCATCCTCTCCTTTTCTCCTCATCACTTTTCAATTCCCCATTAATTTTCTCTTTCAGAATCTTTCCTTCACAGCTTTTATATATATCTCTTTCCAACTCCACTCTTTCTCGTCTCTTGCTGATAACAGAGAAGCAGCAACCGCTTCGGAGCGGCGTTCCAATTTTCTGCATTTCGCAATCCTCCGCCGACTTCCCCGCCGATCGCAGTTCCAGGTCGGCGTACTTCCTCCTCTCTCTCTCTCTCTCTTTTTCTTTCTTTTCGGTTTTACGCATTTTCCGAGTTCGGGAATTCGAAATCGAGTGAATGAATTCCTTTCGATTTTTAGCTGTGATCAATTCGTGGTGTGGATTATGTTTTTTCTTTTTTTCTTCGATTGATTAATGAGTGGAAGAAACTGAGTCTGCATGTTCTACGCCGGTTGGATAATCGGGGAAACAGTACGATTCAGTTTGGTGATTTTTGTTTGATTTTATTTGTGATTTCACGCAACTCCTGAGTAGATGAAGGAATGATGCACAAAGTTTGTGCGTTCTCTGAGTAATACTACTACTTGAAAGTTCAAACTATTAATTACTCTCTCTCTCTCACACAGTCACACAGTCACACACTGCACATAACGGAAATGCGCAGTTTACAAACGCATTTTGGTTTTTGGTTGGGTGCTGGTAACGGACGTCTGGTTTTTGGCCTAACGCTATAGTAAAATGTGTCGACCATTGTTTGGGGGGGGAGACATGCTTTGCTTTGGAAAATCAAGTACAGCTGGTGCTGTTTGAATGCTTCTTTTTTTTCTCCTTTTCCTTAATTACCTGGTGATACTGATATGTGTGATGTAGTATATGTAAAAATGTTTCAGTTCATTTTTCAATTTTTACACTCACTAATTGTTTTGCATTTAATTAAGCGTCCTGCTTTTTCATCACTAAATAAATCTTAAACAGTTATTCTCTTCCAATTAAAGGAGTACTATAACCAAAAGTAACCGATGAAAAGATCAGCGCTAGGGGGAAATAATTTTTTAAAAAAATAAAGAAAATAAATACTACGAAAAAAAAAGAAAAAAAGTGTTGGAATCCACCTGTGTAGTCTAGTAAGTACGTACTCACATGGATGCCATGAGCTATTTGGCCATTTTATGGACCTGCTGCTTTTTCATTTTTCTACTCTAAATCTCTCTTTTTCACGTTTCATTTTGATCATCTGGTTCCTTGTTGATTTTATTATTATTATTATTATTAACTCCTGTCCCAAAAAAATAGTCCACATTAAGTTTTCAAATTTACACTAATTATTTTTGTGGTACGAAGGAAGTATTATTTTTCTTTAATATATTTTTGGATTTTGGGGTCAAAATCATTAGAAGGAATAATTACGACGTCTTTCAGTCCATTAACTGTATCGTGTTGGAAATCCATTAACTCTTGCTTGAATTTTTTGGCAGAAGGATTATTTCCCCACGTGTTATTTTCAACAACTTTTTTTTATTATTTTTTTCTCTTATTGGTTTTGTATGGTTTACAAAAATCTGATTTTTTGTGTATGAACTTAGTTAAATAAATTGTTGATTACAATTTAAACATATCAAATTATGAGTAGTGTCACATCAAAAGAAATTGGGGAAATTTCTTCTAATTTTCTTTTTTGTTTCTTCACGGAATAGTTTTTTTTTTTTTAAAAAAAAAAATATTATTCAGCATTGGGCATTTTGAAATTAAACTTACCAAAAATGCCTCTTTTTCGTTATTCATAATTATCGATGAAGGCAAGCTACTGGAAGTCTGAAAGCCCCCACTGGTGCAGTTTCGCATTAATTATTTCGGATGGTTTCAATTTTCGCATGCCGAAAAATTCTTATAGTACTACTACTATTAACTTCCCAAAGAATAAGAAAGATGACGGAATCAGAATTCAGTACAAACGGGTGGATGGTAGTAGCTGGCCTGGCTCGCGCAAGGCCTCTGCGTGTGTGACTGTGTGTGCGCGTTGCTGCTTCTCTCCAACCAAAAGGACTGGAAACGACATTTACCGAAACTTTTGAGCTGCTCTCTTTTTGGGTGTTGTATAATTTTTTGGTGCCATCTGCATGGCTGGATGACTCTATATGGACCTTGTAAATCTTACACGAGGATTCTCTCTTTTTCTCTCTCCTTGATATTTCTTTGCCACCCGGAAGAATCTTTTCTTCTTCTCACACCTAATTTCATCATCACCGCACTGTTCATTTACTTTCTCACCGTTTCTGCTGCTCCTTCACCGTCATCGTAAGTAACTTGGACTGCTTTTTCTTTCTCGGGATTTGCTTCGTTTCGGGTTGGACCCATTTGGGATGCGGTTGTCTGTCCTCCTGTTTTTCTCTGCCTGGAAAATTTCCAAGCTGCATATGGTGTACCCTTCTGTTTCTGTGTTTCTTTGAATGGCAAAGATCGACAAAAAAATTTTCCCCTCGAATACCAATTTTTAACATCTTCGTTGTAATTTTCCAAGTTTTAGTCCGGAAATTTAGTTTAATGATACGGGGGAGTATTTTGTCGGTGTCGGATCATTTGGTGAGGTAAAGGAATTTTTCTGCATGCAATCTGTTTGTTTGTTTGTTTGATTGTCTGAGTTGTTATTCATTTAGCTGATCCGCTGATCTCCCACCTTGATTTCTTGAAAATCTGATACTGTTTCCGATCGAGTGTTTAATTATTATGTCTTTCTCCTTGAGCTTTTGATGTGCATGTAGGAATGTCTATTCTTCTAAAGTGCGTTGTTAGTCGCCTTGTGTCTTTTCTGTAGCTTTTTCCTCTCATTTACGTGAACCTGGTTTGGAAAGACCGTATGAATTGGTGATGCGCGTGGCATATATTGCTCTCAGCCTACTCTGTGGATCCCATCTTCTTTTGCTGTCACCTTCTTAATGCTTGTCGTTTACTTGTATTGTTTACTTTGAATATGGGCTGTCCCTTTATAGTCTCTAACTTAAACGAAAAGGATGGATAATGATTGTACTTTTTATAGCTTTGTGAATTTAATTTATTTTGATTTTAGGCCAGTTAGTTCTATTTACTTGTCCTTAATACCATATTTGCTGGGTGTTTTGGTCTGCTTACGACTAGATTGCATCAATCAATATGCAGGAGTTTTGGTTCCTGGGATACTGGAAGTCTATTAAATTTTGTTGCCTAAGGCCTACTTGTAGACAGTCCTTATGCCTGGAAACAAGTATAACGGTAGTATCACCGTTCCCACATCTCGAATCGAGAGGCTCTTGAGAGAAAGAGAGCTTAGGAAAAGCAGCAGAGCTTCACATTCTAATGAGCCTGTTGAAGGCGGCATTAGAACAGAACTCACTGAGCATGATTTGCGCCTGAGAGACCGGGAGAAGGATGGCTCAGCAGCGCATTCCTTTGTTGAGAAATATTTGGAAGGTGCTTTGGCTGCCCCACCACTTAATGATGGATGGGAAGGGCTTGATGGCAAGCCCGTCAGGCAAAGGCTCTTGGTCGTGGCCAATAGGCTTCCAGTCTCTGCACATAGGTTGAAGGAGGACTCCTGGGCTCTGGAGATAAGTGCTGGTGGTCTTGTGAGTGCTTTACTTGGTAAGAACCAGGAATTCATACTCAGATTTTCTTACTTTTTGATGGTTTGGACCTTTATGTGAGGGTTTCTATATTCTGAATTTGATTGTGTTTTGCTTTGACAGTCATAATTACAATCTGGCTCCTCTTTTTGATTCGCAGGGGTTAAGGAATTCGAAGCAAGATGGATTGGCTGGGCTGGTGTGAATGTACCCGATGAAGCAGGGAAGAAAGCACTTACTAAAGCACTAGCTGAAAAGGTATCACTTTATAGACTTGCGTTTCAAGTAAGGTTTTAGGTCTTGTCAGTCACAAGGTTCCTGTATATCTTAGCATCAGTGTAAATGCAATGCGTTCATAAGGGCATATGTTAATTACGAAATCGTCTCACATTGTTCCTTATGTACTTCAGCGGTGTATTCCGGTCTTCCTTGATGAAGAGATAGTTCATCAATACTACAATGGATATTGCAACAATATTTTGTGGCCGCTATTCCATTACCTTGGACTTCCACAGGAAGATCGTTTGGCAACTACCCGAAGTTTTCAGTCCCAATTTGCTGCGTATAAGAAAGCAAATAAAATGTTTGCGGATGTAGTACACGAGCATTATGAAGAGGGCGATGTTATTTGGTGTCATGACTATCATCTCATGTTCCTTCCTAAATGCCTTAAAGAACAGAACAGGAACATGAAAGTTGGTTGGTTTCTGCACACACCTTTTCCGTCATCTGAAATCCACAGGACTCTGCCATCTCGTTCGGAGCTTCTACGTGCAGTTTTAGACGCTGATTTGGTTGGGTAAGTGTGCGGTCAGTTTCTAACAATGTTTGTTGGGTGCCAGGATGGTTCATGTCCATGAAATAAAGTTTGAAATCATGAGTTTTTAGAATTTATTGTTCTTACTACTCTTCAAATTTTTGTGTTGCACTTTGTTTAGAAGCTCACCAAGAGAGATTTTCATTGCCTCCGGAACTCTGAACTAAAAGTAACCTAATTGCAATTGTGTAGCTTCCATACGTATGACTATGCAAGGCACTTTGTTAGTGCTTGTACGCGTATACTTGGACTGGAAGGTACCCCTGAAGGGGTGGAGGATCAGGGACGGCTGACACGTGTTGCTGCAGTACGATAATTTGCTTTAACTCCTTTCCTTTTCCATTCATTTCATCCTTATCTAAAAAGAGCACGCGCACCGTTGATAATATCTGCATGGTTTGCTTTTACGTCTTTATCTTTGCCTCTCTGACTATGCTTTTTGTCGATTTCAGTTTCCTATTGGGATAGATTCGGAACGATTCATTAGAGCCCTTGAACTTCCTCAAGTGCAGGCTGATATTAAAGGTCTGAAAGAAAGATTCAGTGGGAGAAAGGTACCTATCTCTCTCTCTCTCCCTCTCCCCCTCTGCCAATCTTCCCAAATTTAGTCATTGATATTCTTAACTACATAAATGGTAAAACACTTTTAATTGAGTAAATTTGGTAAGGCACATGTGGGCTTTTATTTTTCCAATATGTTTTTCATTGAATTAGAAATTTCTTGTCTTCAATATTCAGCTTTACACGGATGTTAATTCTTATATTGTACTTCTTCAGTTATTTAGCTGCATATCCATGAAATAGATCTGATGAGTACTTCGTAAATGGTTTTGTTCTTCTTCAAAGCAAATTAATTGGGTGTCCTTTTTGTTTCAAATGTATGTATAAGTGGTATGCGGTCAAGTGTACACTGGTATAAAAATTAATCTTACTGACACTTTAGACTTTTTATTTGAATGGCGTACCCAATTAAAGTCATTTAATGGACATTTACTGATGAATTTGCACAATAAAGACTTTTCTGCTCTGCTAAATTGCTCTATAATGGATATTATCTACCTGTAATTGTTTATTCCTGATTTTTCGTACACAACATCTTGCAGGTTATGTTAGGGGTTGATCGGCTCGATATGATTAAAGGAATTCCTCAAAAGTTGTTAGCATTTGAAAAATTTCTTGAAGAAAATGCACACTGGCATGAGAAAGTGGTTTTGCTACAAATAGCTGTACCAACAAGAACAGATGTGCCTGAATGTATGCTTTTCAAAATGATAAGATATTGAAATATTGGAAATATGCAGTTGTTATTTGGAAGTCCCTCGCTTGTTTGCCTTCACATCCATTGTAATGCTTTATTATTTTAGAGAAGGATAATTTCTGTTTGCGGGTTTTGCAGATCAAAAGCTTACAAGTCAAGTTCATGAGATTGTTGGACGCATCAACGGAAGATTTGGTACTATTTCCGCAGTTCCAATTCATCATCTGGTGAGTCTCTTAAGAGAATCTGACTAGAATCAGATCGAAGTAAGGTCGCAACTTCCTTCATTTCTGCGGAATTTGGATCTCTGTTGAATTGGTTATCTGTCCTTCTGCAGATTATAGTTTTCTTCATTGAAGAACTATTTCATTTATCTATTTAATACTCTTCTCTTGCTGTTTGTATCATTAAATTTAGAATTGTCCGCTAACATTAAGTTTCCTGCAGTTGTCTATTTCTTCAGATATTCATTCTTGATTTTCCAACTTAATATTTCCTCTATAGTATAGCCTTTTTCCAAAAGGACCCAAGTTAGTATAGCCTTGTAGAAGATGATCCAAGTGTTAGCTTCATATTTTTTGTGGCATGAACCAGTTTTTCTTTTAATCTTGTAATTATGTAATGCTATTTACAAAGTACATAGAAGGTATGTGTTTCTTCATGCCAAATATGGTCTCAGACATTCATGTAATGAGCAAGCCCATTTCATGTGTTGCAATAATGCTTTTTTAAGATTTGTTTTTATCCTAACCAAATTATTGTTCCTCTGCAGGATCGTTCTCTTGATTTCCATGCACTCTGTGCACTTTATGCTGTTACTGGTACTATTTCTTTACCTTAAATGCTTCAGTGGTAACTTTTTGGTTAATCTCATGTGGTTTTTGTGTTACTTTACGGATGTCCATTTTTGCGTGCTAATGCTACCATTTCTGTGCCTTACGTATTGATAAGAACTTTGTTCTCTATATTAGACAACTTTTGGGGCTTCACATGATTTAGTTCGAATCATACGCCCATGATTGGCACGTTCCTGTTTTTGTCAGTGGATCTGCTGCTTCCTTCTAAGCTTTCATGCTAGTTTGATCATTAAATATGTTTGCTTTGTTAATCAGATATAGCACTTGTGACATCATTGCGGGATGGAATGAATCTTGTGAGCTATGAGTTCGTGGCGTGCCAAGATTCAAAGAAAGGAGTTCTCATCCTCAGTGAGGTAAGTGTTGAATTTTTCTGATTGTTCTAAATCCTTATAAATTGTTAAGAGTAGATGTGAACCTCCTCATGAGGGGTTGAGGAAAGTATGATTGGAAACAAACTTTCTAATAGATATTTCTTAGTTCACCAGCTGGTGTCTTTTCCAATCACTGAGCCCTGTTGAGTATGAGTTTAGATCCATTTATTTTTATTCAGGAAATGAACCGTTTCCAACAGAAAACCTTAAATGGAGAGGTCATCTCTAAAGATTAGATTCTTGCTTTTTAATATAGCCTTAATTTGTAGTGGATCCTTACTCCCTGTACTTATGTTGCCACTTCATTGAGACAGTCGCTGTCCTTCGAACAGTGCACTTGCTCTCGTTTTGTGCTTCAAATGATGTTATTGACGTTGTTACTCAATGCATCATGTAGTGAAGCTAAGATGTTGTTTGACGTATGCATGCTTCATACTGTATTGTAGTTATTGACCAATGATCTTACTTTGACTGTAGTTTGCAGGGGCTGCACAATCTTTGGGTGCTGGAGCAATCCTGGTAAATCCTTGGAATATAACCGAAGTTGCAGCTGCAATAGGCCAAGCTTTAGATATGTCCCCTGAAGAAAGGGAGAAACGTCACCGACATAACTTCTCACATGTGACCACCCATACTGCTCAAGAATGGGCTGAAACTTTTGTCAGGTGTGTGAATATAAGAATGTCTGTTTTTAATGCAACTCAATGAACAGATATTTTCTTCACTTTATATAATGGGATAATGGATAAAATTAATAATAGCAGTAACATGTGGATAAAACTACGTCAATTTTGTAGACATCCCATTTCATGCTAGACCATATTATTTAGTTTTTTGGCTGATAATTGTTGCCATGTTTACTTGACGTTATTTGTCATCCCTTCCCTGTATTTTACATCATTGCACTCAGAGGTGCTATGTTGTATTAATCTTTGTCTCTCCTCCCCCTCTCCCCATGAAAATGTTATGTCGAATTCCTAAAGCTACGTTCTACATTGAGAACTTCTTAGTGGTTCTTTTTTCCTCCAACTGGACAATTTTCTATTGCTGATGTCGCAATTCAAATTTTCCCCAGCAATCTCCTTCGTAAAACAGAAACATCGTGATCTCCAACATTTAGCATGGTTTCGATTGCAGATTTTAGCTTTCGGTAATCTGTACGTGCTTCTAGTTAAATTGATGAAACAAAATTTAGTAGTTGAACTATTTTTGCAGTGAACTAAATGACACTGTCATTGAAGCTCAGCAGAGGATAAGAAAAAATCCACCACAACTTAATGTACCTGATGCAATCAACCGCTACTTGGAGTCTAATAACAGACTGCTCATACTGGTAGCCACATATGTTCCTCCACTCTCTTCCCTCAACTTGCCACATTCAGTCTCTATATTTGAATTTATTTATCATAATTTTAACAGTCCACTGTTTATGACAACCATTCGTCAGAAATAATGTTATTGATGATTTGCATATGATTGAGGATGTTTTTGTTGGTTTGAACTTTCTGTGTTTGAGTTAATTGTACTTTCTCAGTGAATGCTTTTCTTACATTTTACAGTAAATGTAGCATGCTTTTTCCCTTTCTTGGTTATGGGCCTTATGGCATTTTTATTTGTGGTGTGGCATCAGCTAGCTTACTATTAAGACATCAGGTTGAGACAATTGAGAAACAAGGGAACCGGGAGCACTATTTTCTTGTCTTCAAATTTACTGATACAAGAATCTTTACATTCGAACTTCATGGCAGAGAAGTTTCATGCTGTTCCAATGAATTGGACTCTAGACAATTCCGTTTGTTTTTTTTTTTTTTTTTTGCCCCTGCTGTTGCCTGGTTGCAAACAATATGCTTTTTGATAGTATTATAGCTGTTGATGTATACAGAGGGGCAACATCTCTTACGTAAAAAGTAGGCTGAGTAGTCACTCAACGTTTTCATTTTTATCCATTTTGAACTTCTTGTGTTATCCTTGAAATCTTATGTCCTAGTGTACAGACAAAATGCTCATATTTTCATAACCAAAAAAAAATTTTAAAAAAAATAATTAAAAAAAAATTCATATTTCTGTGTATGCCAATCTAGTCTGGGCTTCTAGTCTAGGCTTTGGTGTATCACCAGTTGTGGAGTTCCAGCTATTTCCCAGAAGTGAAGATTTTGGCCCAATCCTCTGATGCTGCTTAGTTTTATTTATCCTGGAGTTCATCATGTCAATTCATGTATATTAAGAATTGATTGTTTTGTGAGAATTAATGAAAAGAAGTAATGAAATTTTTAATTAGTAGTGGATATTAGTATTCTTAGAATGGTGATGAAACTTCTTTGGGTGAGAAATAGTAACAATATCTACCATATGTTGTTGCAATATAGATTAATGTGGATACTCTAGATACAGGTTTTGAACATCATTCATATGGGATATACTTTATGATTTATTTCTAAATTCCTCTAGACCTGGAGGCAATTCAAACATTATGCTAGAGCCACTGGCTTACCTTTTTCAGTTTGAACTTCCAAGTACATTAATAGTGATTATGTTATCTTGAGCTTTGGATGTGTTCTGAAATTTGTGATATCATGGTGATGCCTTTTTTGACCTTTTCTTTTCAACTGGTTGATATTTGGACCTCAGGGTTTCAATGCTACCCTAACTGAACCTGTGGATACTCCTGGAAGAAGAGGTGATCAAATAAAGGAAATGGAACTGAAATTGCATCCGGAGATGAAAGGAGCATTGGCGGCTCTCTGTAATGATCCAAAGACAACAATTGTTGTCCTTAGTGGAAGTGACAGAAGAGTGTTAGATGAAGTATTTGATCTACCTTCCGGATTCATTTTTGTTTTTTCCCCCTTTCGAAATTTGTTTGAATCAGTGAGAATTTGCAGAACTTTGGTGAGTACAACATGTGGCTAGCAGCTGAGAACGGGATGTTTCTAAGAAATACCAGAGGAGGAGAGTGGATGACAACAATGCCTGAGCATTTAAACATGGAATGGGTGGATAGTGTGAAGGTGAGTGACAGTTTAGTGTATATATTTTTCTGACCTTCATGTTCTGACCTCTAAAATATGTGTTCTCTTGCCTACTTGTCAGCATGTATTCGAGTATTTCACTGAAAGGACACCACGATCTCACTTTGAACTCCGGGAAACATCATTAGTTTGGAATTACAAATATGCAGGTAACTGATTTTTGTGTCCAGTTTTTTACTAAATTGGTTCAGTTGGGGTCTCAATTGCTAATTATGTTCGCCTTCCTTCACTTGTGTTGGTAAGATGTGGAATTTGGACGATTGCAAGCCAGAGACATGCTTCAGCACCTTTGGACAGGTCCAATCTCTAATGCATCGGTTGATGTTGCTCAGGGAAGCAGGTCTGTTGAGGTACGGGCAGTTGGTGTTACCAAGGTGAGCAAACTTTTCCTCAGACTTTTGTAATTTCTTAATTTATTTCAGAAATATTTATTTACAGAGAAGTCCTCTTTTCTTTTTTTTTTTTTTTTTTTTTCCTTCCTTCATTTTCCCTCTTGCCTTATACAGGGAGCTGCAATTGATCGTATATTGGGGGAGATTGTTCATAGTAAAGCTATTACTACACCTATTGATTACGTATTGTGCTTGGGTCACTTTCTTCAAAAGGTTTTTTTCCTGTACTTCTCTGAACAACTGTCTATAGATAGGTTTTGATGTTACTTTTAGCATATGGCAAAAGCTGTTTGATTTTTCACATCATCCTTGCTGAAGGTACAGTTCCAGTTCATCTACATAGTTTTGCATTCTGTGGGTTTAAGATACTTGCAAGTAGACACCCTTTGATTCTGTTCCTTTGAGAATCTGTCTTTGAAGTGAGGTTATCTAATTTCCGGACTCCACTGTGTTGCTGCTTTCCTTTGCTTAGCTTGAAATTCATTCGTTACTATAGATATCTGTTTAGGAGTAGGAAAATTTGTTTATTTGAGCTGCAGATGAGATCTGAAATCTTACTCTTTCAAAGCTGTCAAGAGAATCCTATCGAACTGATCCAGGGTGATGAATTGTAGTATTATTTACTTAATTTTATGCTGTCCTGCGGCTAGTTAATGTGCTCAGAACTTTTAGTGAACAGAATTTACAATTGTGAATATTAACTTGAATTGTGATCTTTCTATTAATTTAACTTACATGGAGCTACTTCTCATTTTCATTTAATCTTAGCTTTTGACTCTTTTTTTCTTTCTCTTTCTTCTTGGGGTTAACAATAACGTTTGACTCTGAATCTCTTTTCTTCAGGATGAGGATGTCTACGCATTTTTTGAGCCAGAGCTGCCTGCTGATGCACTGAGCCATTCAAAACTCAAAATAAATGATCCGATGCAATTACCTGTTGAAAGGCGAACAGTTCCAAAAATTCCAACCAGTAAAAGTAGCTCAAAATCATCCCATAATAGGTCTCAACGACTGCCCAACTCCGGCGCTGGGAGGCGTCCATCCCCTGAAAGGACGTCCTGGAATGTGCTTGACCTCAAGAAGGAAAACTACTTCTCTTGCTCTGTTGGTCGAACTCGAACAAATGCGAGATATCTCCTCAGTACATCAACTGATGTCGTTACATTCATGAAGGAACTGGCAGATGCAACTTTGTCGAGCACCTTGTAAAACTTTAAGACGTTTAGTGAAACAGCTAGGTACAGGGTAGATGTCAGGATATACAAATATCAAACCCAGATAGGTTTTTGTAATTCTTTTTACTTTTGTAACCAAGGTTGATTAATGGAACAACTAGAGATATTGAGCCAAAATTGAAGGATTATCTTTGTGGGTATGCAAATCGAAATCTCAGGAGCAAATCTTCTTTTTTATGCTCAAGTTTATGAATGTGAAGGTAAGAGGAACTGCCTTTGCTCCGACTTTTTGAGGCGTTATTATATTCTTAAGAAGGGATGTGCTTTGATCGTTACTTAAGGTAAGGCATTGATTGTTGCTGTGAGGCTATGACTAGATTTGATTTTTTTTTTTTTTTTTTGGTGAAACTGGTAAATAAAGTTCAGACTAGTTTCTTTGAATATTGATGCGGATAAAATGTTGAACGGCTCACAGTTCGATCTTGTTTTGCACATTGATTCACACCATCTTTGTATCAGTACTAATGTGGTTAAAATTACGAAAGCGAGCAAAAATAGGTTTCTCTTGGCTTGCACCTGATTCAGACCATCTTGGTGAGATGTTGTTAAAACTATGAACGCGGAGGAGTGTTACTTTCTTGACTAAGGTACTGAATGGTCACCCATGTTGCATTTCTTTCAATGACTGCCCTTCATATTCAATGCGGACCGCAGCAGAATCATTTTGCATCCTTTGCTAAAAATAATAATCGTAAGATGATACGAAAGAATCCATGAGTTCGACCATTCTTTTGTCTAAAAGACATGTTTGTCTTGGCTAGGAAGTAGGAACTGGGAAATAATGTAATGTCAAATACTCAGGGCATTGTGCGTAAATGTTGAATCCTCTAACACAGCAACACAGATAGCCAATGTCCTATGATCTGGCTTTATTTTTGTCTACAAAATATGTTGCAAAGAGCAGATGTAGCGAAAATTCTGTTAGCAACAATGCCGTTCTGACTCTCACAGATTCAGTGTCAAATAAGGGGAAAAACATTTGTTTAGATTGTTATGGAACCCACAAACAAGTTTGGCCGTTCAAATTCTGGCTAGTTCACTTCAAAACATTGTCTTTCTGCTAGGAGAGAGTTCAAAAAATTTGAAACAGGGTGGAAGATGTTAAAATCTTCTCATTCAAGGCTTTTCATTCCATTTTTCATTTCACACCAATATTTGCTACCAATCTTTGAGCTGTGTTTACCCCGAGTTCTGATAAACAAAATAAGAACAAGGTACTCATCGCACAAGATATCCAATTAAAGAAAAGAACTCAATGTATAATAAGATCATATAGGTTCCGCCTGATACAGACCCAAATACAAGGGAATAACAGATACTGAAGCATCTGTTCTCGGTTAAAAAAAATTACTAAAATGATATGCAAAAACAATATGCATTCTGGTCCTCTTCATCTAAGCGAACATAAGAAAAAAATAAAATGAACGGATTAAAATCAACCTAGTAACTATCCAGATTCTATAGCAATAGGCAAAGAGCTGTCTAAGTACCAGCTACCCACTAACATACGAAACCAATATGTAGCCTTATATTGAAAAATGCAAAATTAACCTTGTGCTGCAGCTTTTCAGGCAGAAGTTTTCTTGTTGGGTTCAAAGACATACTTTATCAATGACTCCTTAATTGGTAACAACTCTGGGAATTCAGTCTTCAACTTGGTGGCATCCATCTCGTTGTTGCTGCGAGGCGCAACTATCACCTTTGCTTGTTCTTCCAGTGTAAAGTTAGCCCACTTAAACTCTGGATCAATATACTTCTTATACATTTCCAGTATCTCATTATGGCTAACAACCCCAGGGTTGGTAAAGTTCCATATTCCCCTGAGATTTCTCTTTGCCATCTCAATCGAGATAGGAAGAAGTTCATCCAAGATAGTCATGCTGTTGGGAATATTAACCACCTTATTGTACCGACTAATCTTGGTAATGAAATTGCGTGGGTTGTTTAGGTCTGAAGAGATTGGCATCCTGACCCTGAGGGTGCATACATTGTCATATTCTTTCAGAAGCTCCTCGACCTGGACAATATAGAACAGTGAGTAAACATATCATGTAAATTAATGGAAGGGGAAATAATAAATGAACTGCCAGAAGAAATGAGAAAGTTTACCATGGCCTTGGTCTTTGAGTAGAAAGATCCAGTAAAATTAGGTGTATCTTCCTCTTTAAATCCAACACCAGAACCCTCAGGATGCGAAGCATTATATTCAAATATACATCCAGTGGCGAAGTTCATCATCAGTAGACCATTCTCTCGGCACACATCAGCCAAGGTTAGAGTTCCAGCCACATTTGCCCGAATGGTTTCAGCCTTGTGCGACTCACACCAATCAACATTGGGTCGACCAGTAACACCAGCTGCATTGAAAACATGTGTGGGCTTAATAGCATGGATGTCAGACAGTAGGCTAGATCGATCCTCCAGACGCCCCCTTCCATACTCAAATGGAATTCCTTGTTTCTCACACAACTTCCCAAGAAGACCACCAATCCATCCAGTCTTACCATAAATCAAAAACTTGAAAGGTGACTTGTTTGGTGTGTCGGTGCTCTTAGGAGAAGGGGCCACCATTTTGGTCTCATGGGAGTTCTCTTTGAATTCAGATGATCCAGAGTCGTACTTTTCTGATTCATCCAACTGTCTTTCAATTCCACCAGGCATCATCAGCATTCTAGGATGAGGAAGCAATGCTCCAGTCACATCCCCCCACCATTCAGGGTTGTTGATATACCATTCCATAGTCTTTTTCAGCCCTTCTTCCCACACAGTCCTCTCTGACCAACCCAAGTTTTTGAGTTTCTGATCGTCTAGGAAGTATCTCTGGTCATTAAATGGCCTGTTTTCAACAAACTGGATACTTTTCTCAGGATCCATGTTGAAAAGTTTGCATATATCTTTTGCAACATCAATCACCCTTCGTTCCTTCTTGGTCCCAATGTTGTAAACATGACCAACTTCACCCCTGTGTAGAATAACTTCAAACGCTTCAGCAACATCTTCACAGTACAGATAACTGCGCACATTGGAGCCATCACCATGAATTGGAAGGGGCTTCCCTCTCATGGCCAAAAGAATAAACTTCGGAATTAACTTCTCAGGGAACTGATTTGGACCATAAACATTGTTCCCTCTTGTAGTTATTACAGGCAAGCCATATGACCTGCCATATGCCATAACGAGCATTTCAGCTCCAGCTTTGGTTGCAGAATACGGGTTGGTGGGAAGGAGTTGCGAGGCTTCATGGTTCCCTACAACAGCATCCTCATCTGTCTCTCCATAAACTTCATCTGTGCTTACATGAATAAATCTTCTGATCTGACCAGTAACTTTGCAGGCCTCTAACAGCACATGTGTGCCATAAATGTTGTTCTTGGTGAACTCAAAGCTATTACCAAAAGAATTATCAACATGGGTTTGGGCAGCAAAGTGCATTATGGTGTCAATTGACTCTGTGATGAGCAGGTAATTCACAAGATCAGCACTTGCAATATCCCCTTTCACAAACTTGAAGTTAGCGGATGAGCGAGAAGGAAAAAGGTTCTTGAGATTCGAGCAGTAATCAAGCTTGTCAAGGACAACAATCTTGTAATCCGGGTAGCTGCGGATGAGCCTGTTTGCAACATGGGATGCAATAAATCCTGCAGCCCCCGTGATGAGAATATTCTTGGGGGTGTACGACGCCATTCTTATACGTCTCTACAATAGCAGAATCGCAGAATGTCAATGATATGCATAAAAGCAGAATTGCAGAATGTAAATGATACACATAAAAGCAGAATTGCAGGATGTCAATGATATACATAAAAGGAGAATCACGGAATTGAACTGACACCTTTACTGATGCCTAACACCACCGACAATCAGATATGCAATACAAAGAAGCCATTCATTGGAAACAATTTAATATTAAAATCTACAGTTGGAGGCAATAATTTGCAGACAAGATCGCAAAAATTATAAACCCCCACAACAAATAGACAAGAATGACAATTAATCTGCAATAAATAGTACAATCAAAACGATCAATCATCAACTAGACTCTCTAATCAACACTCAAATGTCATTAATTACACAACAACAGTGGGAGCAAACATCTTCCAATAAACACATTTAGAAAACTACTAACCCGATACAAAATGAAAATTTAGATGGAGATCATTCCCGATTAACCACGAGGGAACTCAGATCCAATCAAATACATAAATTAATCAAAAAGCAAAAAAACCTCCCCTTCATCGATATCTTAGTTACTTCGATTCACACATATAGTAAAGAAGGCAACTTTCCGGTAACCCACCTAAATTCAACAAATCCAAAAGCTAACGAAAAAGCTAAAATATGCAAACAAACGAGATCCAGATCAAATAACACAATGCCAATCGAGATCACGACTAACAACGGGAAATTCAGCACATCCTTCACAAAGATCCAATCAAAATAAAAGCACCCCAGATCATAAAAGTGATCCTAAACAGGAAAAAACGCGGAAACGAGACAGAATTGTCAAAGAACAGGAAGCAAAACTTACATGTCAAAAAAGAAAAAAAGAAGACCGAGAAGCCCAATTCAGATCAAGTTCAACCAGGACGAAGAAAATGGGTAGAAATTTATAAGGGAAGGCGGAAAAAGGGGGGAGAGATATTTTGAGAGATGGGAGAGACAAGCAAAGCGAGAAGTGAGGAAAGTCAAGAGATGTCTCTTCGGTTTGAAATGGACACAGAACAAACTCTGAAATGTGCGATGTGTATATATAGGCATGCAAGCGCAGAGAAGGAGAGAACACACAGTGCGTGGTGTTGTGTGTGCGACTGTGTGACTGTGTGTGTGGGCGAATAAGAGAAGAAATGAGAGACTTTATGCTTTGTTTGGGGGACGGTTATACGAAAAAGGGTAAAAAGCGGGAGGGGTGTGTGAAATTACGTGAGTAACCTTCTTTTTGGGGGAAATCATGGACTAAATGCTAATTACGTGACGCGGTTTATGAGCTGGGTATGAGGTGTGGGGGCCATGTGATTTATAAGCTGGTCCTCTTAAGAGTATGGGTCCCGTGTTCTTCCTTATAAGAATGGTGGCTTGTTGACTGTGTAACGCTCTAACTAGTAACGTGTGACATTCGTGTCTTATAATTGATTTGATTGATAATTAAAAATTGATAATCTTATATTCGATTTGATCGACACCTAGAAATTCATAGCATAATTATCGTATTTATATATATATAAAAAAAAAAGAAATTGAAACTCGCAAGTTTATAATTTTGAAATATTCATTATCTTGTTATTTTTTTCGCTTTCTCTATCATTATCTAATGACTCGGAGGAAGGGGGAGTGTGGGTTGGTTGGTAAAGAATGACGGTCGGTCACTGTGTTTGAATGGAGGATGCTGGAAAATGGAAATGGGATGGTGTTAGGAACCCTTCTAAAGGTTAAAGTGGAATTACTGTTCAAAGTTAAACTTTTATTACTTAGGAAGATTAAAATTTCATGTATTCATGGATATAGAAGAATAATTTGACTAATCAAATCCAAATATAGGCAAACGTCGCCATATCTTTGAAGGCAAATATTGGTTGTTTTGAAAGAAAAAAAAAAATCAAATCCATAGATAGTGAAACGTTGCCTTATATACCTGGTATTTATTTTATTTTTTTTCATTAAGGAATTTCGCTTCAAATTCTCCACTAATTAATCGGTAAAAAGATCTCTCACATCATAATTGAAAAGCTTTTGCAACCCAATTCTCTTCTTTTCTTTTCACAGATGATAAAATAAAAACAATTAAAGAGGAATTATTTCTTAGCGTTTCTGTTTTTAAGACTTTTAGTTCTTTCCTAATTCTATTTTATTCGAGCATATCCACTATAAATCTATATTATACTCCATTTGATTTTGAGGAGGCAACTACCAGTGGGCTTAATCAACCATATCTGTATTCTTTATTTTTTTATTTTTATTTTTATTTTCCTGGACCTGCATTTACTTTTCAGTTTTCACCGTACTTCAATTAGGTTAGGCACATCTTTTGAACCAAGAATTTGACCAAGCCAACCAAAATCAGAAAATATATATTATTATAAGTAGTAATCAATCATTAGTAAGCTCAGACGGAAACAATTAAAAGAGATATGTTTTGGACCCAAACCTTTTTTATTGTCTCAACAATTGTGTGAGCCAATACTTATTACTTATTTATTATCAAAACCTCACTACATGATGTATGTACGTACATCTAATGAAGTTTGGTTTTGTTTGAGGTCCACATTCTTTAACGTGGCAAAGTCCATATGTAATTCTCCCAACTTTTCATTTCCCCATTCATCATTTTTTACGTTTTCTTCTTTGTTTTTTTACCTTAACTTTGCCATCGATGATCAATTCATAAAAAATTTAAAAAATAAATTAGTGCTAATTGTAGTTTGATGATTTTGGAAATTAGATTGTGGTGAGTAGTCAATTTAGATAAATAGTTGTTTGTGTATAACTTTGAAATCTAGGTATCATTTTTACCTCCAAAGAAAACAAAAACCACACAGCACAGAATCACATAGTATTTATGGACGCTCTCTCTTCTATCCTAATAAGGCTAAAATAATTGTTTAAATTTTACAATCAAAATGTTCAAAATAGATAACCAGAATCTAATTTGGATGATAATATTATATTATTAATTTTTAAAGATTGTGATAAAATTGGAAAATAATGGTAATTATTATATTGGTATTAATTTTTAAACTTGTGTACTTTAAAAGTGAGAGACGGGTATTTATTTATTTATCTTTTCCTTTTTCTTTATTTTGAAATAGAGAGTAAAGGACTAGTATACTAGTATTGAACATAATTATTTGTTGTTTTTATTTTTAGACAAGGGTAACAAACACCGTTTTTTTTTTTTTTTAATGTATGTATGTCTCCAAAATCTTGAATGTAGATAATGACTTCTATAGATGAATGTAATTAATTTACTTGGCAATGAACCTCTCTCGTCAATAGGTAGAAGAAAACTTGAGTTATATTTGCTTCAATTACAAGCTTGATTAATACACACACAAAAAAAAGGAAGAGAACGAAAAGGGGAAAAGTTGGATAGAATGCAAGAGTGATGAGAAACGTTAATTGTCGGGGGGGCGGCGGGGAGGGAGGGGGAGGGAGTAGAAAAGATCACGTTCTCCAGATTCTTCTTCAAACAATCGGTGAACTCCATGTGACCGAAAATGCATATATTGTCATGAATATATGTGTGCTGGTTCACCCTCAACTGATTGTGCATTGCATCCCTCTTTCTTCTCATCCTCCAACTATCATTGTTTCATATATAACACAAAAACCCTACTTCAGCCAAACATGAGACATCCAGTTGAAAACAAAATGTGTGTATTAGTTCGATAAAGCAAACTATTTCTTTCGATACGAATAAATATCATGACTGTTTATTGTGTGCTCAAAATTTTGAATAGACTAGAAATGAGGATCTCGTAGTGAAAGGTTAAATTAATTATCTTAGACTTAGGGTGTCATCCTTTCTAGGTCAAATTAATGCGATGTTGATGTTGGACAATACTTTTAAGGTGAGTGTGTGAATATCGCTTTTAGAAAAATAAAATAATTGCAAGGATTGAAAAATTACATAAGCACCACAAGAATGTTAGTAATTTCTGAATTGAATCGAAAACAATGCAATTTATAAATTGCGCACTGTTTTTTTGAGACGGAGAAGTAGTATATAAGTGAAAAATTTACTCCACAAAAAACCATGAAATCTAACACGTGGAGTGCAAAATTAAGATTTCTTTGTTTTTTTTTTTTTTGGTTACACGATACAATTGATATTTGTCATTTAGAAAATGTGTTTACTTAGAAGTATTATGATGTTGCCTCCTTCATTGTTAAAAATAATAAATAAATAAATCGTAAACTAGACAGTATAATCGATTGGGAGGTGCATGTGCACTGTGTGAAGAACTAGAGGCATAATTTACATTACCAATAAAAATAACTGTTGAATAAATTAATTAACAACTACGAAAGACTAGTCATGTACTCATGTAGTTCTTTTTTTTTTATTTATATTATAGGGTGTCTACTGTCAATAACAGTGACTAATCTTTCTTATTCGTAATAAACACCTTGATGGGTGGGAGAGTTGGCCAAAAGATTAAAGGTTGCTCACTCATATAATTCTTCTCTCCATTGTGAAATTATAGAACAAAACATTAGGTATTTCATGTTGGACCAGATTACCAGAATGTGAGGACTTAGAAATACTCTGCACTTTTGCTCAGAGTCTCACGAATTTGGCCCTTCCAATATTGCCAACAAAACCCATTCCAAGAAGGCCCGCAAGCCCAATAGTAGGAGTAGGAATACGAAAGCAGTGTTAACACAAATTTGATAATAACTTAATAAGTGGGCAGGGTTGCGTAAGATTTTCCTTGAAGCAAATTAAAAGCAACCAGTTTTTTATTATATACAAAACGTGCGTACTAGCGTGAAGTCATTGCCCCCTTTTCTGTTTGGAAAGATGATTTTCATGATCCCTAAAGATGACCCTGGTTTGAGTTTAGTCGTGGACAAGCATTACGCTATCGGGAAAACAAAATTCCGAAACTGATCTACTCATTTCTAATCTGAAATTAGTCGGGCAGTAGTTTATAGCAATCTAAATATAGTAAAAAACAGTGTGTACTGTTGCAAGTTAACCCTATATTCATTCATATGAACAAATACTACAACATGCATCAAACTTATTCCGGGAATACAAAGAATGTTTTCATTAGGACTTAACGCTGATGTCAAATCTCGATATAATTCATGTGATTAAAGTTTAATAAACAAAGACGGACTTATTGCTTCTACAAACAGTATGACAAAGTACCCAAATAATTATTCAGGGACGGATCAATATATATATGTATTACACGGTACTACAATATATATATATATATATATATATATATATAGTTTAATTTTGTGTAAGACCATTTCTTTTTAGAGGGATGTGTAGATAGACAGGTTAGTTAGGAAGTACTTAGTAATAATGTGCTTATCGTTTTGGATTTGATTAGTTACGACTTCACAAAATTTATAATTTAAGTTTTTTGTCCCCATCGATCCGATCAGGATGAAATGGATACACCTAAAATATCGACACAAATCTGTGCACGATTGATTGTCTCCTGATAATCACGATACATGGTCGATTTCTCCATATGTGTGTGCGTGTTTTTTTTAAAAAAAAAAATTAAATTCAACATCCAAAATTTGGGTAGTTCCAGATGTCAAAAGAGGTGCAGGTTTTCTAGATCATCATGTAGTGTATATTAAGTATTATTTATTTATACACACCACTTTCTCGCTGCCATATAATCTCCTCTCCTTTCTTTCTTTCTTTTTTTTTTTTAAAAAAAATATAGAATTGATGATTAGTACTAATTTATCTTTCTCAATTTTTTTTAATCATGGAATGAATCCACCACATGTAGGCATTATGCAACCTCTAAACTCTAAGCATTACTTTGCATTTCTTCCATTTCTTTGATTTGTTTCCATCTCTTGCCATATTCTTCCATGTGATGCACTCGTTATTATCAACTTAAATATGAAGAGGTAAATTCTGAAACCATTATAGTGGAAGTTAGCTAACTCCATACTATTTGTATCGTTAAACCAGAAAAAAAAAACAAAAAAAATTCCTTTTATAAGAACTTGTTAATAACTGAATATACACTTTGACATTCCGAATACAAAAAATCTAAAGAAATTATAATATATGTAGTGAAATTCGCCCTATATGTATGTATATTCTCCGTGTTAATGTTGTACTAACGCACATTCTGTTCATTTCTCTCTGAGTCCATGTTATGAACTCAATATATATACGTACTTCGTTTTAATCTGTCCAAATCCCGGTTTATGTAATGTAACAAAAGGGTAGCTGTCAGTTTAGATGTTAACCCATGCGCATATTCTTGCAGCATTATTCTTCCCCCAAAAAAAAAAGGGGACTAATTAAAACTTTTGACTTTGTCCATTTGGAAGATGGAATTCGTGAATCATAATCAATTTATACATCTCTATGTAATACTTCCTTCGACCTTTCTCTCTCTCAAAATAAAATAATAATAAATAAATAAATAAATACTCCGTTTGTGAAATTTGTACTAAAAATATTGACTGATTTTTTGGGAGAGAATATATATAATAATTCTAAGTTCTAATCAGCTACATCTCGATATGAATTTCTGTCCCACGAATTCAAGTTGGCTCTCAACACAGATGGGCTGTCCCTCAACGAATTGAGCTGCGCAGATCAGGGATTCCCAAAGTCCACAGAGAAGTAAAAGATTCGTCATTTTTTCCCCCCTTTACCAGGTGCTATAGTAATGAACGTAACTGTAATAAAATGATGATCTAGCGAGATTAATTAATTTTTATTTTATTTATTGATTTAAAGAACCAAATGCATGCCAATTATTTTCTGCCTAAAACTATGATTTGTGCATTTCTTAAAACACCAATTGCTAATATATTCTGATAATAACGATACATGATCCTCTATGTCTTTTTCTTTTGACACTCTTTTTTTTTAACACTCTTTATTGCATAATCTAATTAATTATTCTTTTTAAATCATATAATTTGTATTAATACACATTTCATAAACACATATTGTCAATGTAGATTATTTTCATATTTTTATTTTATTTTTTGCATCAATGCTTTATTTTTAATGAAATTTGTTTTTTTTATGTTTTAACTATAAATATTAAAAAAAATAAATCATCACCCAAAAAAAGAAACCATACTTATGAAATATATAACTTTAAAAGTGATTACGAATGCTATAAATAGTAGCGCAAACGAGAAAATTTATTAAAAAAATAAAATAAAATGCAGAGGGTCAAAAGAAAGTGACATAAAAGATCACTTATTTTCATTGATTCTCTTTTGAGCTATGCTCGTTCGATACTGTTCCTTCTGCCTCTAGTAGCATCTGCTCCAAATTTTCAGGTATAGCTTTAGTAGTCAATATATGAGGGTATCATGTCCATATATTATAAAATAGTACTTCTGAGTAACAATTACAAATCAGATATAGTAACTACTATATTATTATAAAAGAGTCTAATTTTAATGTCTTAAAGGATTACAAAAGATCACTTTTTATCCTGTAAACAATGAATCATACAAAAGATCACTTTCTACTGTTCACCCTTTCAAGAAAAAATAAATAATAAAAATAACAAATCTAATGTTCAGTCACCTTTGATTTATCAAACATATTATTCTTTTTATTTTATTTTATTTTATTTAATCATTTGAGAGGTAGCATCGTTTGAAGAGTCTAGTAATACTATCTCCGTCTTAGAAAAATAGACCACATTGAGTTTTGAGATTTATACTAATTTTAGTATAAATTTGAAAACTCAATGTATACTATTTTTCTGGGACTAAGGGAGTAGATCCAGTCTCATTCCTCCTCTAGATCAGGAGTCATACGCAGGGGTGGAGCTACATACAAGGGAAGTGGGGCAATTGCCCCAGCTGGATTTTATTTTTTTTTTGGCTATTAACCCCTTGAAATTTTAAAATTTTTTTAAAAAAATTCAATTTTTGCCCCAGCTGAATTGAAAATATTAGAGGCAAATATATTAGATTAGAAATTTAAAAAATTTTGCCCCATCATATATAGGGGGCTTGGCTCCGCCCCTGGTCATACGCAACATTTGTAATAATATATTGTTGTTTAATCCTTTGTCAACCCAATGATCTTATATTGAATTTAATAAATTGAGAGGACTTAACAAGTAATGCCACGCAAGATACAGATCAGTCATGGTTATCCAACGGTTGCATTTCTGGTTTCCAGCCTTCCCAAAAGAAAGAAAAAGAAAATGTCTCCATCGGTTATTTAGAGGAAGAAAACAAAAATAATATACCTATCTATTCTTGCCAAAAATATGTATTGTTGTACAAGATGATCACTAATATCCCGATTTATTTTATTGTATAACTTGAGAGTTGGGACCATGTTGTGATGTACATATAACACCTCTTTCATTTCATGGAATAACCTCTAAATAATATTGTACGTCCATTTTAGAAAAGAAATCCAATTTTGAAAACTACAAGCTATAAGTTACATGAATTAATATTTTGAATTAGAAAATTAATATGAAAAATGAATATAAACTATCATATATGTTTATCAATTTTATTTTGTAATTGTTAGATGATGTAACTTTCATAAATCTAATTTTAAGATTTTTATTTATAAAATTAACTTATATTTTGGTACGGGAGACTACACAGTATTACCTCTGAACCGAAAAAAAAGTAATCCAATTTGGAAGACTAAAATCTTTGAATTGGGTGAGTTAACCTTTCAAATTAAACAGTTAATATGAAAGATTAAATTGAATATCATGTATCTTACAAATCCAATTTTGATATTTCAATTCCTAAAAATGGAATTTTTGCTTTCTTCCAACTTTGAGGTGTTGCCTACATAATACACATCCATTAGTCCAATTAGGAAAGGTATGTATAAATTTCGCCATTTTGGTTACCTTATTTTAAAGTTTTCCTTCTAAATAGGATGGTAAGGACAGCGGACTGTAGTTTTCATTTTCACGTATATTCTTCTAATTCTTTCACATAAATATGTTGTTCATATTGACTTGAGGATTTTAAATCTAATAATGATGGATTAAAATTTATTAATAACACTCGTATATGAGAATGTGCCCTAACTCCTGTGAGTAAACGATCAATGAAATCTCCTTTTTTGCGATTAATCTTATTTTATGGTCTTGTGAGGGCTTTATAGGTCAAAATGTAATAAAAAGAGGGAGTTTTACAAGGAATTTGAATTTCGCAGCAGATTTTCTATACTCGTTATCATGTCTATGTACAATCCGCGCTAAGTAATAAGAGTTATTAGGATTGGTTTTTAGGTTTCATTCATGATGATTTTTGGGTTCTCTTTTAATAATGACGTTGAAATTTGAAAGTATTGATTTGTTATAAATTTCACCTAATATGTATTTTTAATTAAAGAAAAAGTTTTAAAAATATTTCCTAATAATGAAGAATACAACGAATGTGAAAATATATTTTTAAGATTTTTTTTAATTAAAAATGTATACTGTTAAAATATAAATAAATCAAAATGTTTTATATTAAGGACGGGATGGAGCATTAACTATTAAACCAAAAAAATAAATGTTGAAAATTGAAAAATGTGAGTTATTTTATGGGGCAGGGGCCGAAAGGCACACAAGTTGTTACTAATCTAATTAGTACTAAGAGCAAGAATTGGGCCTACTATTAAGGAGATTGGTAATAAAGAAAGACAGCAAAGCCGAAGGCCGACTAGAAGCAGCAAAAATGGTGGAGCAGCAATTTTAAGCACATCTCTTTCTCCATCTAGCTCATCAAAAACGCCACAACCAATCAACCAAAACCTTAAAAATTAAAATCTAGTGGCCATAGTTTATCGTTAGACTAATACACACTATCAATTTCCATCACGGCCTTTTGGCGTATATGCTAGAAGAATTATTTTTTATGAATTCTATACCATTTCTTTTGTCCAATAGGAAAACTTGTACGGGAAACAAACCAAAAACGTGATATATTAACTTTTCTTCGAGGGGTCAGGATTTTAGAGGGAAGACTTTTAAGTGGGAGAGAGATTTTACATTAAAGAAGAAGAAGAAGAAGAAGGCCAGCCAACAAGGAGGGGTCAGGGAATGAAACAGGGAGGTCCCTTTTTCTGGATATTTTGACTATTTGAGGTGTTTTATAAATTGGGTTTTTTTTTCTGTTTCAAGTTTTAACACTCGCACAGAAAAAAAAGTTTCAATCTTTTTCAAGGGAATTTGGAGAAATTGTATTTTGATGGTTTCTCTCGCTTCATTTCAAATCCTTGAAATTTGTAAGGATGCTGCTGGAGTTGCAGGTACGTAAATAATGATCTTTTTTCCTTTCTTCCCGAGCTCATCTTCAATTTGTTTCCCAGTGCATTTTCCTCCCTCCAGATAGTTTTAGTGGTTCTTTGACTCCATTGAATTATATGGGTTCAGTGCTGTGCTCTGACTGTTGAAATTTTGATGGAAATGCAACTTGATGTTGCATTGGGTTTCTGAAAGTTTAAGAAGCATTCATCTACCGGGTTCTACCTTGGTTGCTTCGCTTAGGTAATGATGGATAGATAGATGATCACAAACATTATGCAGAAAGATGCCATTTGTCAGAATTGACTAGATTCTATTCCATTCGGTTTCTTCTTTATGCTTTGGTATTTTAGTATATTCAATTAAGCAGTTGGTTTTTTGGAAAAGAGGGAATCATGGATATACGCCAAAAGTGGATGTAAACATATTTAATTTCTGTCACTTTCCTAATCAGTTTGCCTTAGCTTCGGCCGTCTGCTCTACCTTATTCTTCAGATGTTTCTGTATTTAGAAAATGGAGTGTTTTTTTTTTTTTCATCATGCTTATAGATTTTGTTTTTTTTCTTCTGTGGTTGTAATGAGCTGTAGGGATGTTCGTTATAAATCACATGAAGCTGCCCTTGATCTGCTCAGAAATGAAAATAAGTAACTAAATCAATTAATTAGGCTTGAACTCTTGATGGTAATTTATTTTCTTGCTGCTTGTTGCAGGAAACATCTTTGCTTTCGGCCTCTTTGTCTCTCCGATGTGAGTTCTATTACTGTTACTTTGTTTTTGTTTTTCTGGAGGTTAGATAACTGGATTGTTAGTCTTTGACCGACCTGATCCTCATCTTTGTATACCTTTTGTTTTCCACGTTCATATTCAGACCTACATTTCGAAGGATTATAAGAAATCAGACAACCGAACAGTTCTCTGGTTTGCCGTATATATACGCTCTCTTAAATTGCTTGATCTGTGCATGGTATGGCTCGCCCCTTGTGTCCCCAGACAATTTACTGGTTACCACAGTCAATTCAATTGGTGCTGTTTTTCAAATGGCCTACATAATTCTCTTCTTGACACATGCTGAGAAGGAGAAAAAGGTGGGGAGATGTTTTTGGCTTGATGTTAATTCTTCATTTTGTGGGAAGTTGCATCATTTATAACTTTAAGCCAATTTGTTTCTGATATTTTGACCATGTTGTCGCAGCTAAAGATGCTTGGCTTGCTGCTCGCAGTTTTCAGCGTATTTGGACTGATTGTAGTTGGCAGCTTGCTCATAGCTGATTTTGAATTCCGGCATCTCGCCATAGGTTTTCTTAGTTGTGCTTCCCTTATATCTATGTTTGCATCTCCATTGTTTGTGATTGTAAGTCAAACCCTTTTCTGAGAAGTTACTTTTTCATCAATGCGTATATTGTCAACTTCCTTATGTGGAGTTGGTGCTTTTTCTGCAGAATCTTGTAATCAGAACAAGGAGTGTTGAGTATATGCCATTTTACTTGTCGCTGTCCACCTTCTTGATGAGCACATCTTTCTGTTTGTATGGCATCTTCAGTTTTGATCCCTTTATATACGTAAGTTACTAATTTCACATATTGCTCTGTGTTTCATGTGTTTCCTGCTACCTAGAGTTGAAATGAGTACCTAATAATCATGAGCTACTAGCTAGAACTACATCACTTGGGGAAATTCATGTTCTTCCTGGCTCTCTCTCATTTACTCACTAAAGCTCTTATTGCTTGACTATCAGGTTCCAAATGGTATAGGCACATTCTTGGGAATTATACAACTGATATTATTTGCATACTACAAAAGTGCATCTAGTGAAGACTCCAGAGAACCTTTATTAGAGTCTTATGCATAAACTGGGAAATGTCAAAAGCTGTCTGCAAGGTATGTTTCATTTTTCAATGAATAGCTCGTTCTGTAGTTGCCCAGTTATGATTGGAGATTCTTGAGCATCACAGTTGCTTTCATTCTTTTCCATTTGTTGTGTGCCCTTTATATGTTTTGGCTTGCTTGAGATTTAGATTTTTACCATACACAGGTAACCAAGGTCTAATGTACATTTGATGTTTATTCTGAATGCAGTGTCTATTTTCCGTTAGGTAATCAGTGCCGATCTGATCTGAATAAGTTGCCAAAAACTGGGGATGATCTCATGGAAAACAATTGTTTTCCGTTGGCATGAGTAATGAATTGTTCTGTCGCCAAACTACCCAGCCACCTCCCTTTCTTAGGTGGTCTTGCTCTTCAGCTGTCGAATGAAGGATCATGGTGCATCTGGAGATATGCTGTTCCAAATGTTTGTGAATGTATGTAGTTTTGATTTGTGTGTGTGTATTTCTATTTTTTTACCTTCTTCTTTCCTTTTTTTTTTTTTTGTTTTTTTGATGTTATCATCCTTCTTCCTGCTCATTCTTTTTGATTTATATTGTTGTATATAATTGCCGAGCAGTCATACTGAATGAAATTGACTGCTGATTGATGCATTCATGAAGACTGAAACCTGTTCAGTTCTCTCTCAGTTCTGTATGAAACTTTGTTTGTGTTCTGATATCTTAATAAATTGGAGTTGGAACTTGGAATGCATTGAGCCCAAAAGCCTGCTCTTAAAGGCAGTGGAAAGACACTCCACGACAACAAAAGTATGAATCACACTATGAAAGAGATGAAGGATTACGGATAAAACAAATGCATAAGAGGTGAGGCTGAACTGTATTGACTAACACACCAAATGGAGTATATATTATTGTAGGTTTTATTAATAATGTCATAGCCGGCATAGCCGAAGGACGGTTTCACACTCAACAGTGATTAGGAGTGTCTTGTTGCAGTTGAGCAGAAGGCAGATGATCACTTGAGAAAGATAAAATCATGTACAGCACTTTGGACAATTTCTTTTAGAAACTATAAATTTACTGGTTAAGAAAGACTGTGCTGCACCGTGAATGGTTAAGTGAAGCCTATGATCCAGACCATTCGATCACAATTTCCATCCACTTGGAAATCATCATACCCTTTAGACTGTACCATTTAGTCTGATGGCACTAGAGAATTTTCCTAGTTGATTCCTCAGTCTTATCTTTCTTTCTGGCATCATTCTTAATATTCATGTGATTCACCTCTCAAGGGGAACACGAGAAGCAGGCTTGAATTCATGTTTCTTTCGTACGGGGCAGAGTAATTGCAGGATGAAACCTACTAGGTAGATCAAAAGGTCATGATTAAACATTGTTTGGAAGTATATTTCTTACATCCTTCTACACAGGTACACAATGCTTCATTGGACTGAAAAAAAAAAGCATACTCCTTTCATGTCATAACAAACAAGGTGGAAGGTAAATATGAACACTCCGGCTGATTACATCGATGCGGGTAAAATATCAAAAAACCCAAGAACCGAACTGAATGAAGGTCTAAACTTGCGCAATCTACTAGCTCACTTCTTCAGGCTTCAAAAACCTGCAGGAAACAATAATGATCTCATCCTGTAAGATTCTGAAGTTACAAACCAGTCTCAGCATGATTCAACTCTTCGAACTTTCTAGCTAAAACCCGTGAATCATCATTTCAGTGACAACAGAAATCTGCTACAGCAAGTCCCTCAGTGTGGTTCTAACAGCAGCAGCAGCAGCAGCAGAAGCAGAGGATTTCTTCTGATCATCCTGAAACCATCATCATCAAGTAATAAAAATCAGTTTTAAGGTTGAAAATCTTACAAAATCACATAACAAAAATGTTACAGAGAATCAGACAACACTACATTTTCATGTAAATTCTTCATCAAAATTCACAAACCTGAAAACCAACATCTATTATTTCATTATCAGCAGCCTGATGATCAAGTGGCCTCCCTTTGTCATCATACAAGATGAGCCCACTAAACCTTGGGAATTCACATCTTCCACCCATCAATATAGGCTTCTGCCACACTGCAGAACAAGAATTATGACTGAATCTCCCCACATTGTCTTTCACAACCAACAATGGTGAAGCTCTTTCTCTTTGACTCTGACTCCCATTCCCACTGATCCTTCTTCTTTCTTCCCATTTGCCCGTCATCCCGCTCCACCTAACTGAATTCATCATCAACTTCTTCATAGAATCCCAATTCTTGGAGGGTTTTTGATCAGGACAATCTGATTCATTTCTGGCTTCATCATTTTCGCAGGGTTCTTGATGAACAGCTCCTTTGCTCTTTGCCCTTCTCCTGAGAACCATAAAAATGCATATTCCAATGACTAGAAAAGCACTGAATCCCAAGAATGCAGCAGCTTCATAAGTTGATAACTTCCACTTATCTTCAATACTCCAAAGAGCGTCCATTGATTTTGTTGGTGTTTGGAATGATCAAATCAGATTGTGTTTTTGCTGTTTTTGCTGTTTTGGATGATATGAAACTGAGGGGAAAAAGAAAAGTATACGTTGTGTTTTCTAAATAATAATACTCTAGTATTTGTGAAGGATCCTTGTGAATTCACCGACAGTTGGGCTTGGGCCGGGGGGGTAGCTACTTCGCGGGCCACAGAATGGGATTATTTGACTAATTAGTAGCCGTTATTTCAATTACTCCACACCGTTGAATAGCGGTTTTATTAATTTTCACGAGATTCTTGTTCCTAGAATTTAAGGACAACGAAAATTTTCATTCTTCAAAAACTTTTGTTTTTCATTCTTTTGCTGCTGAATTCTGAGAGTTTTTCTTTTGAAAGTATAAGAAATATAGAAGGCTTCAAGCGTCGATTAGCAAAACTTAGCGAAATATATAATGCTAGACTTGTTATGTGTTGGGGGTTATAAGTTGACAATAACGTTTTTGTATTTCTTTTTTTTAAATATATTTGAGTATTTAATGCTCCACAAATCATTTCTTCACTGGAAGAACAAGTTTTGTTAGGCTGGCCGTTCCCCTCAATTGGGCCAGCAACAATAAGAAATAAAACCAAGTCAAGTTGGCTTTGGTTTTGGCTTGACCGAGGGAAACAAAAACCATTTACAAATTGGTTTTGTTTTTTTCATGCTTATGAAAGCAAGGCTTCCGTAGAAGCTTTGGTGTTTTTCAGCGAGAGAAAAACAAGCAGCAACCGCGCAAATCTTTTGTGCGCGAGGGAGAAAAGAGAGAAAAAGCTAGTTCGGGGTTTTTGGTGTTGTGAGAAAAAAGTGTTTCACTTTAAGGCTTTGATCGGGTGACGAAACAGAGTCAGTTGTTGGTGCAAGTTTGCATGTGTATTCCTCTCAACAAGATCTACAATTCCTCTGGTTTAGTTTTCGGTTTAACTCTCTTTTGGTGAAATCCTTCCAGTCCTACTTTCTGATAGGCGTGTGTGGAAGAGTATTATTGTAATCCACCTTTGGGTGAAGTCCTGTGTATCCACCGGCTGGTGAAGACTGTTTCCCATTATTGTGATAGTGGAGATTTGACTGTTGTTACAGTCCCGTGATTTTTCCCAATTTGGGTTTTTCACGTAAATTCGTGTGTCTACTTTACTTTATCAGTTCTTGAATTATTTACTTGTTTGGTTGTCCTATTTTATTGGTAGTAGGAAAGGAGATTTTCTTGGGGTTCGCTTCCGTAGTGTGTTGTATTTATGCCCTTTCAGCCATAACAGTGGCATCAGAGCTACGGTTCGGTAATTGAGGTATTACACCAATAAAATGGAAGAGTCATCGTATACTGGTACGATGATTAAATTGACTTCATCTAATTATCATATGTGGAAGCATAGAATGGAAGATTTGTTGTATTGAAAAGATTTATTTGATCTTGTTATAGGGGATGAAGGTAGGCCAAGTGATATGACTGATAAAAAGTGGGCTGATATGCACAGGAAAATTGTTGGTAATATTCGACAGTGGATTGATCAAAGTGTGTTTCATCACTTAACGGTAGAAACAAAAGCTGATGAACTTTGGAGAAAATCCAGAATATGTACTGAAATAGATTACCAGGTTGAGGTAAAGATGGTGCTAGCATAAATGAGAACTTGAGTTTGTTTCAGGGTTTGTTGAATCAGGCAGTGAATGTAGGTTTAAAGTTGGATGATGAGGTGCAGGCTTTGTTATTGTTTAGTTCTCTTCCAGACAGTTGGGACACTTTGGTAGTGTCAATCAGTAATTCAACCCAAGATGGTGTCCTTGACCTTGGATCAAGTCAAAGAGGCTTTGATGAATGAAAAAGTCAGAAGAAAAGAGCAGAGTATTGAATCTGAGTCGCAGGCTCTGGTGACAGAAAAATCAGATAGAAGAGAGAGAAGTAAAAGCAGCGGGCCATGTGATCGGAATGACAAGTTCAGAGGATGGTCTAAATCCAAGAAAGATGTCGTGTGCTACCATTGTCAAGGGAATGGGCAATTTAAGAGGGAGTGCAAGGTTCTCAAGAGAGAACTAGCAACGAGAAAAGATAAAGGCAAGAAGGATGAATCAAGTGATGATGACACTACTGTAGTAGTAACTACCAGTGATGTATTTGTATACTGTGATGATGATACAATTAATGTTGCGAGTTACGACAGTGATTGGTTCGGTGATTCAGGTGCATATTATCATGTGATGCCTCACATACACTTCTTTACCTCTTACACACCTGGAGATTTTGGTCTTGTAAGAATGGGCAATCAAGCCTCATGCGATGTTGTCGGCATTGGAGAGGTATTATTGGTAACAAATACAGGTTGTACTCTTGTCTTGAAGAATGTCGGACATATTCCGGATATGCGTCTGAACCTTATTTCAGTTGGAAAACTTGATGATGAGGGTTATCATAGCACTGAAGGTGGTAGCCGTTGGACAATTACCAGAGGGAATCTTGTTATTGCTAGAGAAAAGAAGTTGAACTCTTTGTATGTGTTGAATGCAAAGTTGAAGAATGGAGAGGTGAATGCAACTCACAATGCCTCCATTAATCTCAAGCACAGAAGGCTTGGACACATTAGTGTCAAGGGGCTCCAGATTCTTAGTAAGAAGCAATTTCTCCCTGAGGTGAAAGGTACTGCTCTAGAATCTTGTGTTGACTGTATCTATGGTAAACAACATAGGGTTTCCTTTCAAAATTCTCCTCAATCTAGAAAGTCCAGTCCTCTAGAGTTAGTTCATACAGATGTATATGTTACATGAAAGATAGGTCGTTGGGTGGAGCATTGTACTTTGTTACTTTCATTGATGACTATGCTCGAAAGGTTTGGTGTTTTTCTTTGAAATCTAAAGATCAGGTATGAGATGTGTTCAAAGACTTTCACCTAAGAGTTAAACGAGAGACTACCAAGAAGTTGAAGTGTGTTTGAGCAGATAATGGTGGTGAGTACAGGGGTCCGTTTGAGAAGTATTGCCGAGACCATGGCATTAAACTTCAGAAGAGTTTTCAGAAGACTCCGCAGCAGAATGGCGTGGCAGAAAGAATGAACAGAACTATAACCGAAAATGTTAGGTGTATGCTCTTGAATGCAAAGCTGCCTAAATCTTTTTGGGGTGAAGCCATACAGACAGCAGTTGATTTGATCAACCTATCTCTCTCAGTTCCGTTGGATGGTGATCTACCACAACGAGTTTGGATAGGGAAAGATGTCTCATTTGGACATTTGCGAGTTTTTGGTTGTCGTGCCTTTGTTCATATTCCCAAAGACGATAGGTCGAAGCTTGATGAAAAATCCAAGCAGTGTATATTCTTGGGGTATGGCAATGATGATTTTGGTACAGACTTTGGGATCCTGTAGAGAAGAAAGTTTTCGAGAGCAGAGATGTGATCTTCTTTGAAGACGAGACCATTGATGATATGGGAAAGGGCGAGATGCCAGAATCTTCACCTGAGATTCCTATTTATCTAGATCTAGTTCCTCCACAATCAGATGATTCTCCTGAAGGGGGAGCTGAGACAGAGCATGATGGTGAGTTTGATGATGATCCTGCTACTGAAACAGAGACACCACCGGTTTCATCAACTCCTGTTCAGCCTAGGAAGTCCACCAGAGACAAGAGACCTTCCACCAGGTACAGTGCTCATGAATATTTGTTTCTTACTGACAGGGGAGAGCTAGAGCCGTATGAAGAGGTTCTTAGTCATGAGCAGAAAGATCAGTGGTTAGCAGCCATGCAAGATAAGATCAAATCCTTGCATGAGAATAACACGTATGACCTGGTGAAGCTGCCTAAGGGCAAGAGAGCACTCAAGAATAAATGGGTGTTCAGACTGAAAACAAGTGAGAACAGCTCACAACCGAGGTACAAAGCTAGATTAGTTGTGAAGGGATTCAATCAGAGAAAGGGCGTAGACTTTGATGAGATATTCTCTCTTGTTCTAAAGATGTCTTCGATCCAAGTTGTGCTTGGGATAGCGGCCAGTTTGAATCTTGAGATTGAATAGCTTGATGTGAAGATAGCCTTCTTGCAAGGTGATTTGGAAGAAGAGATTTACATGGAGCAACCAGATGGGTTCCAGGAGAAGGGGAAGAAAAGCTTGTATATCGTCTCAACAAAAGATTGTATGGGTTGAAGCAAGCTCCGAGGCAGTGGTACAAGAAGTTTGATGCTTTTATGATAGGGCGATGATACCAAAAGACACAGCTGATCACTGTGTATTTTTGAAGAAATTCTTTGATGGCGATTTTATAATTCTTTTGTTTTATGTCGATGACATGTTGATTGTTGGTCATGATACTGCAAAGATTGCCAGATTGAAAAAGGAGTTGAATAAGTCCTTTGCGATGAAGGATTTGGGTCCGGCTAGACAGATCCTTGGGATGAAGATTTCTCGTGACAGATAGAATGGGAAGCTTTGGGTATCTCAAGAGAACTCGACTCCACTTACGGGGCATTTTAAGCTAAGCAAAACGATGTATCCTAAAAGTGGGAAAGATAAGAAAGAGATGAAAAAGATTCCTTATGCTTCGGCAGTTGGCAGCCTGATGTATGTGATGGTTTGCACAAGGCCAGACGTAGCTCATGCAGTTGGTGTTGTTAGTTGGTTTCTCTCCAATCCTGGTAAGGAGCATTGGAATGCTGTGAAATGGATTCGCAAGTATCTTAGGGGTACTTCCAGATTGAGTCTTTGCTTTGGCAATGGGAAGACCATGTTAGATGGATATACAGATGCTGACATGGCGGTTGACCTTGATGGTCGGAAGTCTACTTCTGGTTACTTGATGACTTATGGAGGGGGAGCAGTTTCATGGCAGAGTAGGTTGCAGAAGTGTGTTGCTTTTTCTACTACAGAGGTAGAGTTTATCGCATCTACTGAATCTTGTAAAGAAGCACTTTGGTTGCAGAAGTTTCTACAAGAGCTTGGCATGAAGCAAGAGAGGTATGTGGTGTATTGTGATAGCCAGAGCGCTATTCACTTGGCGAAAAATTCCACATTCCATTCGCGGTCTAAACATATTGATGTGAGATATCATTGGATTCGGGATGTGTTGGAGTCCAAGGCGTTGTTTCTTGAGAAGATTCATACGGATGACAACGGTGCCGATATGTTGACGAAAACTATGAGTAGAGACAAGTTCCTGTTTTGCAGACAGGAAGCGGGTTTGGTTTTACCCCCCAATTGAGGTGAAAGGGGAGATTGTTGAGCTGGCCGTTCCCCTCAATTGGGCCAGCAACAACAGGAAATAAAACCAAGCCAAGTTGGCTTTAGTTTTGGCTTGACCGAGGAAAACAAAAACCATTTACAAATTAGTTTTGTTTTTTTCATGCTTATAAAAGCAAGGCTTCCGTAGAAGCTTTGGTGTTTTTTCAGCCGAGAGAAAAAACAAGCAACAATCGCGCAAATCTTTTGTGCGCGAGGGAGAAAAGAGAGAAAAAGCTAGTTCGGGGTTTTTGGTGTTGTGAGAAGAAAGTGTTTCACTTTAAGGTTTTAATCGGGTGACGAAACAAAGTCAGTTGTTGGTCCAAGTTTGCATGTGTATTCCTCTCAACAAGATCTACAATTTCTCTGGTTTAGTTTTCGGTTTAACTCTCTTTTGGTGAGATCCTTTCAATCCTACTTTCTGATAGGCGTATGTGGAAGAGTATTATTGTAATCCACCTTTGGGTGAAGTCTTGTGTATCAATCGGTTGGTGAAGACCTATTTCCCATTATTGTGATAGTGGAGATTTGACTGTTGGTACAATCCTGTGGTTTTTTCCAATTTGAGTTTTTCACGTAAATTTGTGTGTCAACTTTACTTTATCAGTTCTTGAATTATTTGCTTGTTTGGTTGTCCTATTTTATTAGTAGTAGGAAAGGAGTTTTTCTTTGGGTTCGCTTCCGTAATGTGTTGTGTTTATGCCCTTTCCGTCACAAAAGAAGTTTGTAGATATATAAAGGTTTTCATCTCGTCAATTGATCAAAACAAGTATTTATTGCGATGTGTTTAGTCTCTTGAGACTTACAATTCTTCATGTCCAATACATTACAATTGTTTCTCAATTGCATTATGAGCTCATTAGTTTATCCGTCATTTTCAACTTCGATTTATTACTAGTATAAGTTTATGTATATTTTTTCTTTTCCATTTTGAGAAAGTTCTTTAACTTTCAGGATTGATAATTTCTGTTTTTTATTTTTTTAACTTCACAATATGTAAGCTTGAAATCAGATATTCAATTTACACAATCTCTCATTGTTAGTGTCCTCCTCAATCATTTTACAAAGAAGAATTCAGAGTATTACGACAGGATTTGTTGGTAGAATTATGTGAGAGACATTCATAAAATCTTTTTATTGACAAATAGGTTAAAGATTAGGGTTAATGCAAAATAAGGGTGTTACTTTTTCAAGCTACCAACTTTAGTTCATTCAGCCACAAATTTCTAATTTTGACCATTTTACCCTTGTCATTTTTTCAAATTGAATAACTTGACTAGAGAGAAAACTAAAAAAAAAATTGAAAACAAAAAAATAAAAATAAAAAACCGACCAACCGTGCAATGAAACAGTCCTGAGTTAACTCGGGACGGGTGGACCGTCCACCCTCTTGTTTGCTCGAACAAGTTCACTGCCCGTCTCGAGTTAACTCGGGACCTGGTTCGGTCCAATATGGTGAACCGATCCGGTCAGGCCCTTTTTTTTAATTTTTAGATTTTTTGTTATTTTTTTTTGTAATTACAAAATACCAATATTTGTTATTTAAAAAATATAAAAATTAAAATAAATCGCAATCGTATTCATTGCTAATTTTTTAATTTTTTAGATTTTTTGTTTATTTTTTTTGTAATTAAAAAATAGAAATATTTGTTATTTAAAAAAGTCTAAAAATTGAAAAAAAAAATATAGCAATCGGATTCATTGCTATTTTTTTAATTTTCAGATTTTTTGTTATTTTTTTTAATTAAAAAAATAACAATATTTTTTTTTAAAAAAATATAAAAATGGAAAGAAATAGCAGTCGGATTCATTGCTATTTTTTTTAATTTAAAGATTTTTTTTATTTTTGTTAATTTTTTTTGTAATTAAAAAAATAGCAATATTTTTTATTTAAATAAGTCTAAAAATTAAAAAAATAGCAATTGAATTCATTGCTATTTTTTTAATTTTTTTAATTTTTTGTTTTTTTTTTGTAATGAGTTAATCTAGTTTTTAGGTCATTAAAATATTTATTCATTAAATTTATGAATAATTTATTATTTGAGTTATATTAAGTATCACCGATCTTTGTAGTACAAAAAATAGTTTAGCTGTTTGCACAAATTTTTCACAATCTTTGTAGTACAATTATTATTTTTGATTATAAATATATAATTATTATTTGTAACTAAAAATTATCTTAAAAAATAACGATTGAAGCAAAATTTTATATTTTAGTGTCAATTCAAATAAATTAACTTAACGAATAATCTTAAATTTGTTTTCAAGTAACAACTAATTACTTATTTATGTTTAAGTAAATATAAAGTTGAGAGTTTAAGCACTAAAGTATAAATATTGTTAATAATATTTAAAGTACGAGATATTCAACATGCAGTGATCTGTGAATAAACTAGCATTAAAATAAGAATTAATAATTTGTCCGTTCTCACATGAATCGGATCGGATGACTTGTCTGGTTCGGTCCGAGTGGCTTATTCCCCCCCTCTCTCTCTCTCTCTCTCTCTCTTCCCTCTTTCCCCTTCTCTCTCCTTCAATTTGGTTTGATAAAATGGCAGGGACAAAATGATCAAAATTAAAAATTAGTGGCTGAAAGAACTAAAGATTGTGGCTGGAAAAAAACCTCCCCCAAAATAATAGTAGCAGCTATCACGCGTATCATTTTTCTCATACTACCATGTTACCCTCTTTGCAATTTAAATAGGGGTATTACACAAGAACCCCCTCATGCTTTCTTAAACTGCACAAGAACCCCCCTATGGTTTAGAAAGTACACAATAACCCCCTTGTGCTTTTTCAAAATGTGTTAATCAGATAAAAATGAATAAAACAAACAGACATCTAACATATCCAATTGAAATTACTAATGCACCCTCGATTCCAAGAAACAAAAAATTTACTTATGCCTAGATTAAACATTTCCTTTTCAATCTTTTATTCTTTTATAAAAGTAATTATTTTACTATTCTCTTTCTTTTTATTTCCAATAACTTTAATTCTAAAGAAATAATTTACAATCACTTTAATTTTAAAAAAATAATTATTTCCTTTCCTCAATTAAATGTAATATTATTCTTATATTTAATTCCCAATTTTTCTTCAAATTAAAAGGCTATCACCATCATCATGACACCACTACTCATTTGCACTTTTTCTCAATTTTACTAGCACCAAATTATATTTTTTTTATTGTTTAATTAAAAAATTAAGTAAAAGAATCAGAGATATAGAAATATGTGAAACCCTAATTCCTTGTTAGTTCTTGATCCTGGGGCACAAACTTTCCCCACTTCCAATCAACCCAACCCATCAAAATTAACTTCCACGGTGAACCACCCCCACAAAGTTCTAAACATCAAAAAAAAAAAAAAATACTAAAAATTAAATCCAATATTTTTTTGATTGTTGCAATCAATCGGAGAAAAAAAGACGGAAAAGAAATCGGTGCAGCGAAGGAATAGAATGGATGTCGGTGTCCGGTGGTGAGAACTCGAGTGGCAGCGAATAATTGGGAACACCAGTCACCAGGGTTAATAAAATGACGGAGGCTGAAGAATTGGGACGAAATAATTAAAAAAAAAAAACAAGGCAAAGATTGATTAGAGAAGGGAGATGAGAAGATAAGAGATGGATAAAAGGGGGAGATTAGTACAAAGGAAAGAAGAGGGGAGGAAGCAAATAGCGACGGATCTGAGTTCAATTCATGTTTAAATACAATAAAAACATATAAGGTATTTCTGGAAAAATTAAATTCTCCAAATGTGTTCACTTTATTTTACTATCAGTTAACACTAATCTACCGTTAAGATGAGTACTTCCCATACAATTAACATATTTTGGGAAAAGTACGAGGGGGTTCTTGTGTACTTTTTAAACTATAGGGGGTTTATCGTGCGGTTTCAAAAAGCACGAGGGGTTCTTGTGTGTTACCCCATTTAAATAATAAAAATATTATCATATAGGTACGAAAAAAATCTAAGAATTGGTCGAAAAGTAAGGGGTCGAAATCTCGTTAAAAGTAAACAATAGGAGTTCCCTCGTAATTTTGACAAAGAATGATCGGCTTCTCACGCCTAGGCTGTAAACTTTTTTGTTTCTCCGCGAATTGTTCGATCTAATTCTTGCTGGCTAATCTAAAACCCAGAGAATCACAGTTTGGGGGTTTTGGGTTTTTGGGTTTCACCCGTGACCAGACGTAGGAAGACAGAGAAGATTTCCCGGACCTAGACGTTTTTTTTTTTTTATTCGCAAGGGTTAGTCACTTGTCTCCACTTCATCTCTATTCGGCGACCCTTTTTTCTTTTGTGAGCGTAATTTCTTTTATGAATGTAATTTGCGTTAAATTTGTCTGTTTCAAGATTTAATTTTGATGCTGTTGATCATCATTAGCCTAGTATTGTGCTGTTTTTTTTTTTTTTTTTTGTATTTCCTTTACTGGAAGGATTTCTGTTTGTTTATCTTTTTTTTTTGCAGCATTGAATGTTTTCCTGTTTGCTGGATTCTTTATAAGTATCCCGTATAATTTCTCCAATCGATGATTGGGTAGGCTTTATATCGTTTCCAATGATGATGGGTCTTTATCTTTTTGGTGATAAATCTACAGTGATAGGAATGAAGGGATAAAATTTTAATGATATCAAGCTTTTTTTTCATCCCTTGACTTAACCCAAACGATTCCAATGATTCATCTGATGTTCTTAGAAGTTCATACTCAGACCAGATTAACTATTTGGAGGTTTAAGTGCTTAGTTTGCTTCCCATTTACATCTTGATCAGCTTATGTTTCTGTATCAGGGGTCTTGGTAGTCATCCGTTCTGGAAATTCAGTATTCCAGGAGAAGCAATCAGATATGTCTGGAAGAAATCGTGGGCCTCCAATGCCAATGAAAGGTATGCCACATGCCGGTATGCCTCGACCAGTTCATGAACCTGCTCCGTTCCCCCGTGGCCTTGGGCCACTTGTGCATCATCCTGCACTGCTAGATGATATGAGAGAACCACATATGGGGATTGGTGGCCCTAGACAACTTCCGCCGCACCCTGCTATTATCGAGGAGCAATTGGCTGCCCAACACGATGACATTCAAGGGCTACTTATTGACAATCAGAGATTGGCTGCAACACATGTGGCACTCAAGCAGGAATTGGAAGTTGTGCAGTTTGAGCTTCAGAGGACACATAAGTATGCAGGTGCATTGCATGCAGAGAAAGATGCACAACTACGAGAACTTCATGAGAAGTCCGTCAAAATGCAAGCGGATCTTCAAGGAGCGGATGCAATGAGGTCTGAGCTTATGCAGGTTCATACCGATGTAAATGAGTTAAGAACTGCAAGACAAGAACTTACCTCCAGGGCTCAGCTGATGACCGAAGATTTGGCCAGAATGACTGCGGAGTTGCAACAAGTTCCAGCGATTAGGGCAGAGATTGATGGTCTGAAACAGGAACTAATACGTGTTAGGTGAGAATGTAGCATTTATTTGCCGTATATAGGTTCTGGAGTTTGAATGCTTAATTTAGCCACTGGTTCACAGGTCTGCCATTGAATATGAGAAAAAGGGGTATGCTGAAAACTTTGAGCATGGTCAGGTTATGGAGAAGAAGTTGGTATCAATGGCAAGGGAGTTGGAGAAACTTCGTGCCGAAGTGGCCAATGCACAAAAGAGATCTCATGCTAGTGCTGCAATGGTGAATCAAGGTACTATTAGTATCACAATTTTATTAATGCTTCTCAATATTTATTGTGTAAAATTGATGATGCAAATATTTTTTTTTTAATCTTTAAGGATGGATGCCTTAAATCTCCACTTTAAAGAAATACTCAGGTTTTTAGATCCCTCTTGATGAAGGATAGATTTTAATAACATAATGTTTGATGGGTTAGCTGTAAGCTTTTGCAGGTACTGGTTATAACGCAAACTATGTGAATCCAGAAGCTGGCTACCCAGTAAATCCTTATCCACCTAATTATGGAATTGATCCTCCAAATTCCATGCATCATGTAAGTGTCACGAATACTTTATAATAATGTTACCTAGGCTGGATTCGCTTTTAAAGAGAACTCCATTCCTTTGACGAGCTTCTTGAGACTAGTATGCTGCCCTTAGTTCTTGATGTTCTTTTTATCAGATGCAAACTGGCATGGAAGGTTATCCTCAGTATGGACCTGGACCTGGTGCTTGGGGTACTTATGACGTTCAACGATCTCAGGGACCCAGATAAACTATTCTAAGCTAGATTCTCGGCTTGTTTCCTGTGTTTATCTGGTACTGCGAATAGGATCTGAGATTTCTTACCCTGTTGTGTCATGATATTAAACTTAAAATATCGATGTGGAGATCTATACTCCAGATATTAAAGTCGATATTGTCCATTATTTTGTAGCTATCTTTTGGAAGGAAATGCCTCTTATTGCTTTGTGCTCCTACTTTTATGCATCTTATTTAAGTATTCATAAGTTCTGTCGATTTCAGTATGCTTTATATTTCTCAGTTCCTGGAGAAGAGGTGTACCTTATCGAAAGATGGGTACATCTTCAGTTTGCTAATCTTCCTTACGTCGTTCATTGCTGGGACTAGAAGCAATTTAACTAGTTTAGGTGCCAAGTGTAAAACAATTGAACTTAATATACCAGTTAGGTCGGGAAGGGGTATTTTTGGGTTGTGAGCATCTAAACTGTTGGGTGATCTTGTAATTGATTTTGTAGATCTCATTATAGTTCTCCACATTATTTCGGGTGATGATTTTGGGTGAATGCTTCTGCTCTGAATTAGCATAAATACCATTTGTTTAAAATTTTCGGGGTCCATATGTCATGGTTCTTAGTTTTTGATGATACGGTGCAGCATGTTAACATTTTATGCTGTTAGCTTGTGGACACCATCCTCTTGAACTTGTAAAGATTCTGTTTGGTATTGTGGCCAAATTTAAATTAACCTGAATATAAGTGGTTTAAGATACTGAGGAACTGAATATACAAAGAAGATGCTGAAGGATTTTTTTTTGAACTTTTTCATTAGGATTCGAGAATTGTCTTTCTCTTACAGCTGCTTCCTTGTTGCATGTATCCTATCTCCGGAAGTTCTTGATTTATCTCATGGGCAGATACTAAGCGTATATTCTTCCCATGTTTTGTATAAGGTTCCTCTTAACAAAATGTGGTTTTTGCTTAGTAGAAGGGTGAGATTGCCCTTTGCCCATCTGGAAACATGAGAGTAAAAGTTAGGTTAGGATAGGCAGGTGGCACCTAGAAGTTATCAGATGGTACCCGATGATTATTTCCTCCATATTTCCGATGACTTTGCTGCAAACATGGTGAAACACCATGTCTGACGAAAGGACTCCACTGACCCAGCCAAACTGTTAGCAAAACTGCTATATGACCAGGCATACAGTCAAACGTTTATTTGTAATTTGGTACTATTGAGCCAGAGTACGGTGGAGCACTGGGGAAGGGTCGGGAGGGGGATATACAGTGAATAAGTGGTGGGATATGTTTGCCATCTTTGTTATATTTGCTCCTGGTGGAGTTCTGTTTAACTCCAGACAGAAATGTGTATCATAATGCCTCCTTTAGTGGGTTCATAGAATATTCTGAACAGTTCGAAGACTTTTTTGGCATTGGATGTGCAAGATGGGTTCTCGTCAAGTAAGTAATGACATGGCTTTGAGAACATCATGTTCAGTTCTTGGTGTTGGCTGTACTTTTTGAGTGTTTCTCTTCCTTCGAAGTTGTTCTATTCTCTGTCTTCAGTTTAGAAACTCTTTCTGAGATCATGGTGTTCCCAGCAATCCATGCGCTTAAGGTTCTAATCTTGGTAAGGAGTTATTTATGCTGTGGAACTTAAGCCTTCCGGTGTCCTTTTGATTTATTTTATTTCTGATAATAGGTTCTTGACCGACCTTCAACTCTAGAGGCTTCTCCCTAATATTTGTAGCTTATGATGGCCTTTATTCTTCTAGTTATTATTTTGAGGTTTATGTAGATGAGGACAGCAACGGTTGCTTCTAGTGTAGGCAATTGTTGATTAGTTCTTCCTATGTATTCTGAATGTTGAACTGTAGCTTTAGCCTTGCTAAAGCAGCTATGTGAAACCAACCATTTTGAAAGCTTAGAGTTTTAGAGTGTCGTCCACTCGCAGCTAGATATGCTATATAGTTTCAAGGACTCTCAGCTAGTTATCCTATGTGCATAGAGATTTTCATTAGTTTTTAAATCAACATTGCAGCCAGTGGTTAATATTTGGGAGCCCATATCTCATTACCAGAGTCAGCTACGTTGTTACGTCAATCAATTGTTATATTGGGGGTCAGTACTACCCGTTTGCATGATTTCATGTAGGAACTTTAAGGACTGATTCCTTAGAAGGATCTATTGTTGTTTGCTTTTGTCTTAGTGTTTAAATATCAGTCAGCTAGATGTAACCTTCTGTTAAATAATAATGTTCTTAGGTGAGGCTAGAAGCCTGGAAGTATCACTGATTTAATTGGGAAAAGGTCCAGGTACTAGTTGCCGTTTTCAGATGTTAGGACCTGTTACTGTTCTCATGAGACTTGACTAGAGTGTTGCAAGTCTGGTTTTACTTTCCCTTTTTGTTTTTTTAATTGCACTAGACAAATAACATATGACATTTAGTACCTTCCCTGGTATTAGTAGCTTTTGGAGAGGTTTTCATATATACTTCTTTGATAGGCAAAGCTTAATTAATTAATGCTATTTATAACATCCATACTTGATAACTTTCTGAAGCCTTTTTTGTTGTCTTCTATTGTTGTTGCATTTCTGCAGATCTTTCTACTTGCTGACATGCTTGATTCTTTTTTTCCATCTCAAAAGGTGAATCTGGCCTCCTAGGTATCGAGTAAGAAGCTTGGAAGTTGGATGTATGGATTGCTTGCTAGATCCTGGAGTTATTTTATATGGCCGTTGAGTTTTCAACTGCTTTCGTCTGCAACTTGACCATCACAAAAGGTACTGATTCCATTGTTGCATGGTTAAGATAACCTTGCCTCATGATCTCATGTATAAGTAAGATAAGACAGTAACATTGTTTCATGGTGTATAAGGACAATACAATCTGTTTACCCTCTAATCTTTTACCTCATACACAGTCAGCTAGGAGACTTGAGTATCCCTAAGAGAAGAAAGCATGGGATCAGTTAATCTTGCGAAGATGTCTATGCACCTTTGGCTTTGCTGGGAACGGATATTTTATCAGCTTGTTCATTGCTGAAGATCACCGACCTGAGCCTGTATGAAGTTATTATAGTTGCTGACCTTTCAAAGACCGTGCACTTTTGGAAAGAAGGAAACAAACAGTTCAACTTGTTTGTCGGTTCAATTACCGAGTGAGCATGCAATCGGCAATCGCGACACCATTCTATGTTTAGATGGTAGCCATATACTCTATTGTCAATAAAGTATGCAGCTCGTTTTCTGAAATGGAGTTATGATTGTCTCATATGACAAATGGCTGTAAATAATGGTTTTCATAGCAACTGATGGAAAGCAACAAGCACCAGCAAAGTGCAGAGTCCAGTATGGTTATGACCGGCTAGTTGAGAGACTTAAAAAATGAACTATAGCATCTGGTGAATTAGGAGCTAGAGCTCGTGTACTTTTTCTCATGCGCCTACTCCAGTGATGTACAGGAACAGATTACAGTGTTGGATGAGAAGATTATCTAATATATTGCAGCTGGACAAGAGAAGGATTCCATGTCCGGAAATTTAGCAGACAGTTTTTTACTGTATATGTGTGCCACATCTGAGAGGAAAGACATGGTAGGATTCTTGCTCCCGAAGGAAGGGATTGAACATTGTGACTGAAAGGGGAAGTAAGTGGAAGGGGTTACAAGCTTGATGCACCAGGAAACTGACAAATGCAGTGGCAAATGTTTAGAGTGGCTAGTGTAAATTTTTAGAGAGGTAAAGAATGATTAGGCTGTGGGGATAAACCTTGAAGGCCCCAAATTGTACTGAACCATGTTGAAGTTGATCCATATATACCATTTTACCTCACCACTTATTTTGTGATTGTTACATGTTTGCTCTCTCCTTTCTATGCAATGATCGTTAGAGAACGGTAAAGAGTTATATATATATAATTTCTACTAAGATCTCAGATCAGATCCACAGCTATTCTTTATATCAAAACCAGCTAATCTAGCTTGCATATCATTTGTCACTAATCCTGCGAAGGCGGATCAAAACTGTCTGTGCTGGAAAGTGGAATTCAGAAATAGAAAGAAAACTCCCTCCACAAAGAAAATAATTTCACACGTGGCCTTTTGGTTTATTGTTTTTTCTTTTTCTTTTAATTTGATGCCACTCTCCGCAGCTTCTGAACTTGTGTTTGTTTAGTCAGCAAGAAAAAATTGAGGGTTGAGAATCTTGATTTCATCAGATACAAAATCCAGAAGACCAAAACCCAAATTGTAGGAGGGAAAAAGATGCAGTCTTCCATCTCCCTAACCCATGGAAGTGCAAGAACCTACTGTCCCAACAGGTTTAGCAGAAATCCCAGAACTGTCAATGAAATCACAAGTCCAATTTTCCGACCAGACACTTCAGCTCATTTACCCGCACTCAAACTCCTCAGTAAGCTCCAATACGAGTCTGAATTCAGAAAACCCATCTCATTAGTCCCATTGAAAACCAAAAGTTCGAATCTTTGCTCTATTTCATCAAGCAATGCCACAAGTCCTGATGAAAGCAGTATTGACAGCACGAGGAGTACTACTAATAAGAGTTGGATTGAAATTGCTGGGGAAGCATTTTCGACTGCTTTTCCGTTGTGGGTGGCTATAGGGTGCTTGTTGGGGCTGCTAAAGCCGAGTTCTTATAATTGGGTAAAACCCCAATGGACAGTTATGGGGATCACTCTAACCATGCTTGGGATGGGAATGACTCTTACCTTTGATGACCTTAAAGGCGCTTTGGCTATGCCCAAGGAACTGTTTACTGGATTCGTGCTTCAGTATTCGGTCTGTGCCTAATTCCTGGTTTTCTTTCTTCTTTGCTTTCCAAGTTGGGATTGTTTCTTACTTTAAATGTGCTCTGTTGTTTCGTGCTTGATCGACTGTTAAAATGTTACAAAAGCTTGAATTTTTTTTCCTTTTTTTTTTTTTTGTCTTTTTTCTTGTTAATGCTTTGTTGTGCACTTATGATGTAGTGATAACACCAGATTAACTGGCTGAAGTTGGACTAACGCATTCCATAATTGGAATTAGGAACTAAGACCTGGTTCAGATAGAAGCTTGACCAGAATTTTTGATAGGAAGACCACTGAATCGGATAGTAAAATCCCAAACCAGTTTGCTTGAATGATTGCACTTAATGGTTTGTTTCCTGAAAAGGAGTGAGCACCTTCTAAGTACCTTGGATGGATATGGTTTCCTGGAACTTTTGAGTTTTGATACAAGCTCATTTCATGCTTTTGGAAGTCTTTCTTTCCTTCCGTCTCTTGAACTGGACACGGCGAAACTTTATCATTTAGCATACATATGATGCTCTGTGGATTAACATATTCTATTGAGGCTACCCTTTTCTGTTGACTGCTCAGTTTTACTATTCGGTTTATCCTTTAATATACATATGCTATGGATTCAAATATTAAACTTAGGCTCCTTTAGCTGTTGACCGGTCAATAGATTCATTCATTCAACACCTGCTACTGGGATTTAGCCGTGTCATTTGCTAAATGTCTTTTCTCATGGTGAATTCAAATCTCGTGTTTTGCTTTATTGAAAATAAACGCTTGGCTAGTTGGATGGAGCTGTATCATCTTGGGATCAAGTTAAGCACCTGGGCTTTTCTTGCAGGTAATGCCATTATCAGCATATTTTGTCAGCAAGCTATTATGCTTGCCATCCCATTATGCAGCCGGGTTGATATTGGTTGGCTGTTGCCCTGGAGGTACGTGCATTCTCGTTTGTGGAGTACCAGTTAATATGGCTGTTTCTTCCCTGCCCCTTGATATTTTTACGATGAGGTTCTCTTGTGAATTGGTTTTTAGGAACTGCAAGCAATATTGTCACTTATATCGCTAGGTACGTCAAATTGTAAAATAGTACATTCGAGAGCTTTCTGGTTTCACATGAGTTGGTCACAATTTTTTTTATTGAAAATATTATGTCGCAGAGGAAACGTGGCTCTTTCGGTGTTGATGACTGCTGCCAGCACCCTAACTGCCGTGGTTGGTAACTTGTCTCACAATGTCATCATAGTTTCTTTCGCTTTTCAAGCTGAATTTCTGTACAAATTAGATGTTTTATTCCTAGTCAGCTGAAAGAATATCAACCAAGAAATATGTTCCCACTGCTCCCCAAACCCTCCGTCTCCTCCCATCGGCACATTTTGATGCAATGAAGATGGAATCTAAAACGATTTTCTTTACCACCTTGTAGGAAAGTTTAGTTTGTAATTTCCATACTGTTCGGTTCCCAGTCAAGTATCATAAACCAAACTAGTTGTGATTTGAATGATTTGTCACAAAGAGTGATGACTACCACATTTGTTGCCTGTAATCTTTTGCCTACTTATGTAGTCTTCTACTGCAGATCATGACCCCTTCTCTTATGCCTGTAATCTTCTACTGCAGATCATGACCCCTTTTCTTACTGCTAAACTCGCGGGCCAATATGTTGCTGTGGATGCAGTTGGACTTTTCTTGTCAACCCTGCAGGTGAGTTTTGTTTTATTGCTAAGAATCATCCAGTTCTTGGTGGTTTTGTTTATCCTGATCATTTTTGTGTCCATGGTTCCACAGGTTGTACTTCTACCGGTTTTGGCTGGCGCGTTTCTTAATCAGTACTTCCAAAGCTTCGTAAAAGTTGTTTCTCCTGTGATGCCACCGATAGCTGTATTGACGGTTGCCATTCTCTGTGGAAATGCAATCGCCCAAAGTTCTTCTACCATCCTTATGTCTGGTCAGCTGGTGGTTTTAGCTACGGTGCTTCTCCATGCATCAGGATTCTGCTTTGGTTATGTCCTTTCGAGGATGCTGGGGGTTGATGTATCTTCATCTAGGACAATCTCAATTGAAGTTGGCATGCAGGTATGTTCTCATGCAAGTTGGACTAATGTTTTCTTTTTAATAAGTAGGGGTACTTTGTGAAATATGCTTTACGTCCATCATACTGTTTAAAAGTTGGAAAAACTTGAGGGCAGTTAAACTGAGATATAGCTGTGGAAGATGACCATGTCGTTATCTTTGTTGCAACCATTATATAAGTTAATATTTGTCGTTCACTTTTGGTGCATCTAATGTTTCAGAATTCGGTGCTTGGAGTAGTTCTCGCCACACAGCACTTTGGGAATCCTCTTACTGCTGTACCGTGTGCAGTTTCCAGTGTATGTCACTCAATAATGGGTAGCAGTTTAGCCGGAATCTGGAGACGTTCTGCCCCCACAGAAAAGCAGAATTAGGTCATTGTCTTCGGTTGATGATAGAAAAGAGGAATTCTTGCGGACCGAATTCTAGGGCTAACCTAGATTTTTTGTCTTGTACTTTCTAGTATGCTTCGTCTGTTATTGCGCCACTCCAGTTGCTACCTGATAGTTGGATCGAGAAGAAGAAGTGTTTAGCATGATTTTTGGGGGCGAGTTTAGGTTCTTATAATGTAACTGGCTGACTTGCTCCTGTCTCAATTCTGTATTTGGAGATTTTACAAATTTATTCTTATATTTTGTCTTTATTATCATATCATGTTACTCCAAGTACGATGAATGAATTTGGTATGTCCACAAAATTTATGCATCAAAATTGGAAGATTTATTCGAACATTACACTCTCACGTCTAGAAAACTGGCTGTATCCATCAGCAGGTGAAATTCATTCGAATCCATTGGTCCAAATAGAATTAGCAAGTAGGATATTGTGGATCGTAGTGTTCAAAGTCCAATTTTCCGACCAGTCGTCACATTCAGTTCATCTCCCCCATCAAATAAACAAAGTGATTGTTGTAGAGTAAAAGGGACTCCTTCACCCTTAATCATAGACCGAGGGTTCGAACCTCGTTATAGACATGGAATAACCTTAAATACTTTGGCTAGTTGTCCCATCCATCGAGTGCCTATAATTCAGCGAGTGGATTAATCATCGTTGCGACGGTGGACACCCTGCAAATATACAAGGAAACAAAAAAAAAATCTCCCTCATCAAATGCATAAAATTTCCGACCAGTTTCATCTAATCAAATGCATAAAGTTGCTCGTTTGGAACAATGGAATTAGTTAAGGCAATAAAAATGACCGTGTCACAATCAATTTCTACCTATGAATTTCCAATGAGTTTGTTTTACATTCTTAACAAGTTAACCCATGGCCAACGTCTAGGTTGAACTAATATGTGAAAACTTCCCAATCTGCATATATGTGTAACCCGGTAAAAACTAAAAACTGTAAAGTCTCAAGTGTCTGACTCATATGAATCAGCTGCATACTAATTTACTGTTAATTTCAACCACCAGTATTTGAAAGATCGCTTTCTAAATTTGTTTTTAAAAAAGGTAAAGTTTTAATTTTAAGACAGAAGACGTATTATTATTATATTAATTTAATGTAGACTAGTTTTTTAGTTTAGAAAAAGTATTATTATTACTAATTTATGTTAATTACATTCCGTTTTTATCATTTTTGTCTTTCGTACTAACTCGAGCTTAATTATTGACATTTTAATGGCCAAAAGCATAATAATCTATCTTATATAATACTACCTCCGTCACAAGAAAAAATAGTCCACATTGAGTTTTGAGTTTTGTACTGTTTTTAGTACAAATTTGAAAACTCAATGTGAACTATTTTTTTAGGACGGATGTAGTACTATTAAGAGAATTTTGTCTTTTAAAAATCACAATAATTAACTCTCAGTTTTTATGAAAGGACAAAAAAAAACATTCAAAATAAATTTTATGTGGCACTCCCAATGTATCAGAAAAAATATCTCTGGGTAGAGAGAGTATGATATATATATATATATATATATATATATATATTTTTTGTAAAGGATAAAAGTTTTGTGCAGCATTTTGTTGAATATGTAAAGTATGAATGGAACACTCTGTACTTATCAAAGGTCTTTTGAACCCTATAATTTTTTTTTCTAAACTGTTGTCATGCCCTTGTTTAAAATAGTATTAGTTTAAAAATAGAAGGGCTTGATTGTAATTCTTGATTAGTTGGTCAGATTATATATAGGAGGTGAAATGTACTCCCTCCGTCCCATAATTATTGTCCACTTTGCCAAAAAAATTTTGTCCCAAAATTATTGTCTAATTTGACTTTTTATAGATCAAGTTACACATTTGTCCTTAGTAAAAAACATTACCCATAAAATTTTAGTGGTTAAACAATTACTTATTTAGGGATATATCCGGTTGTTTAAGTTAAAATATAATTTAGTTTGACCAAAAATAAAATCTTTTATTTTAGTAAAACTGGACAATAATTATGGGACGGAAGGGGTAATAAATAGTATCGAATATTCAGATAATTGAAATCTCTTGACGGTTTTGCCATTTTCCCCTTTTCTTGTTTTTCCGACGTCGTTCAGGCGAAGGATTCTTGCCATTTTGTCACCGGAGAGTCCTGACAACTGTACAGGAGGGAGGAACCAAAAAAAGGAGCCTTATAAAATTCAAACGAAATTTCAAACAAAGAAAGCCCAAAAATTTCACTTAAGAGCCCAACCCGCCATATTCAAAACCTCAAAACACTATTCAATTTTTTTTTTGTTTTTTTCCCTCTCCCGCGTTTTCCTTTCCCACCATATTTTTCACTCTATTTCATTTCAAACTACTTTCAGAATTCAGATCCTAAATCTCAAAAACAAATAAACCCTCTCTGCCCTTCTTCTCCCATCCTCTCAGAATCAAGCAATCCCTCTATTCTTTTCTTTTCTCAGAGACAACCCCTCGAACATCATGGGGAACAAGTTTCATGATTTGCCTCCTTCCAAGAGGTACAAGCTCTTGCAGCAACAAGAAAACCAGAACCCAAATCTCCTCCACCAAGATCAACCCAGTATTTCCTCACCTCCTTCTTGCCTCCCTGCCAAAAAACGCAAAGAGTTCCTCAATTCCCTTCCAATTCTCCCTGATTCGTCCACAACATTCTGTTTGCCTGCCAAGAAGAGAGTCTGGGCCATTCCAGATTTTGATTTGAACATCGAATTCCGAGACCCTTTGGGAGATTCTGAGGAATCTGAGAAGGAATTACGATTACCAAAGGATATCATCCCAGATCTTGCAGATGGCGAGATCGTCAGGGAAGGCGCGAAAATTGAAGGAAAAGAAAGGAATGTTGTAGCTGAGATATTAAGAGAAGAAAGCGAGAATGATGAAGCTAATGAAGAAGAAGATGATGGGATTTTATGCGCCATCTGTGAAAGTACAGATGGAGATCCATCCGACCCGATTGTGTTCTGTGATGGATGTGAATTAATGGTCCATACATCTTGTTATGGCCATCCTTTTACAAAGGGTGTTCCAGATGGTGATTGGTTCTGTGCCCAGTGTTTGGGTTCTAAGAAATTTTCCAAAAATGGCAAGACTAAAGGTGTTGTTACTTGCTGCCTTTGCCCGGTGATTGGCGGTGCGTTGAAGCCGACCACTGAAGATGGCAAGTGGGCTCATGTTGTTTGTGCTTTGTTTGTTCCTGAGGTCTTTTTCCAGGATCCTGAAGGCAGAGAAGGGATTGATCTGACTCAAGTTCCACAGAGGAGATGGAAACATAAATGTTATATTTGCAGATCCAGGAATGGATGTGTCATAGATTGCTCTGAGCCCAAGTGTCCTTTGGCTTTTCATGTGACCTGTGGATTGGATAAAGATCTTTGCATTGAGTATACTGAAGGAAGGAACAAATCAGATATCGTCGCTGGTTTCTGCCGAACTCACACTGATTTGTGGAAGAAGGTAAAAACTCTTTCATTCGTTTTTATGCCCTTTCTATAGCTATGGACATTGTGCTGTGTTATATTTGTTGAGGTTTTGCTAAAAGATGCTGTTTTTTTTTTTTTTCAGCAACAACGAACGGGAAAGTTCAAGATTGTAGCAAGAGACATGCACGAGAAGTAGCGGGATTTATTGGACCATGAAGTGCTTTTTTTTTTTTTTGTTTTCTGTTTTTAAGCTTAGCTTAGAGTTTTTGGAGTTAAGGAATCAGTGTATGATGTTTAGAAATTGATGATATCTCATATACTCAAGTCTGATTTTGTCAGCAGCCGTTTTCTTGATTGGGGGTTATGGCTTTGGTTGGTTGTCTGATGAATCAGAAGCATTAGAGTTAAGTATGCGTTTTGCTTCAAGCTTTTAACTAGGGGCCAAAGGCTTTTTTGCCTTCCTTTGAATTAAATTTTCTCCTTACAGTTGGCTTATATAAGAGAGAATTGATCACGGTTATTTGTTGTGCAAAAAGTTATAGTGGAGTATTTAATTGTACTCCCTCCGTCCCATAATTATTGTCCAATTTGAATTTTCATTTTTAATTCAAATTGTATTAAAAGTGAAATCTCAAACTGGACAATAACTTTGATACAGAGGGAGTACTAAAATATGTCTCAAACCTTGTTTGTTTGGTGAACAAGAGGTCAACAGAACCTCTTATACATCAAGCCACTACTAGAGTCTGGAGTAGAGAGGAGGTTTTTGTTGTCGTTGTAGTTGTTAAGACACTAATAATTGTTCTCAATTGAACGTTGTCTTTGAATTTATTTTCAAACATATTGATCTTTCCTCGTTGCTAAGAAAAGTTGACATTTACTGCTAGTTTTTTCGGTTGGAGGGATAGAACTTAGAAGGACGAGAGATATGATGACATGGTGATACTCCAAGAGCAGGAAACTGATTGCAGGTTACAATAAAACTACTTTATTAGTTCCGATTCTGGGAATCAATTTTACATGACACTAACAGCTTTACAGCGACTTGAGCATATGTAATCAACACTCAAGTCAATCAACACCCTGAATTCTACTACTGCTAACTGCACTGCCCAACCTAATCCAAACAGCCAACTCCAATTTTAAGTCAGCCCATACTGAACAATACCAACCTCTCTATGTGCAGCAACAGCAACAGCTGCAGCCCCAACTGCTCCGAACTGAGATTGTGCCTGCAGCAATTTTGCATCAATAGCAAGTTGGCTATTTAGTTGCATGGCTTTTGCTTGTGACTGGTAATATAGGTGGGTTTGGTGGTGAAGGTGATGATGGTGATGGTGGTGGTGATTGTTGATATCAGAACTAACAGCAGGAGTTGACTTGGCTGCTGGCGGATAATGCTGCGGTTGCTGCTGCTGCAGTAATTTCGCTTGAGAGGTTTCTTTAATGGCTTCTCCTCCCTGCTGCTGCTGCTTATCTTGATTCTTGCCATTGTTTGGTGTTTTGAAGAAATACTGTGGAGATATGGCCTGGGGAGGAAGCACTGCATTCTGAATGTACACTCTTCCGTTATAGGCATCATTGTTGTTTCTAACATTTTCATATGGTAAAACAGGCCCAACTACTCTTCCAGGTTTAGCTACACAAACAAAATGAAATGCCATTGTGAGGAAAGAGCTCAAATACTTTGAATTTGATCTACTACTGACCAACGGCAAATTGAGAAAAGGAAAAAGACCTAGTTTGACATTAAATCCAAAGGATCAAAATTTATTCCTGAAACAGACTGATAAACCATAGAGAAAGAGAGGAGGGGTATTAAATACCAGGGGGCACACGTGGCGGAGGCCGTAATCCCTTAGACAGGTTGCCTGTATTGCTTTCTGACAGACCACCAGTGGTAGACACTTCTTCACTGATCCGCCGATCAAAAGCAGACTGAATCGGATTGGTTTTGGGAGGTATGACACTCGAATTAACCGTAGACCTGCATAGTCGATGGACAATCAGCAGAACCCAAAACACCATGGTACAATCTAATATGCAAGACACAACTCTATTTATGTTGATAAAGGGGAGAGGTGAATCCAAGGACAAGAAAAGGTACCGAGGAAGAGAGACATGCTTCCTCTCAGGAGGGATCACAGGACCACTTTTACCGCCATTTTCCTCAAGATAGGCAAACTGCTTCCGGAAATGACCAATGGCACTGCATAGAGTAGAAAACTCAGTAACCTGATATTAAGACACTGTCACTAAAAGAATACAACAAACTTTAATTGCACAATGTTAGAACCTAGGATAGAGAAAATTTGCCCCATCATTTCCAGCCATGTAATCCTTCAGCAGTTGCGGATGGTATTCTAATATCTCCCGAAATATTAGTTCCCTAATGTCTTCCTTTGTCAACCTTCGCCGCTCAAACTCAAACTCAAGCTTTGAGATTGGCAGACAAGATGGTTCCCTCTCAATCTTTGCCAGACCCTTAAAATAAGGATCAGCTAGTGCCTAAAAAACCAGAAAGATAAGAAGTTCAATGACATATACCAAATAGTATTTTCCCTCAGCATTAATGAAAACAATCAAACATAATGTGCCTTATGCATTATCAGATCAAGTAAACAGACCTCTTCAGCAGTTGGCCTGTCCTTTGGATCAAAAGCTAGCAGTCTCTGCAGTAGTTGGAGAGCCAAAGGATCTGCATTCGGAAACTTCTCAGCAAAAGAAACTGGTTGTTTTTTTCGCATATCAGTCAAATACTTTCTTGCCTTCTCATTACGTACCTGCACACAACAGTGCAGGTGTAAATACACATACACCACTTATCAGAATAAGCAAATGTAACAATAAAAAATAATTTGAAATAGCAAAACACATACCCCCGAAATTATATCAGCTGATGGTGTCCCCAAAAGATCAGTAATCAATTCTAACTGGTGAACGACACTTTTGCCTGGAAATAAGGGTCTCCCAGTCAATACTTCGGCAAAAATGCAGCCAATGCTCCAAATGTCAATTGCAGGTGTATACTGCAAGGAAAATTCCACATATATCAGAAAATATTGAAGGTGAAAGATTAGAGAAGACACTTGAGAAGCCTTTTAGAATTAGACACATTGACCAACACTGTTACCTGAAGAACAGAAAGTTCAACTTGCAGGAGAGTCATTTCCTCCCTGAACAAGAATTTTTTAATCTACACATTACTATTAAGCATGCGCAAGATACATTACTTATAGAAATGAATTATTAGTACTAAAACTAGAAGCTCAGTTGCCCACGGAGGAGGCAACAGCAAATTTCAACTAGAACACAAATTTCACTTTAATATCACTTTACCTATCCACAGTTTGCTACGACAACCAGTAAAGAGACAAGGGCGTGAACGCGATTGCTCACCAAAAATTGAACACCAATTCAAGAAGCAAAAACCATTATGCTTAGAGGAATCAATAAAAATAGACTTATGTCCCAAGTAATTCAAAAAAAAAAAAATAAAATGCAACAGTATTCTTCTTTGTATTCTCTACTACTTTGCCGTGGATGAGAAAAAAATACCCATATGAGCTTAATGAATTATAAATCACAAACCACAACGTATAGATACAATCTGGATCCAACATGGTTAGATCCAATAAACAGTTTATGAGAACTTGGTTCCGCAGCACCTTTACCCTCAGTCCAACATTTATCTAATGCACATAACAAAGAAGATATGAATGAACGTCGAGTACCAAACCAGATAAAAACATTCTGATGACCACAAAAATAACACGAACCTATGAGGAAAGAGAAATGAGTCAGAAAATAGTACTACCTTAGAGAAGAAAGATCCACACAACTCGGGGGCCCTGTACCATCTCGTAGCAACATAATCCTGCATGGTACCAAAAACAGTCGGTAAGATAACCACAGTTCTAAAGATGACCATTTCTGCATAGAATCAATCACATAAGACCAAGCACCCCAGAGAGAGAAGTAAAGAGCATGACATACCGTCCAAAATATTGTTGTTGGGGTATCACTGAAAGAAACCCTAGCAAGTCCAAAATCGCATATTTTAAGTTTGCAATTTGCATTTGCTAGTACATTTTTTGGCTTGAGATCTCGATGATACACATTTGCTGCAAGTAAAGGGGGAATCACATCAGAACAAAGGCCCAATGAGCAAAAAGGGGAAGAAGAAGAGAAAAGGAGGAGGGGACGGAGAATGAAAGGTTGAATGCCTGGTTTCATGGAAAACAAGAATATGCTTCACAAACCTGTATGCATATATTTCAGTGCACGCAACATTTGATAAAGGAAAAACCGGTGATGCTCGTGGGTCAAGTCATCATTTGCTTTAATGACTTGGTGAAGGTCTGATTCCATAAGCTCAAAAACAACATAAATGTCTCTAAAATCCCTCTTTGAGGGTGGCAGCATTATCCGTTTAATCTCAACGATGTCTGGATGTCGTAAAAGCCTCAGCAATTTAACCTCACGCAAAATTCGAATGGCATCAGAGATATGCTCAAATATGTCTGTAATCTTCTTAATTGCCACTTTCTCTCCCGTATGTGTGTCGATTGCTGCACACACAACCCCATAGCTCCCCTTCCCTATGACTTCCAGAATTTTGTAGCGGTTGGCATCCCCGTACTCCGTGAAAAAATCTGCCTCTTTGGAACTCTATAAGATAATTCAGGTCAAATGAATTAACCGCGGTGCTAGAACAACAGTTGATAAAGCAATGCAGCTCTTCAGAGAAGAACTCCAAACAACACCAAAATAAAATAAAGAGAATTCCTTGATCCAAGCATTGAGTAATGCACTCAATTCCATAGAAATTAAGTGTACTGAAAAACATTTCAAGAACACAAACATGCAAAGAGGAGAGGATAACTTCGACATTCAGAACAAACAAATCAATTTGAAGCATCATGGAGCAAGGTGATTCATGCTGAGGGAGACACACAACGAGACAGAGACAGGCTAAACAACAAGAAACAGTGCAAAGCAGAGGATCCCAGAAGCATATTAAGCATTCAATTTCTTACACGCATGTTTTGCAATAAGAACAGCCACAAACAATCAGTTGGAAAGATACATTACTGCAAAACATTAATAGTCTGGAATAGCAAGTGCACACATAAGTACAATCCGTTACTCTTCAACTACAAAGATCTCAAGTTTGTCAGGCTCATTGCAATGGAAGCCGACAATCTAAAATCCTCTGGCTCACACCTAACTTTCCAATTTTCCATATATTCAGGTGAAACCAAATTAGACAAACAATCAAACAAAGTACAAGGATACGCCTAAAGTAGGATCACATTTTTTGTGCATCTTCCGTATGGAACTTAACAAAAGTCCACTACTAACACGACGGAAAACATGAAATACACTCACCAAAACCTACACGGCATCCCATTTCCCGATTCCCAGTGACATCCAAACTTAAAAAGTACTCCATCAAAATTAAACCTTAAAATGAAAAACTAAAATGTCAGAAATTGCACACATTCCATTAGAAAACAAACTACAGCAAGATCTCAAATTCCTAGCAATTGCACACATAAATGCAAAACAGCAATTAAGATGATATCTATAACGACTTATATAACATACTCAAGAATACCAAGGGGCTAAACAAAACAAACCTACCTTTTTGCGCTGATCTTGCTGCATCTTTTCACCAACCTCAGCAAAAACTTATAACACAGAATAATATTGTTTCCTTTCCTTCACCCTCTTCTCTATTCTAACCGACCAGATCCAAGGAGATAAAAAAAAAAATCACTGAAGAAAAAAAAAATATAATTTTTAAAAAAGAAAAAACTCAGAACATAAACCGTAATCCCTCAACCGACACAACCTCTGCATAAATTATCACGAACCCGGGTCCAAAAAAAACCCTCCTTCAACAGACCCAATTTATTTCCCAGCTCAAAATCGCTTAATAAAACTCCAATAACCAACTCCTGAAAGGTGACCAATTAAGATAAAAATCCCAACTTCTTTCCTCAGACAAACACACTCCGGGCAGGAGGGAATCAAAAAAGGAAGAATTGTGGGAACCTGGAGATCTCGGAGAAGGAGGAGGCGGGCGGGGATGGGGAAGTGGATTTGATCGGAGAAATCAAGAAGGGTAGAAGAAGAATGGAGAAAGAGAAGAAATGGAAATGGGGAGGAAAGGAGTGATTTTTATAAGGCTGTAAAGCAATACAATTTTGAGAGTTCAAGAAGCAGCAGTATATACAAAAATAATAGTACTAGTATCATTAAAGACGACAAAAAAATATGGTGCTTGCCTGCTTGGTAGTATATAGTACTATTTTTGTGGCAATAGGAAATTGTTATTTATTTTGTTTTTAAAAAAGAATAATTAGTTTTTGTTATAATCATTGTTTTCAGAAAGTGGATTTTTATTTTATTTTCTTTTTTTTTTTTATATTTTTCATTGAGGAAAGTGAAATAGGTATATCTAACGGCTATTAGTCCTGCTTATAAAGGTACGGAATATGACTGGTGTTTTCGTTTTGGTTCATTATTTTGTCTTTACGCGGCAGTGGCTTTCGCTGTAATTTCATCAACTCTAAGGGGCATTTCCGAACGCCTCTGAATTTGTTGCTTCTTCTACTATGATTTCTCATAAATAAATCATACTTATACCTGTCTTGCCTAGATTTTCTATTTTTATCTGTTTATAATAGTTTGACACCCTAAGGACGTCTATATAATTATATGAGTACTGCATAATTTAAAAATTTATAAATAACCCCCCCCAAAAAAGTATATAAAGGAAGAAAACTTCAAGAAAGAACATATATAATCGAATATTGTGTACATGTTTATCAATGGTTTTTTGCAATCATATGATAAGTGCAGTTGATATGATTTAGAATTTGGATAATATTTTTGGAGTTTGAATTTCATCTCATTTCACCATCTAAAATTAGTTGAACTTAACCACTTACTAAGTAGTACTAGTGAATAACAGATTATGAATATGTAAGAGAATTCGATATTAAAATTTTTTTTATAGCATTCAACATTATAGCAATAGTATAAAAATCATCCAGAAACTTCCAGCACTAATAGCTATAGCAATGTTGAGTTTCTAAAATTGACAAGGGGCTTTAGGGAGAGGCTACAAAAGATAGGACTTTATGTCTCATACTATTTAGGGCCTCATTTTTTAGGATATTATTAACTATAATTATTTTTTAGAATTGTTTTATAATAACAATCATTGAAAAATAAATAAAAAAAGCTATACTACCGTAAACATTTTGACATGCAAAATATGTAGTATTTCAGTTATCTGATAAAATTATTTGTATCGAAATTATTAAAGTATTTTGATGAAACTTTTATTTATTAAAATCTGACTATTGAAGGGCTCCAAAATTAAATTTCGCTTGAGGCCTCAACACGCATTGAGCCAGTTCTGAAAATTGAGCAACACATTTGAAAATCTCTGCAGAAGACTTTGGAACATACTATATGTTTTCTTTTGAATTTAATAATTTCTGTAAATGTGAAAAGCAAGCACAGTACTATTTGGATTTGTTAAATACTCCCTCCGTTCCAAAAAAATAGTCCACATGGAGTTTTGAGTTTTGTACCATTTTTAGTACAAATTTGAAAACTCAATGTGAATTATTTTTTTTGGGATAGAAGTGGTACTAATGTGGAGTTGTTTTGTGGGAAGTCAAGCTAAAAGGGAATTTAATTATAATCATTCGTCAAATAATTTGGCGATGAGAAAGCGTGGAGTGTTGGGATATACATCAAGCAATGAATACTAAGAAAAGTAGTCAATGAATATTAAAAAAGGATGAGCCCGTTAATATTTGGGGTCAAATATTTAATGATGTACTACACATTAATGGTCAATTAATATTTGGGGTGAGCCCGTTATAGTTTACTACTACTAGTAGGGAGTACCAAATTACTAATAAATCCGTTTATTTGCATGCTGAGGAGGACATGGAAGCATTGACCTTGATTTTTTTGCAATAATAAAAAATGTAACATTTTTTTTGTGCTAATTTATTGTTACGTAACTAATGATTTCTCAGCAGATTCCGTTCATTTCTTTTTCCTTTTTTTTTTTTTTTAATTGATTCAGATTCAATTCGAATTTCGACCGGTTCTTCCAGGGAGGGAGGGAGCTACTGCTTTAACCTGATTTTTTCTGATAATTTGTGAAAAGCAAAAGAGAAAGAAAATAAATTAACTGTTTGAATGAATTATTGGAACAGGCAAGATTCACGCTAATGATTTTGATTTAGACATCTTGGACTGAGCTTATGTCTATAATTAAACCCCACTAAAATGTATATGTGGGTACTCAAGCTGGATGATCTTGTCTTTTTCCTTAATAATTCAATCAATCATATATGCAAGTGTGGGTTTACTTGCAAGAACATTCCACTGTTTTTGAACTCATCTCATGCACTGACTGATTGGATGTAGCTGATTTTTTAATTTTATTTATTTATTTTTTTTACTGACAAATCAAGAAAGATGTTGCATGTTGAATGACTAAAATCTGCGACAAGTATTTGTATGTAGTAACTAACAAATCAGCATTACACAAACAACTCAAAATAACTGTTTTTTTTTTTTATTGGGTTGAATTCGATAATTTTCTACTGCTGTCAATGGCATCCAAAACTTGATTAAACACTTATATTAAACCTATTGGTTAAGAATTCAGATTTAACTCAACAGGTACTACTAAATTAATTCAGTTCAACAATCATAAAGCATATTTATTATTATTTTTGTATAAAAAATAACTGTCCACACTTAGTTTTCAAATTTACACTAAAAATATACAAAATTCAAAACTCAATGTGGATTATTTATTTAAGTCAACGAGAGTGTTATTATTTTTATCTCAAACATGACTCATATACATTTCTTTTTACTGTTCGAACTCAACGAATAAGAATACTTTTTTTTTGTGACAGTTGAAAGAGACTGACCTATAAATTAGCACAGTTCTGGAATATATTACTCATGTTACATTATCTTTCAATCACGATTAACTTTTGATAGTGATGTTTAGACATTGCAGTCCTCCCGACATGTGAGATAGCAATAATGTTATATAATTAGCAGCAACATTGACCTCCACAACCCAATCCCGCTTCAAAAATTCTCAAACCCTGTATTCTATGCGTGCATTGACACCAAAAACTTTCATCATCTTGTTATGATGCTTCTGTTGTCCACCAAGCCATCACCCTTCTATCACGTACCAAGCTCCCGTCCTAATGTCAAGACATAAAAAGACTTCTTTTTAAGGTGCAAAGAGTAAAAAGGGTCATCTATTAATAACTTTCTTAGAGAAATTATTTTATTGTACCGTGAAATTCATATATTCATATGGAAAAAGTGCAAATTAAAAGCTGCACCCCACGTTAACTTACTTCACCTCTAAGAAACATATTTTATAAATCTACTTTTAGTTTATTTTATTTTTTAATCTCCAAAGCCCCCAAAAAAAAAACATTGTACTCGTACAGTGTTACTTTCAATAACTCTCTCTGTGGTTAAGTGGCTCTATCATTTTAAATGGCATAAAATATGAGAATAATAAATTGTTTATAGTATTAAACTAAAAAAGATAAAAACTTTCCGTGGTAGTCACGAATGCCATACATATAAAGGCAATTGCAAAGGCAGCAACAATCAATTTAATATTTTTAGTTATTGCTAAGGATTGATCGATCAGAAACTGATGTATAACTGATCTACAGCCTCAAGTTTTTTTCACATTATTCAGCGCTCAAAAGATCAATGTGTCTGTCATTTTAACAACAAACTGACCCCGACACTGACATTTCAAGCAATCATAAACTCAAACGCACTGGAAATTTTTTTTTTTGAACAGGGTTACACTTACAATTTACGCATATCATCACACAAAGAATTAGTACAATCTGCCTTAAACATCTTTATTTCTAATTACAGTATTATCCGCAGAATGAAAATAGATTGGAGACTTAGGAGCAGTTTCCAACAACACGTTTAAAGCATGGACATCGTTGTGCCCTTATTTTGTGGGCACGTGAATATGGACAATAGAGATCTTAGTTGAGAATATAGATATTACACCTGTCTCAAAATTATTATCCAATTTTTATTTTTAACTTACGTATAATTTCAATTAAAATTTACATATAATTTCAATTTAAAAATAAAAATCAAAATTGAATAATAATTTCGAGACAAAGGAGTACAAATTAAACTAAATGAGCAATTTTCCTTTCTGCAAGTAAAACTCGATTGAAATTTGTTTACTGATGCACGCTTAATTTGATTTGCTGTCCAGTGAGAGGAAATCGTTGAGGATATGATCCAATGAAGATACCAAATAGTATTAATATGCTACAATATTCCTCCATCGAGTTTTATATTCCTTGTATCTTAAAAAGTACTTCCTCCGTGCTTAAGGCATTTTGATTTGTCTTATGTTTAATCTAGTACGTATTTTAAATTAACTAAAAAACCTTAAAAATATTTCATAACAATTAAGAGAATATAACAAATGTGAAAATGTATTCTTAAAATTTTTTTGTCAATTAAAAATATGTAATAGGTGAAATCTAAGATAATATCAAAATGCCTTATATTAAAAAGCGGAGGGAGTATCTCATTCTCTTTTGTTTAAT